TGAGAGCCAGCTCCCGTACCGTAGAACACACACACTGTAAGTGCACAGTTCAGCGGCTTCCCGTGTATTCACCACATCCAACAATCATCACCCTAAAAAGAAACTCGCTCCCCTCGGCCGTCACCCTCGGTCCCCCTCCCCCCGGCCCCTGGCAGCCACTGAAAAGCCTGCTGTCTCTGTGGCTCTGCCTCTTCTGGGCATGCTCCGGGAATGGAGTCACACATCCCGCGGCCTTTGGGTCTGGCTCCGGCTGCGGACCACGCTGTGTCCCAGGTGGGTCCGTGTTCCAGGTGGGTCCGTGATGGGGCGAGGGTCCGGTCTTCATTCCTTTTCACGGCTCAGTGCCATTCCGTGGCACGAGTACACCGCAGTTGGTTCTTCTGTCAATGGATGTTCCCGTCGTTTCTCCCTTGCGGCTGTTAACGCGTGACGTGGCCATGAGTGCGCACGTACAAGGTTCCATGTGGGCGTGGGTTTCTGCCTCTCTTGGTGGACACCCAGGAGGGACACTGGCAGGTCTGTGAACAGCCTAAGTTCCCCCTTTGGAGGGCCTGTCAGATTGCTGTCCAAAGCGTCACCGCCATTCGACCTTCGCTTTCTCCACATCCTCTCCGACACCTGGTGCTACCTGTGTCCTGGTCACAGCCAGCCTCCGGGGGTTAAAGGTGGCGAGCACCTTTTGTTGCCCGTTTGGGTGCCTTCTCTGGAGGAATATCTATTCAGATTCTTCCCCCATTGGTAAAAATTGAGTTATTTGTCTTTTTATCGTTGAGTTGTAAGAGTTCATCACACATTCGTTTGATGAAGTCATATTCGTAGCATAGATAGATACTTCTAATCAGAGATCAATTCACAAAGTTCTTCTCCCATCCTGGGGGTCGTCTTGTTACTTTCTTCATGGTTCTCTGACACACAAAGTCCTTAAGTTTGATGGGGTTCAATTTATCTATTTATTTCTTCTGTTGCTTGTGTTTGGGTGTCGTGTGCAAGGAACAGTGCACTGCTTTACCCAAAGTCACGATTTGCCCCTACGTTTCCCTTTCAGGCTCCTCTTGTTTGGGCAGCTCGGTCCATTTTTGACCCACTGAGGCCTCTGACCCTTTGGGAGTTTATTTTTGTTGCTGCTGTGAAGCAGGTTCATCCTTCTTCTGCATGAGGGTATCCCATATTATTTACTTACTTAACAATTTAATTAAATTAATATACTTTTACATTGTGGCCTCCCCTCGGTAGTAATACCCCACGCTGAGTGAGTACGTCACTTAAAAGAAACCCGTGATCACGGTCGGGACGGTTTCCCAGCCACGCGCGCACCCGCCACGCACCGCACGCGCTCCGCTTTGGGAGACGCTGGTCGCCGTGCGCGCCGGGAGCAGGGAGTAGGAGTGTGTGGCAGCGGCTGACTGGAGGAGGAGTGTGAAAGGCCTCCCTGGAGAAGTGGCATTTGGCCTGGCACCTGACGCTTCCTCTAGGTGTTAGCTTTGGGGTGGGGGTGGGGTGTTAGCTTTGGGGGAGGGAGGGCCTGGCAGCATTTTCCAGGCAAGGGAACAGCATGTGCAAAGGTCCAGAGGAAAGCGAGAGCAGACCCAGGAGAGAAGACACAGAGACAGAAGCGGGGAGAGAGACACACAGGGGGAGAGAGGGACCCAAAGAGACCCAGGAGGGTCAGCCCCGCGCGTAAGCACCGCACGCGCACGTGCATGAACAGGCAGCATCACCCAGAGCTCCCTGCAAAAGCCAGGGAGAGAGGGACGCCCTGGCAGTGATGGGTTTCTGTTTCTGTGCGTGTGGCAGGCGCCCCCCACACTCTGGGGGCTCCTCCTGGCAGCCCCACCCAGCGGGGAGGTTGTCGCCTCCGTGGCGGAGAGCACGGGCTCATGCCGGGCTCCGCCGGGGAGGGTGGAGAAGCCGAGGCAGCCCTGGGCGACGGGGCTGACGGGAGGTCAGGGGGGAACGTCTGGGTTCGGGTCAGGAGCGACCAACCGCGCGGCCTTGGGGCGGCTCATCCCCCACCTGTAGACTCCCCACTGGCGTCATTGCCACACGCCGCTCGGATTCAGCGGGGCTTCCCGCATTTGTAACAAGCCAAGGGCAGCGTTCCCACCGAGGTTGAGACGGCAGCTTTCCTTTATGTGGCTGATCTCTAAAAATACCCTGTCCCTGGCCAGAGACAGGAGGTGCATCCCTGGTCCCACGCAGCTGGGTGTGCTCCTCTCTGCTAGCTCTGTCGGGTAGTAAATGGGAATTGCAAAGCAGGGGGAAAAAAATACCTAAAACCTTTCAAGGTCAAATACGTTTTGCAAACGAAGTCCTGTGGGACCAAGCCAGACAGGTTCCGTCCTGCGGGGTTTGTCAAGGCCTTTCACGTGCCTGCGTGTGCCCCGTCACGGGGTGTGAGCGTGGGGCGCAGGGAGCAGGGTGAAGGCATTGGGGCAGGTCGTATATGTCGGCCTAGGTTAAGCACACAACCTTTCTCTGCCACGGACAACCTCCGGGCTCCCCAGAAAGGAGAGCCCCCAGTGCCAGCAGGTGCCTGCCCACCCCCCACCCCAGTCCCTTCCCAGGGCTGGACACACGGAGGCCTGCGGTATACGAAGTAGGGCAAAAGTTGGGGTACCGTTGTCTGCACGGAAAATAACATGATAAGAACGAGCTGTGTGGTTCGTGCGCCCACACCTGTGAGCCTGCTCTGCCCACCCGTGTGCGCACGTGGTCGTGGATCGGGGCTCCCGGGGAGCGGAGCACTGGCTTTGCCACGTGCCGCTGACCCCAGCCCCGTGGTGCGGTGACGCCGCGACAGGGTGCGTGTCCAGGCCGGAGGGGGAGCCGGGTCCACCCTGCGGCCTGGGACGCTCTTCTCACCCTCGGGTCTCACTCCTCCCGGAAGGCCCTGCCTCCTCACCAGAGTCGCTCTGGGCCCCCCTCAGGCCTTGGCGCAAAGCGGAGCTTCCTGGGCGCCGCCTGCCCCCGAGTGACTGGGTCAGCCCCCGGGCCGCTCCTTCCTGCAACGTTGGCCACCTGGAACAATGGGCATTAATTAAGGATTTGCCTGATTGTTGTTTGTAAATTGAGAGTCTGCATTAATGTTTAGGTTTTAGGTGGCCAGAAAGCTGGACGGATTGGACAGAAAGTTCCCGATCCCCTGCCTCCCCTGCACAGCCTCCCCTTTTCCTAACATCTGGCATTAGTTCGTACATTTGCGACAGCTGATGAACCAACTTTGGTATATTAGTAACAGGTTTCACGCTTGGTGCTGTCGTTCTGTGGGTTTGGACACAGGTCTGATGTCACGTGTCCACCGTGACAGTGTCATATAGTCCATTCCACTGCCCTAGAAGTCCCCTGGGCTCCACCTGTCCATCCGCTGACTCCCCCGCAATCGCTGACTTTTTAGTTTTCTCCCCGCCAGACCCTGCACTTCATCGGACTAGGGGCCCCAGCGGCTTTGTTGACCTTTCTACTGAATGTCCCCAGCTCAGAGCCTGGCGCATAGCAGGTGCCCTATAAATATTTTTCTTTGCGTAATTTAATAAAATAGGATTCTATTAAACATGTTATTCCGCAGTTTGCTTTTTACTAATATTGAAGTATATCTTGGACATCTTCCAATATCAGAATATAGAGCATTGTTATTAGGGAAGATTTCCAACACGCCCACAAAAATAGAACCTACTGCAGCGAACTCCAGACACCTGTTAGTCAACTTCGGCGGTAATCAGCTCACAGCCTTCTTGTTTCAGCGACGCTTGCTGGTTTCTTCCTTTCTGTTATTCTGAAGCAAATCCCAGACATCAGATATTTATCTGTAAATGTTTCTGTGTGAATCTCGAACATCATAACCTCAGCACTAGCATCGCACCCAATAAACGTTCATTCAATTCATCAAATATAGTCAGTGTTCAGATTCCCAGCTGTCTGACGAAGACACATTCTGTTTATGTGAGTTTGGAGGTTCTTTGACCCGAGGCCCAGGCGAGGTTTGCCGGCCGTGCGGCGCCTGGGGACCTTCCGCCTCCGCGGCTCGGCTCCGACTGGGCTCTCCCTCCAGGCCAGGCTTGCAGCTCCCTGCTCTGGGTCTTGCTGCTTCCCCCACCCTGGTGTTGTTTAGTATGTTTCTCTGTCCTCTCTCCTTCCTGCGCATTTGTAGCTGGATCCAGAGGCTTGATCCGATTCAAGTTCAATTTGTTTTGACAAGGCTGCTTCGGGGCGGGGCGTGTCTTTTCTGTCTGGAAAGCTGCTCTCGGCAGCGTCTCTGTGACATTCTTGGCTGTCGAGACTGCAGAGCCCTGAGCCTTTAATTCCAGCGGGGCTGCTATCTGGTGACCTTCTAATTCTATCATTCCTTCTGTTCTTCACTGGGATGTTTCTATGAAAAAGACACCCCCTCATCAACCGTTGGTTACCTGGAGGTACAGTTTAGTAAGACAGGCAGGACAAAGCCTCCACTCTTTCCCTTTATTTACTAGTTTTCGGAATAACGGGTTGCCTATAAATATTTGAATGAATGAATGAATGAATAATACATGTGTGGATGCATTGACGGGTTTGGGAGTCTGGCATTTTTTTCTATTTGCCCTTAAGGGCATGAGTGTGGCCAGAGTTGCCAGTGGAAATGCTGCCTGGGGCCAGGTAGGTCCCCGGAGCTGGGGAGCAGCTCCTGCTACCTGTCAACCCACTTTAGTCTGTCACAGAGGATCAGAAGCTGGGCTGCTAAAAATGCAGCATCTGGGACCAGGGCACCTTGTCACCTCCCCCTGCCCCGAGCTGAGATGTCGTAAACCTCAAACCCCTGATCAAAGGGAGGCCAACAGCCGCGTGGGAGTCCAGAGCAAGGGCTGAAGCGGGGGCCCCTCGGCGGGAGGGGCCTTGGGCAGTGTTCTTCCCGACGGAGAATCCTGGCGGGGGGACTGGGGGCTTCCGGGGTCCCGTCCACACCAGCCCCGGCGCCTCCCCGGCCGCGTGCCCGGGCTCGCTGACTCTCTGTCCCCGTGTCCCCGCAGGTGCAAGTGCAACCTGCACGCCAGCCTGTGCTCTGTGCGCGAGGGCAGCCTGCAGTGCGAGTGTGAGCACAACACCACGGGCCCCGACTGCGGCAGGTGCCGGAAGAACTTCCGCACGCGGTCCTGGCGGGCCGGCTCCTACCTGCCGCTGCCCCACGGCTCTCCCAACGCCTGTACGTACGGCAGGGCGGCCGCCGCCGTGCCCCGGCCGCTGGGCCCCGACCTCCAGCCAGCAAGGCCATGGCCTCCCCGCCCCGCAACCCCGGAGTTCAGGGCACCCCGAGCCGCAGGGGACGAGGGCCCGGGCTGGCTGGGGCGGGGCTCTTCCTGACCCACCCCGAGTGACTTCGGTGACGCCTGAGAGGCCACGCTCAGCACAGCTTCCTCCTTAGCCCTGCAACAGCCCCGCGGTGGCCTTAGTGTGGCCCCCTCTCCAGACAGACCCACTGGGGCCCAGCGCCCTCTGTGCCCCCCTGAGCTTCACCAGACTTGGCTCCAAAGCCAGCGCTGGGCAGTGGCCTCTGGCACCTGGACGGCCACCCGCCTGCCTGGGCACATTGCAGGAGCCCCTCCGACCTACCCGTGCAAGATTTGGGCAACTTCGGTCTGATCAGAGCTGAGAGCCTCCCTGTGAGGCTGTGACCGGCACATCGTGTGCGTCCTGGGCGGGTGGGGCCAAAGGCCTTTGGGGGGGCCTTGCTGGACGCTCACAGTGCACGGGGCTTTCAAGGTGCAGGGCGCACTCTGGGCGCGGACTCCCCGGCCCCTCGGGTGCCCTCCTCCCAGGTGCCCGCCCTGCTCCTTGCCGCCTGAACTGCTCTGAGCCCTTTCTCCGGTCCCTGTCACGTCCTCTCTGACTGGCAACCTCACTGATGGTCACCTGTCCTGCGGACCTCCCCCTCCCTCCTCCCCGCCTCCTCCCTGTGCCCCACTCTCCTTCCAGAAGGATCCTCCAGGGTCTCTGGAGCCCCACAGACCAAGACACGGCCCTGCAGGTCACAGCCGCGATGCACAGGCAGGCCGGGCCGGGCTTGGCTCTGACACCCGCCCCCCAGCCCTACACGGGCAGCCGAAGCTTTCTTGTTGGGGTCGCTGCCCCTGTCCCCACTCCCCCAGGGCCTCCAGGAGCCGAGCGAGGCTGGCGCGCTCCATGCCCTCCGCCTAAAGCTTCCCCTCCCCGCCCCCTGGCCCCGCCTTGGCTGGAACAGCCAGGAGAGCAGAGACCCAGAGGGAAGCAAGCCCCCCACCCCATGTCCCCATCTCAGCAAGCATCCCCAACACCCCGGGGGCCAAGTCCTTGACTGCAGCCCCACCCCCGACCTCCTCACTGGGGCCCCGGCTCCAGAACCTTCAGTGCCCCACGCCCAGTGCCCTCGGAACACAGCCCTGACTAGCCACAACCCCTGGGGGGCCATTCGCCCCCCCCCACATCTCCCGCCCCTTCCCACCCCACGTCTGGATCCCCACGCCCTCCCCTTCCCAAGTGTCTGTCTGGCCTGGATCTTCCCGCCCCTGTGGTCTGGGCTGCTCCTCTTGCCCCCGGGACGCTTCTGTTCTCTGACATCCCATCGTCCCCCCTGAACAGCCCCCACCTCCTCTTCCTGCACCAGGGGACCCGAGAGGCTAAAGTCAAATAAGAGAGGCGCACGCGCACCCCCAGCAGGGTGTTTGGCACTTATGAGCATGGCCCCTGATAGGGTGTCACGGCTCTGAGACTCAGTTTCTCTGTCTGCAGAATGGGCTAATCGCGGCTCCCCGCCCTCCGGGCGGCAGTGACACGCGTCCCGCTCCCTGCAAAGTGAGGGCTCCCCGTGGGCCGGGACCGCACACTTCCCGCCCCGGCCCGACCCCTCCCCGGCAAGGAAGAGGTGGCCTGGGTCCTTGTCCCTCTGGCCACCATGCTGTGACCCTTCTCTCCCCACAGGTGCTGCTGCAGGCTCCGCCGTTGGCAGTAAGTACACAGCTGGGTCCCCGTCCTGGGGACAGTGACGGGGCCCTGCCACGCATGAGCCTCTTTGCATGTCCTGGGAAGAGCAGGAGACAAAAGCCGGGGGACCCTGTCCCCGCTGGGCACTCAGGCCGCCCCGCTCCCCACAACTGCGCCATGTGCATCTCCACCCCTGCTGCTCCGCCTGTCCCCTTCCGCTGGTCCCGCAGCACCCCTCACAACCCCTCCCTCAGGCTTCTTGGTTAGTGCTGCTTTGGAAAGGTCCCTGTGACCCCCGGGTGAATCCCGGCCCCCGCCCTGGCCAGGCCAGGGTGGGGGTCACCTTCTTCCCCGACCTGACCTGCAGCAGAGTCCCCGCCGTGGCTGCCAGCGGTGGTGAGGCTGGGCAGTGAGCCGGGGCCTGAGCGCCCAGGCAGACAGGCGCCCGCAGCAGGGACGGGGCGTCCGAGAGCTCGAGGAGGAAGGCGTGTGGGGGCGGGGGGGGCAGGGGCGCCCAGCAGATGGCCAGGAAGCCGTCACCAGGAAGCCATCGCCACACTCCGTGCCGCCGCCCCCCCCCCCGCCCCCCACGCTCGAATCAGGCGCTGGCTCATTGGGACGGTTGTGGTGTCTCATTTCGCCCCAGCACTCGGCGGGCATTGCGTCTGCCCCGGGAACACCCGCCTGGGTCAAGCAATCTCAGAAATGCTTTTCGGGGCACGGCCTCCCTCCACCAGAGTTCCTCGGGGCCACGCTCGGCCCCGGCAGCTCCCTGCTGGGACGCTGGCAGGAAGAGGGCACCCGAGGCAGCGGGACGTGGAGGGGACCCGGGTCACTCAGGGGGGCCCTAAGCTCGTCTCTGCCCCGCACCCACTGACTCCCCGCCCTCCCTCGCTTCCCGCCTCTCACAGGCATCAGCAGGTCCCCAAAAGGCCCCAACCCCAAAGCCCCTGTGGCCACGCGGGGGGGCCCGACCACTCCTGTCCCCTTTGCATCCTCGGGCCCCCGCGGCCCCCAGCAGCGCACAGCCCACAGAGGATGCCCAGGTACAGCCCGGGCGCCCCGCCTCTCCCAGCTCCTGCCGCGCCCCCGCCTCTCGCGTGATACGCTCTGATGAGGTGGGGTCACCAGCCCTGGGGAAGGCGGGCTTGGCTCTTGAGATACTAGGACCCCACAGCCACGAGAGCACGGGGCCTCCGGCTGCAGCCGGGGTGCTCAGGGCTCCCGTCAGGCTCCTGGAACCTTCTCCCCTCCCACCCGCCCAAGGTACTGCCCAGGAGGCGCTGAGGCCAGCACGGCCAGGAGGACGGGCGACCTAGAAGGAGGGGCCCACGGCAGCGAGGCCACACAGAGTCCACCCCAAGCCAGGGCCTGTCTCGGCTGGCCCGGCCCCGCGCCCGCCCTCACGGACACCCCGCACCCCGCTCTGCCTGGCCCCCCGGTAGCTGGGCTGGGCGTGGACCCTCAGGGCTGGCCCCGGAGGCTGGGCGCAGGGAGCCTCCGCGCCGGGTGTTTGGAATGCGGGCTGCGGGGCACTTCAGGTCAGGCCAGGGCCTGGCTTCCTGCCCCACGTCAGCCAGAGCAGCCACCCCTGGGGGCCACACAAATGACAGGCTCGGAAACACTGGCCCTCTGGGCCTATTCCCCTCCAAAGTGGGACCGCCCGTGCTCGAGGCTTGGGGTGCTGGAGGGCCCTGTGGTCCCACCTGGGGTCTCACCAGACTGCTCACTGTGCGTGCCCGGCGCCCTCTAGGACCCGGGGCGGCCCAGCCCAGCTCTCTTCTCCTTCCTCCCTCCTCCGCGGGGAGCGGGGGCACTGCCGGAGGCAGGCCCAGCTGGGACTGTCGAGGGCTTCAGGGGGGCCAGGTGGCCCAGAAATCGTCTGTGGGGTAGAGAACGGTAGCGCGGGCAGTCACTCAGGGGGATCAGGTGTGAGGGGGCCCAGCCACCCGAGGCCGGTGCTTTCCTTGCTGAACTCATGGCAGGCGGGCTGGAACTGAACTGGCCGTGGCGGGTGCCGCGCCTGCCCACACCAGGTGGCCAGTCTGGGCAGGAGGCTGGATCCCCGCGCACACACCGAGGAACCCGGACTCCCTTTCCTGAGCTGCTTCTGAGGCGGTGCAGGGGGTACCAGGCACACGGCAGAGCAGAGAGAGGAAGACCCCCACTAAGAAAGTCTCGGCAATGATGAAGGCGCCCCCCGCCCGCCCCTGGGCTCGCTGCTCTGTGAGGCGGGCGCCGTTCCCCTGACCCCCAGGAGCAGGCGGTCAGGCTCAGGAAGAGGCGCCAGGCCTGAGGGGGTGCAAACTTACCTCGATGCAGCTGTTGGAAAAGGAAAAAGTAGGAAGGGAAAGAGGTACCTGGGCAGGACCCGAACTCGGGCTTGTCGACTCGGGGCGCCACCTGCCACTGGCCGCCCACTGCTATTGCCCCGAGGCCTGGGGCTTGGGGTGGGGGGCCACGCGCTGGTGCGGCTGTTACAACCCGGCTCGCACAGCCCCGACTCCCACGGAGCAGCTGGGGCCTCCATCTGGCCTCGGCACACGCCGCAGGCCCCGGCGAGAACGTCCTCTGGGTGCACCTGAGTCTGTCCCTGCGGAGCCCAGCGGGGGGTTTCCCGCCCCCAGACCCCATCCCTGGAAAGGCCCGGAGTCTCTCCAGGCGCCTCCTGGCAGGTGCTTTGGGCTCTTCGGCCAGCGTCCAGCTGGGCTCGCGAACCGCTGGCCCTGACATTTCTCCTTCCTGCCCACATCAAGCTGTCTGAAGGGCGGGGGCTGCTTGGTGGAAAAGGCGCCCCCGACCACTAATCCTCCCCCCCAGGAGGCGCCACAGCCAGAAGCCTTGGGGCAGGTTTCTGTGCGCCTCTAATAAGCCCCTGCCGGTTGGGGATTAAGGCCCCGCGGCCGCGTCCCCTCATTGAACGCCGCAGTAACGTCAGTTTGCTGTCCAAAGGCTCCCGGCTCCCAGCTGGAGAGTCTCCCGCACTTTTGAGCTGGTAGATTTTCTTTTCCTTTCCCTACCAGCAGGCATCCCACATAATCCCTTTGGAAGTGGAAAGAATCCGATTTATCCAGTCCTCTGGGTCTGCCTTTTGAAATTCGGCACAGAGCGACGCCCTGACTGTGCCGGCCGCGGCGTCCCCGGCTGAGTGTCCAGCTGGTCTGGGCGATGGCGCTGTGGCGTTTGGGGGTTGACTTACGCTGGTGTCCCCAGTGGAAATGGGCCCAAACCAGGGGTCAGAGGGAAGGTGGTGGCCAGAGAGGCAGGCCAGACGCTGGAGGGCGTGCCGTCGCTGCACTGGGCCGGACAGGGAGCCTCCCGCGGGCCCTTCGTGGGACACGTTCAATGTCCAGAGCACGTGCCTCCTTCACAGCCATTTGCCAGAGACCAGCACAGAGAGGTCTGGGCCCAGCTAGGGGACTCGATGCCACTGCCCTCAGTGGGAACGGGGCCACACAGGGAGGGTAGAAGAGCTCCCAACCCAGCCGCCCCGCTGCAGAAAGTACTGCCCAGAGTGCAGGCGCTCGGGCACGGAGGCGCCCCCACCTGGTTCCAGGTCCACGCGCGCCCGCCGCAGGCTGCGGCAGTGTAGACGCTGCCTCTCCTGGATTTGGACCTAGTTCTACTTGGCCGGTGTAGACAGAGCCGCTTCTTACAGTGCTGCTTCTGACAAGGGGCCTGCGGGGCTCAGAATGTCCCCAGGACACCCTCGCCCCATCCTCTCGCATGACTTGCTGTCTTCTCTTCTTTCCCCCCCGAGAGTGGATCAGGCCATCGACAGCAGTCCCCCCAGGGGAGAGAGCCCCCTGGACCCAGGTGTCCTCCAGCGCAGAAGGTATGGGGGGATCTTCTTAGACCCATAGGCCCCTCCCCCTTAGTGGAAGTAGCAGGTGTACGTGGTGGGGACCTGGGGTGGGAGGGGGCCTCAGGGGACTGAGGGGAGGGGGCTTGGCTATACCCGACCCCTCGCCTGCTTAGGGTCAGTGACATCACCCCCTTTCAATCGCACACCCCCCCAAGTGCCTGGGAGCCAAGCCCAGGAGTGATGGAGCGCTGAGTGCCAGGGCTTCCTGCAGGGGGCGACTGCGAGCACAACGGGTAGATAACAGAAGTGCGTCCCTGCGGTCCAGGCGGCAGGCCTGGTGGGCGAAGGCCTGGCGCAGGGGTGGCCGTGAGCGGCCCCCCTGGCAGGGGAAGAGGTGTTGGATAAAGGAGGGCTGGACGGTGGAGGGACCAGGGCCTCATTCCCCGCCTGCAGGGGAGTAGGCGCACACGGGCTCGCTTGTAGCCATGGATGGGCGTGCACAGGAGGCGCACGGGCCTGCCCGAGTCTCCAAGAAGGGAAGCCACCCTCATCCCAGCTCCCCTGTTCCCTGGGCATCAGACTTGCTAATGCCTTGTGAGGCAGGAACCCAGTCTCCTCCTGACTCAATTCAGGCCCCCTCCCCACCGCTCCCGCTCCGGGCCATGAGCAGGGCTTTGAGCGCCCTCTGCTGGCAGGACCTGCCGGAGCCGGAGCTGGAATCGGTGAGAGAGGGTCTGCAGTTAGTCCCCCGCAGCCGACAGCTGGAGGGGCTGGAGCCATCACTTCTCTGCCCTGCGCCAGCTGGGGCGCCTGACTCCCAGGGGTCCCCGCAGGCTCGCCCACAAATGCGGGGTGGGTCCTGGACAGCCTGTGCTCCAGGCCAGGGGCCGGTGGGGAACCGTGGGTGGCAGAGGCCTGGCCGTGGCTGGGGCAGGGAGAAGCTGCAGAAAGGAGGGGGTGCCGAAGGCGCGGAAGCCACCGCAGACACTGGGTGTGGCGCTCCCAGGAGCTGGGGATGGGGGCGGGGACAGGAGAGCAGAGAAGAAGCCATGTTTTTGACCTGTCGCAAGACTGTCCGCGTCCGCAGAGTGCTTCCCGCGCCGTGGGGGGTGCGGGGGTAGAGAAGGGATTGGCAGGTTGATCCCGCTGGGTGTGTAAACAGCCTGAGAGGCAGGCACCAAAGGCAGGCTGGGTCTGCGCGCTCCTGGGTGTGTTCTGTCGCCTCAACTCTGAGCAGGTGACAGAGCTGCCCAGAGCTCGCCAGGGCTCCTTAGGAGCTTTGCCGGGCCTTCCCCGGGCCGGACAGCCCGCCCCGCGCAGCTGGGCTCTGGCTGACGGAAGAGCGTTTCTCGTCTCTCCAAGTGGCCGGCCCCTTCACCGCTGCCCCCGCCCAGGCCTCCTCACCTTCCCAGCCCCCGCCCAAACCTCCTCGAGGGATGCCCAGTGAGGAGTTCCAAGGTAAGAGGAAGGCCCCGGGGCCGGGGTAGCCCTCCTCCAGTACTGCGCCCCCGCCCCCCGCCACTGGAAAAAAATGAGGCTGGGGGAGGGCCCATATCCTGCCCAGACGCCCTCCCAGGGCTGCTGGGTCAAGGTGAACCCGAGCCTCTCCCCCTCCAGCCCGGCCCCTGGGGAGCGGGGAGCGGGTGTGAGTCACAGGCGTGGGCAGCTCAGGGCAGGCAGAGCAGCTGCTGTGAAGAGCCTGTCCCAGCTCCCCCGGGAGGTGTGGCCCCGGGGCTTGTCTTGGTTGAAGCCCGATCTGGGACACAGGGGTCACCCTCACTACTCCTTGGGGACACTTGGAGGACGCCCCGCCTTTTCGTCCCTGGACGGACAAGGTAAAGGGGGCCGGTCCAGGAGGCCCCTCACAGAGGCTCCTTCCTCCGAGGTCTCCATGCCCTGACCCCTGAGCCCTGGTCCTCCCTGCCTCTCCCATCACTGGAGGGAGGCGGGGTCCTCTGGAGATTCCCACATGGTGTTTCAGAGAGGGTGGCCGGCACCCTTCCTTGTTCTGGGGTGGCCACACTGGCTTTCTTATTCAAGGAGGTGTTGAGCCCCACAGGAGGGGCACCAAGAAATGGCCCCCCTTCTTGGGTCAGGGAAGGTGACCCTCCCACCAGGTCCCACTCCTCCGTGAGGGGGCGGAACCCACCTCCAACCCTTGCGGCCTCGCCCCCGGCGGTTGCAGGGCTCGCCGGGTCCCAGGGGCCGCTGCAGAGCGTGGCGCCGAGGCGGGGTCCCCCAGTCAGAGTCAGAAGCGGGGCTGGGACTGGAGGGGGCAAAGCCAGCGGCCTCCTCGGTGTCAGTCGAATCTGCAGCACAGCTCAGGCCTATACGACAGGGCCCGGCAGGTGGCGATTCTCCTTCCACACGTCTTCCAAAGCAGCACGGGGAGGAAGCTTCTGGCCCTTTCCATCCACCCTATCCAGCGTTCATGCATGCACCTGTCCCTCGCTGAGCCTCTGGGGACACAGTGGCGGACACCCCGAATTCGGGGGCTGCCCTCCCTGGGCTCACAGTGCGGTGGCCCGAACCATCCCTCCCGCATGAATCGGTCCTCATCATCCTGGCGTGTCCTGACATCTCTACTAAGAGCACCCTGCCCCTGGGGCGCCCGGCAGGTGCTGCCTGCAGGCCCTCCCTGGGCCCAGGCCACAGGGCCGGGCTCAAAGCTGGCAGGCCCGCCCCTTCCCCACACCTTCCCGAGCCAGGCCGCACAGCCCGCGTACCCCGGGCGGGCCCTTCCTCTCTCTGTGCCTCAGTTTCGCGGCATGCACGGGGGAGGGGCAGCAGGGAGGACGCCTCCCTGGACTCCCTGACCCCGTGTCCCTCCCCGCCGCTGGCCCAGACTGCGAGTGCTACGGCCACTCCAACCGCTGCAGCTACATCGACTTCCTGAACGTGGTGACCTGCGTCAGCTGCAAACACAACACGCGAGGCCAGCACTGCCAGCACTGCCGTCTGGGCTTCTACCGCAACGGCTCCGCCGAGCTGGACGACGAGAACGTGTGCATCGGTGAGTGCGGGCAGGCTGCGGGCAGGCTGCGGGGGCGGCGCGGGCCGGGAAGTGTGAGGCAGGTCCCAATGCCCCTGGGTCAGAGCCCCGCGGGGGGCTGTGGATATTCCCATTCCAGGGCCGGCGCCTCGCTGGCCTCTTTAAAGACAGAAGCCTCCTGAACCTGCTCTGCTGATCATGTCCCGGTTGGATCTTCCGGGGGGGCGCTGGTGTTTCAGAGCCACTGGTTGGAGTCAAAGACCTGCTAGTGCTAGTCTTGGAAACCGCGTTGCCAAGAAGGGAAACCACCCTTAATCTCAGCTCACCTGTCCCCTGGACATTAGACTCTAATGCTCCGTTAGGCAGGAACCCTGCCCGCCCCGCCCCCCCAATCCAATTTCCCTCCGCACGAGCTCCAGCTCCAGGCTGTGAGCAGGGCTTTGAGCGCCCTCTGCTGGCAGAATGCATTTGCTACGTGCATTTGGGCAATTCCCTTCTCACGGCGTCTCTTTGTCTGCTTGTAAAATCAGGAGATGGATCAGATCAAAAGTTCTCAGCCCTTTTCTGTGGCTAAAGCCACGAAATTCTCCAGTGAAATTCTAATGCTTTATAAGCAGAGCCCGGTTCATAAAGCTTCCCTCTGCCTCCAGTGACCCCTGGGCTGCTTTTTTCAAACTCTGCTCTGACACTTGCTCTGGGGACCCTGGGCCTGGGCAGAGACGGGCCATCCCCAAAAGCCAAACACCCAGCATACCCACCACCCCTGCCCTGTCTCCAGTAGAGGCCAGGGCTCAGCCCTGGTGCCCACCCCCAGGCCAGCTCTGGCTTGGAAGAGGCGGGGCCGCGCAGGCAGCTGGAGCTGTCGGTCTTCATTACAGCAGCAGCCTTCAGGTAATTCCATCAGCTCTAAAGTGAGCCAAACAGAACTGTGCTGCGGACGTCACGTGGCCAGTGGCAGGGACAGGGCTAGGCCTCCACATCCGATTAGAGGCGCCCCTCCTCCCACTGCGACCAGCTGCCTTGACGCCCAGGCCTGGCACTGGGCTTCAGGGGTCCCCAGAGGGGGGCATTTGCCCCTGCCACAGGGCATGGCCCCCAGGAAGCCAGCCGGGGAGGCTGGAGGCCTCTGGGGCAGCACCTGCGGTGGCCCTGGAGGGACCTGCAGGTGCGGTCCACATCCCTGCCCCCCACACTCACCCAGCACAGGCCCTGGGACAGAGGACCGCCGGCCTCTGATGCGGCTCTTTGCACCTGTCAGAGTCACAGCTCTTTGGAACCACCCGCTCTGGTCACAGATGGGGAGACTGCGGCCCGGAGAAGGGAAGGGTCTCTCCCAGGCCACACAGCGCCTGGGCCAGGGACGGGGCGGCCGCCCGGGAGCCAAGTCGGTGTTCCCTCGAGTTTGGACCCCGGCCGTCTAACCGCGGGCTCACGCGGACACAGCGTGCAGCGCAGGCCGCGTGGGGTGGGGTCTGTGCCCCCAAGTCGCCCTGAGCGGACACGGTGCCCCTGTCCGTCCAGAGTGCAACTGCAACCAAATCGGCTCCGTGCACGATCGGTGCAACGAGACCGGCTTCTGCGAGTGCCGGGAGGGCGCCGCGGGACCCAAGTGCGATGACTGCCTCCCCACACACTACTGGCGCCAGGGCTGTTACCGTGAGTGCGCCCCGCGGGCAGGCCGGGCAGGGCCTGGTGCTGTGGGGGCGGGGCCGGAGCGAGGGGCGGGGCCCGGCGCTTGGGCAGGGCTTAGGAGGGTGGCCGGGTGCTGCCAGAGGCAGGGTCCGGCGCGTGGGCGGGTCCAGGTGGGGAGAGGGCTTGTGCGACTGGGGAAAGGGTCGGAGTCAGGTGGGAACCAATCGCGAGAGAGATTGAACTGAGCTTGCTTGGGAAAGGAGTTGGAGGCAAAGCGGTTCTGGGTGCTGGCTGCAGTTGGCCGGAAGAGGGAGGGAGTGAGTCTGCCCACGTGTTAGCCAAGCTAAGAGGGTGGGCGGGCGCTCCAGCCACACCAAGGCCGGTGCCAGGAGCGGGGAGAGCCGGGAACTGTAGCGGGATGAGGCAGGGGCCAGGTCTCCCTGGCTGTCGTTACCATCGACGCAGGGACAGTTCACACCAAGTGCGCCCTGAGCGTCCAATAACCTCCTGGTCCAGGCCGGGCCCCCGGAGGTTCGCACATCCCCAGTTGCAGAAGCTTCACTGTGGAGGAGGGTGGACTGGGTCACCACGACCCTACCTAACTGCCCCTTCGCCCGCAGCCAACGTGTGCGACGACGACCAGCTGCTCTGCCAGAACGGCGGCACCTGCGTGCAGAACCAGCGCTGCGCCTGCCCGCGCGGCTACACCGGCGTGCTTTGCGAGCAGGCCCGCTGCGACCCCGCCGATGACGACGGAGGCCTGGACTGCGACCGCGCACCCGGGGCCGCGCCGCGCCCCGCCACCCTGCTCGGCTGCCTGCTGCTGCTGGGTCTGGCCGCCCGCCTGGGCTGCTGAGCCCGCCGGAGGACCCCCGGCGGCGAGTGCAGGTCCGCGCGCCGGGCGCCCTGGGCCCTGCGCCCGGGGGGGCCGGGCGGCGAGAAGGGTGCGGCCAGAGCTGCTCCCAGGTGCTACTCAGCGGAGTCCTCCGCCCTCCTCCCCACCCCTCCCCCCACTCCGTGGCACCTGCCCCCGCCCTGGCGCTGCAGCAGGGGGCGCTGAGGAGTCCTGACCCCAGCGGCCTGCTATTTTGGTCTTAGTTTTTCTATGTCCTGCCGCCCATTTCATTTTTTGCTGGCGGTGAGACAAAGGGCGGAGAAACGCTGCTCACCCAACACCCCCAGGTGTGTACACACACACACACACACACACACACACACACACGACTGTTGCGGACACCCCCTGCGCCTGTCCCTGGCTTACCCTCAGCCAGTGGACCTGAAGTCCAGCTGCTACAACTCCAGCTGCTGACTTCATTCTCTTTATATTCTCCGTTTTCCTTTGCAGCCCACCGGCCGCCAGGCCGGAAAGAGGCCTGGGCCCCAGGAGCTCCCCATCTGTTGGGGGAGGGAAAGGAAGGAGAGCTGGGAGGGCTGGAAACTTTGTTTTGTAGAGAACTATTTTTGTTTGTATTAACCGTCCCCTTCGGGAAGGGGCAGGAGCGGGGACGCTGGGTGCGGCGGCGGGGTGTTGATGGTGTGTAACTGGACAGAGTAAAGAATCTGCTCTCTGCTGCCTCTGGGGCCTGCTTTCTTTCTGGGTTCATGTGGGATTTAAAGAGGAGCCCAGGAGAGCGCTGTAAGGAACCGACGTGATGTTCAGGCCGCATTCTCCAGGCCCCGCTGCGAATGAGAGCAGGCCGCCCGCCCACCGCAGGCGGGGCTGGAAAGAGTGCTCACCGCCCTGCCAGGGGCCCACTGCTCCTCAGACTCGGGAGGCTGCCTCCGTGCCGCCCCTAAAAACAAAACCAAGCCCAGCGGATGGCGCTTTCCTCGGCTGTCCCCAGCTCTGCAAGCACGCCGCGGGCGTCGGCAGTCCGAGGGAAGCGACCGGCCCAGCCTTCTGCTAGGGCGCCGCTTCCAGGCCGGGCGCTAGTAATAATCAGGGTGGTTGTGCGGTTTCAGACCAGCGACCCTGAACCTCAGGACCGGTGCCTGCGCTGCTGCCTCCTTCCAGAGATCTCGGAGTTCCAAGCTGGGCACAGGGGATGGCCAAGGGACCCCTTGAGGCAGTTCGAGAGCCGAGAGAGGACGTGCTAAAGGATGGGGCCCATCAACCGAGGCCCTTTGCTAGGGAGGGTGCCCTGGGCAGTTCTAGTGGGGCCAGGGTGGGGGCACTGCGCCCAGACTTCCCTCCCTGCCGACTGACTTCCTCGCAGCTGGCAGCGTCCCAGAGCCGCCTGGACCCTGCCAGCTCCTCAGCCCCTGCCCGCTGTGGCAGGAAGGATAGGCTTGCCTCACTCCCTCGCGCCCCCAGGGAAAGCTAAGGCTGAGCTGAACTAACCTGGCCTGGAGCGTGGCGAGGCCACAGCACGGCAGAGGAGCAGCTACAACTGGCATTAAACTCCACCAGCTGCCTTTCAGCGCCAAAGGCCTGCCCCCAGCCCCAGCCCCTGCGGGTCACCTCCCAGCCCCTGCAAGGAAGTGCCTTCTGTCCATCCCTCTCCCTGTGGCTTCACCCCTTTCCTTAAGGGCTGAGCCCATGCAGCCCGGCCAAAGTGAAACGTGTCTGCCGCTCCCTGCGCGTGGGAGTGGCTGTGGGATGGTTCTGGCCAGTGAGAGGGCTGGGGCTTCTGGAAAGTTCCTCAGAACACCCACCCTCAGCCGCCCGGTTTAGGGCCCTGGCTTTGCCGTCGCCCCTCGCCCTGCGGCTGCCCTGTCAGCAGGGCCGTGGGGAGGGCCCACCGGGCCGCGCGGGGCGTGAGCCACTGGGGGAGCCGGGAGGCGGAGGCTGCTGCTCGGAGCACCTGGCAGGCCAGGGACCTGCCCGGGTTGCCGACCTCCATGCTTATTAACGGGAGAAAAAATAAACTTTGATGCAAATAAAAACTGGAATTTGGCTTTTCTGTTACCCGCGGGCTTAGCAATTCCTAACCACAGGCTCCGCCCACCTGGCATCTGCCCGGAGTCCACAGAGACCCCAACCCTTCCTCCCCGGCTGCAGCCCCCAAGCCACCTGCCGCCAAGACCCGATTCCAGCCGGGTCAGGCGAGGGGCCAGGACCTCACCGCCTCGGGCCACCTCCTTCCCAACAGAGCCTGCCTGCACCCTCCACCTGCGAGTGAGGGCGAGGGGCAGCCGACCCAAACCCGCCTGGGGGACCCGCCACGCAGGCTCCACTGGCACAGCGGTCGCCGTTGTCCTTGTCCGCATGGCCCCAGAACTCGAGGGGTCCGGTCACTCACCACCCCACCCCCACCTCCAGCCCTGGGTCTGCCCCCAGCCCCCCACTGGAAGCAGAGTCCAGGGCTCGGCACACATTTGTCAGGGAGGCAGGGAAGCAGGTGGAATGGGGGGCGCCCCCGCGCGGGGCTCTGGGGCGTAGGTCATGCCCTGCTCTCGCTGCCGGTACAGACGCTGTTCATGGGCCCATGCAGCAGGTTTGGTGGGGGTCCCAGAGAGGAGCTCTGGGCCAACACCAACAGCCTCTACCACACCCCCGACTCTGCGTCACCCTGGGTGTGTCCCTGGAAGTCTCCAGAGGGGCCTGGGAGGAAAGGGTCCGGACCAGTGCTGCGTCAGCCTCCCTGTGCACAAGCGCCAGGCAGGTGGAGCAGGTCGTAAATCAGAGTGGCAGCCCCAGTCCCCGAGGACGAGGCTCAGCCCTGACCTCGGCCACCGGCTGGAGGGAAGGTTGCCAGTGGCCATTTGGAAAACTGGCATCTCGCAGGCAGCTGAGAGGAGAAGAGGAGGTTAGCAGAGCCCAAGGTCATAGCCCAGCGTCTTCTCAGCCGGAGTGCCCTTGTCCCTGGAGCTGTTCTGACATGGGGTTCTGAGAGACAAAGAGAAGAGGCCCCCATTCCCGCCTTGGGACGCGCAGCCAGGGTGCACAGTGCTGTTCAGCGCCACAGTTCCCTTCACGGAGAAGTCGCGGCGGGACAGCCTGATTCCAGAGCCCAGGGTTTAGCCCAGACCAGTGCCCCGGCACGCGGTGCCCGCCAGGGCTGGACCCCAGCGGCCCCCTCCGCCTCCCCCCTGCAGTGGCTTTGCTGTCAGGGGACATGCCCCCGGCCCCGCAGCCCCCGCCTCCGCCTCCCAGTAAGCGGACTGCTGCGCCTGTGGCTTCTGCCTCTGCTGCCACCGCCGGGTCGGCCGGCCGGCCGGGCCGCGTCTCTGGGGGCCGGGAGCAGCCCGGGCCCCGCCCAGCCCTGGGGGACGCCAGCACACCCTGGGCCAGAGGAGTTAAGGGAAAAGGCCCGGGGAAGAAAAGCTTTGCTTGCTAATTTTCCCTTTTTAAAACACGGATCAGGGCTGTAGAGAAGTGAGAAATACAGAAAGGTGAGATGGCAATTTTTAAATTAAAATCACCCACAATTCTTCCTCCAGAGCTAGTGACTTGTTAGTATTTCCTGATGAGCACGCTAGTGGTTTTCTGTGAGACACAGCCGCGTGCAGACAGCTTCCCCGGGCCTGCTTCAGCTCTGCTGGCTCCGGGCGGGGAGCGGGCCCTACTGGGGGAGCCGCTGCTGGGCTGGGTCACAGAGCTGAGGCGCTGCACCCAAAAGTAACGCCGGTGGTCCCGGTAGGAAGGAGACCTGAAGGGTCTCAGGCGCCCCAGGCCGCCGGGGAGGCAGCCGGACAGGTGCACGGGGAGGGCCCACGGCCTTCCCTGCGGCCTCCCCGCTGCCCCGCCCCGTGCCCTGCCCTGTGGGTCCGTGCCCAGCACTTCCCACCCCATCTGGGAGGGGGGCTGCCGTCCCCTGACCAGAGGAAGGGCCCAGGAAACAGTCCACAGAGGCGGCAGGCAGGTTGCCCAGGGTCACACAGCCCGAGAGAGGCTGAGTCCAGATGCAAACCCAGTCTTGGCACAGAAGCCTAAGTTGGTGACACAGAACCACACAGCCGTCCCCTTTTCCATTTTACTTTTTCTTAATACTAATAGCCTTGTCTCACACACACACCTTCCTCCAGCCTGCGCTGCAGCACTTGGCAAGGTTATCCTGAGCCGCAAAGGCGGTCTTTTAAAACAGGGGGGGCGGCCCTCTGGGTCTCTGGCCCCTCCTAGTGCCTCTCCCTGCCCAGGGCCTGCTGGCCAAGGGACTCTGGCTCTTGGCAGCATGTGTCCCGCCCTGGCCCAGGTGCCCCTGGGGCGTGACCGGGCCCAGCCAGGCGCCTGGAGTCACCCAGGCTGTGTTGCTGGTGGCCCAAGTCACAGCAGACCATGCCCACATTTCTCCCCTGCGGCGGAAGGTGGTTCCAAAGGCAGAAGGGCGCACATTCTGGGGTCCGGCCACGTGGACGACCTTGGGCAGCGCTCAGTCTCTGTGCCTCAGACCCCTGGTGTGTGGAACGGCGGCGTTCAGAACACGACCTGCAGCACAGCGCGGCGGTAGGGACCCAACCAGCCGGCGCGCCCAGCGCCCCCCACGCTGCGGCGCAGTCGCCGTCGGCTGCCCTGCCCATCTCCTCCCCCCACCACGGGGGCGCGGGCCCCACGCGCTTGGCAGCGGCCTTTCCTGCTAGAACCGTCCAACGCTCGCGCCGCTGTGGTGAGCTCGTGGTGCTCGACTCGTCACCGGCCACCGGCCTCTCCCTCTCATCGGTCTCCCGTGTGCTCTGACGTGACTGACTGGACAGAAAGCTCCAAGTGCTGGGGCGTGCCGGGCAGCGGCGAGGACCACTGCGTGCACACACAGGCCCCAGGTCACAAGTTCGGCCCCACCTCGCTGACCCTTATTTGCTCGGCCCCAGGTCACTCAGAAATTCTAGGGCAGGGCCCAGCAGCAGCAGGAGCTCAGCAGCACCCCCTCGCCCCCCCGTGACTCCTCAGTGCGCGCGGCCGACCACCTTCCAGTGACTGTCTCTGCAGCGCGGCTGCCTGGAAACGGAGGCTGTGCGCGCAGCGCACGGGCCCGAGCTGTGAGGAGACCGGCACGTGGGACCGCTGCCTGCCGCACCGCGGGCGCTGCGCACGCCGTCAGACTTGGCGAGCGCCCTCTGTGCAGGGAGGAGTGACAGAAACTCAGGTCCTTGCAGGGTCCAGAGGAATCCTGCGTGCTCGGCCACTGCCTCATGGTGCTGCACAGCACTGAGTTTTACCCGACCTGAAGCTAAATTTTAGTTTCCTCCCTGCATTATTTATTCCTCCATCAATGAACAGTGAAAGCCGGGATGAGGTGGTGCCCGCACGGGCTGGTTGGGAGGAACTTTAGAGAGCACCGCCCGGGCTGTAAGCAGCCCCTCAGTGTCACAACCCCGAGGGCACGCCTCAGCAGGTCGGGGTGCATTTACTGTGCCCCGTGACTCCCCGACGTCACTTCACCCTCCCGGGCAACCTGCGCACACGCCTGGGATGAGCCTGAGTGAGCCCCAGTGAGGCCGTCTGCTTGCTTGCTCTGGGGACAGTGACACCGAGGCTGAGGGCACGCACCATTCAATGGGCATGGCCCGGCCGGCGTCACCGCACTCCTTGAAGCTACCACTTTTTTACAACACATTCCAGTCTGCAGCCAGCAGCCAGCAGCCAGCAGCCCGGGGCCTGGCTGTCCCCTCCCTGCCCCCCATCGGCGGTGCCCCAGGAGCTCCTTTTGTGGGTCGCTGTGTGGGTGGCTGCTCGCCCGCAGGCCCCGACCTCAGCCTAACTGGGGGGGTGGGAGGCATGTACTCCTGGTGCACGAAACCGCAGCAGCTGACGCACCCCTGTGGCTGGCCGGCCTGGGCACCTCATCACCTCCCACCTCCCGAATGCGACCCCAAGGAGCGCTGGGGAGCCAGGGGCAGGGGCTGGAAGGAACCCGACAGCAGGCCCGGCGGGAGGTGCACTGCGCCTCGGTTCAGTGACATGGAGCTCCTAGCCTGTCAGTTGGGTTTCTGCTTTTTAATTCTGCTATTTCATCTTAAAATTTAGGTTTTAACAAAGACAACAGGTCAAATGTTTGCCAAATCCCTGCTAGGAATTCAGAGCATAGAAAAAGTCAAAGCTACAGCAAAAAATTATGTGCACAAATAGCTTCAGAAAATAGTACATTTTGGTTATAAAACTCATTTACAGATTATCAAAATTTGCTCCTGGTAATACATGGAAATGTGTAACTACATAAAGTATGCACAATAAACTGAAGGCAAGTTAGATACGCAGCGGCAGTGAGTGGGATACATTCGTGGTGAGAGGAGACCGGGGGTGGAGCCGAGAGCCCTCGCTCACCCCGTGGCTGGCGGCGAGCTGGCTGCCCACAGCAACGCTGCTGCAACAGCCGCGTCGAGAAAGGCCACACAGACACATGTGAAAGGCTTTATGCAAATGCTTTTACCAAGTGAACAAGGACTAGTGTCAAGTGCAAGATCAGGTGTGCCTGTCCTGCCGGGAGAGGCAGGCAGGGCCCAGGCTTGCTCCGTGGGAGGGAGCGTGTGCATCGCCGCTTACGTGGGCGCAAAACCGGGCCAGGCGAGCCGACCGGGGAGCGCGCCGGTGAAGAGGCACTGCACTTCCCCGGAAACACCACTGCCGGTGGCGTCCCAGGGCCACCTGTTTCCTAGCCCGCCTGCTAGAGCAGCAGAGCGGTGGCGCTGACGGCCCTCGCTGCAAGTTTCGTCCTGCCCCCCCACAAGCTTGCAGCGTTTTTAGATTCTACGTGGCCACCACTCCAAGTGTCTGCTTAAGGCAGCGTTCTACCAGGACAGCAGGAAAGTAATCTTCAAGGAGCAATGAGATTTCCTGCCCAAGGCACCTGCGAGCAGCTCAGCCCTTGACGGTGGCCCGCCCGCCCTCCGAGGCTCGGCCAAGGACGACTCTCCCCAGCAACGGGAACCGTGCTCCCTGCGTGACGGGCGTGCCCCTCTGGACACCAAGAGGGGACACAGGTCATGGGAAAGCACAGCGTTTAAGACCTGTGGCAACCAAACACTGCTTTTTAAAGAGCTTAGTAACTTACTTCAGTAGAAATTTCTCATTCACACAAAGCCCTTTTTGCTTAAAATTTTCAAACGGGCTCTTCGCCCCCCGGGGCTGGCTTCCTGCCTATGATCAGCTGGTCCGGAGCGCCCGCCCCTCCCCCCACCGCCCCGTCCGGCTGCAGCACCTGCCAGCCGTCACTCACGGGTGTGGAACACTGGCCTTGAGATTCGGCCCCCGTCCCTTGCCCGTCTCTCACACCCCCCACTCACTACAGCCACTCTGTGCCACAAAGGCCCAGCCCCTCTTGCCGGATACGCCGCGCCCCCACGCGTTTCCACAGGCTGAGGTAGTTTCCGAAGACACAGGAAATGCCGGCTCTCCCCCTGGCTCTCAACTCCGAGGATGGCCGCCCCCTTGCAGCCTTCCGCTGGAGCAGGGTGTCTCCCCCCTGCCTACGGCAGCCGCCCGGCCCGCCTCGCCCGGGACCCCCAGGCTGCCTGCGACCAGGTCCCTCAGGAAGACACGGCCCGACCTGTCAGAGACCCGTCTCACAAGGGCTCCGAGGACCTGCCCTCTTCCTGAGTTTCCTTCTGTTTCAAAAAGAACGTTGGTTCTGGTGAAAACGATCAACATTTTAGGCAGGGGGAAGAAAAGCGGCCTACTACATTAAATTTTAAAAGACTTTTGCTATTTGCTATACAAATATACATTTCAACTTTTGTAACACCCACTCGGGTCCAACCTAACCTTTTCAAAGGAAAACAAGATGAACATTTCAAGCCTGCGGCCTCAGGGGCTTCGTGGCTGATGTGCACACGCCCTCTGGGAGGGTTTGCAACCCACAAAAAAGCGCTGAAGGTGGCCGCAGGCTCAGGGTCAGGCCAGCTCTCCCCAACCCCAACAGCACACTCTCTCCTCTAAGGGAACAAGTCTCCTCGGGACAGTCCCACTGGCCGGCAGGGGGAGGGCGCCGGAGGCCTGCAGCGGCGCCTGGGGCCCACCCGCGGCAACGGCTGCACTACAGCTTCCTTCTCTTTGCGCTGCTGTCCTCCTTCTCCCACCTCCTGCTGTCCCGGCCAGAGTTCCTCCTGGTGTGGTGGCTCACAGGGCTGGGCATCTCCCGGTCCCGGTCCCTGGAAGCTCTGCTGTCCCTTCGGTAGCTGGGCTCCCGTTCCCGGTCACACACACTTTTACGTGCGGCATCAGCGCTGGCAGCTGGAGGGTCCCATGGCACATGCGGCCTGTGGCTGCTCCCTGAGGCTGAGGACCACTCCCCGGTGGCGCCCAGAGCCTGGGGGCTCACAGGGCAGCTCGGCTCGCCCAAGGGAGGCGTGGCTCCGTGATGCTGGGGGCTCAAGGGCTCTGGATCCCTTAGGCATCTCCCTTGGGCTTCAGAGCTCAGGCCCAACCTCTTAAGCAGTCGTGGGTCCCGAAGCTGGTCCTTCCCAGGAGGCCTCTCAGGGTCCTTTGCAGCAACAGTAACAGCAGCTTCCTTAGGGTCAGGGGCTGTGGGGTAGAGGAAAGACGCAAACAACGCCTTGATGATTTCACTGTCTGGCTTGCTGCTGGGTGAGCCGCCCTGGGGGCTGAACCCCTCCAGGGCTAGCAAAGGCGGGTGGGTCAGGCTTCGCTGCAGCGTGGGCTTCAGTTTCAGGATCTTCATTGCATCGTGTTTATAGTTTTTGTCGCAGGTCTTGATGATGGCACCACGCCTCTGTGCGTCCTGAATCAGGTGGTTCCAGTGCTGATTGTCCTTGAAATCAAAAGGAAGGAGAGTTACACCCCAATATTCACTCACTTGCTCAGGAAGCATGGGGGTGCAGCTTTGTTTCTGGACAAAGAAAGCCGCAGGCTTTCACGAACAGATTCTCCAGAACCCATTACTTGTCAGACAAGGCTGCAAAGAAAAGCCATTGGCACGCGGCCGGATGAGGCCCCAAAGAGAGAGGTCATCACAGGCGAGGGACAGCGACCGTGTGCAGCCCTGCACCTGGGAAGCAACCTCACGGAGCTATTTCAGTATCACCTAATTAAATGAAATACAAACAAGAATTCAGTGGTACCAGCCACATTTCAAGTGCTCGGCGTGACCAGAGATCCGTGTACTGGACAGTGCGGAGAACCTACCTCCGTCACCCCAGGAGACCCCTCAGAGTGGCAGATCCAGTCTCACCTTTCTCTTGGCCAGGCTAATGACATCAGAACAGGGAGACTTTGGCTTCAGGAAGCCCTAATTTTTGAGTGCCTATGACTATTCTAGAAAATGGTCCATAGCTTTCACTGAATTCCCAAAGGCTGCCCAAACTCCAAAGGGCGGAACCATCTTACATCTTAATCCACTGAAACCCCACCCCCAGGACATGTACCGGGCCGCCTCCGGCCCCTTTCCTACAGGAGCTGAGGCGACACAAGCGCCTCCGAGGACAGAACCCCCGCCCTGCCCTGACGGCACGTCTCTCCTCTCCTCCCTGCAGTAGCATCCTCAGCAGTTAAGTAGAGGACAGAGGGGGCCTGAGGGAGAAAGACAGACACAGGCTGGAAGAGGGAGGGAGAGAGGAAGGGGCCCGCTGCCCTGAGCCCCGTAGGCCAGCCAGGAGGCGGGCGGTGCGGGGTCACCGCATACGTGGTGTCCACTCGGCGGGACCAGGTCACTGGACTTCTCTGAGCTGGCTCCTCACCTGTAAATAGCAGTGTTTTACGGGACTGGTTCTAAATGCTCACCGCTTCACACTGCCCCGGCTCTGACCCCGTGCGCGGGCTCCTGGAGGAGGATCTGGGGCCAAGCCCCGATGACCCCCGGACTCTCAGGCCACCACCAACTGCACAGGGAGCGCATCCCGGCTCTCGCCTCAAGGCCTGTCCAAGGAGACCTCCTGCTCAGGCAGGATGTCCCAGCCCCAGACCCTGGAGGATGGAGGCAGGGGTTGGAAGCGAGCCCCGGAGGCCGCGGCGGCCGACCCTGCTGACGGCGCGGCAGTGTGCGCACAGGTAAGCACACGCGCCCTGGGCGGGCAGGTGATGAGTGTCCGATACTGAAAGTGAGTTACTTCTAGGGATGTCTGAACCTACTCACTTTATTTGTATTTTTTATGTACCAGCACGAGTGATGTGATAAAAACCTGTCTAAATTAAGTCTAAAACAGTTCCTTCAATAAATGTGAAAGAAAGTTTTAGGTGAAAATCAAGCGTTCTGTCAGAGTTTAATAGCAGCACACCAGACGGTGCACGTCGTAACAGACGGTGTCCTGGGCTGGATCGACAACGGTGCCCAGGCGGGCTCCACGCAGCTCCTGTGAGCTCGAAAGGAAGTCACGCACATCAAGCGCACCTGACAGGCCCCGGGGCGCAGCACCAGGCTCCGGGGCTGCATCTCCTCCTCGCACCTGGGAAAGCTCCAGCGAGTCCCACCCCGTAGCTGAGGCACGGGCCTTCATCACTGATTCCATTTCCATAAGGGAAACTGAGCTAAAGAACAATAACAACTAAAAAGCAGCCCCAAGGGCAACAACAGTTGGAACGCCCAAATGATAAATTGGCCGTGAAGATAATGTCGCAGCAGGAGGTCAGTGGTCTTCAAATTTGTGCAAGTGTGACCCTGGGGCTCAAAAAAGACTTTCGAAGGGGGGGTTGGGGTGTAAGACGCTGTGCAAGAATCAGTTTCCAAACTCAGCCTCCTGTGTCCTCGTGGGCTCCCCCGCCCTCCACTCCGTCCTTCTCGACCCCGGCGGTGCACGTCCACCCCAAGAGAAACCGCCTGGGCGCCCAATGAAGGGGGCAGCACAGACCCGGCTGCCCATGCGAGCCCCTTTAGCATGGGCGCCGCTCAGAGACACAGCTCTAACGACACTTCTCAGGTTTAAACATTATCAAAATCCAGCTGCGTAAAAAGAGTAATTGCAATAAATTATTCAGTTGACAGTAAATCGTTTAACATTCAGATCCTCATGGTCACAGGAAATTATTTTTTAAAAAGCCTTTTACCTGAGGGTAACTACAGATTTCACAGGAATTTGCAAAAAAAAAAAAAAGTACAGAGCAGTTCTGTGCGCCCTTCACACTTCACATAGAGAGCTATGGAAAAACTTTAACTTTCAATTTGTATATAAATTTGTGTGGCAGAGAAGCAACAGTGAGAACAGGATTTTTAACTATAAAAATGTATAACACCACTAAATTTTATCCTCAACAAGAATGAATGGAAATTCAATGTGGAAGAGCAGAAAAGACAACACTAATCTCTATCCTATCGCATGCACTTAAGAGTGATGTATTAGATTTATTTCTAAAAGCTTCATTGTAAAATGTCAGTATTTGTAATACATTAGAAACAAAGCCTCTGGAAATACTTAAAATGGGAGGTACACAGCCTTGAAAAATTATTTCAAGGGGGTACACAAACAACAGTTGAAGACCCCAGAGTTGGTAAGAGTTGAAAGAGAAAGACTGTGTTTGAGCGCCCTCTGGTGGTGCTAACAAAAAAATGGGGAAATCTCTCCCAAGGTAACTCATGACTCAGAAAAATTAGAAAAAGGAAAGTTATTACCCCTAATAAGACAAGTAGCAAATATGTCTTTAACTACTTGTGAAGTCAGCAAATCACGCTGCCTGTCTTTCTACCAAACCCACCCCACTGACGCCTTCCCAAGAGGAGCACCTGCGCCCTGTTCCGGATGCGCAGGAGCAGAAAGAAACACAAGCACACGCTTGTGCCCCTCACTGGTGTCAAGCCAGGCCAACAACAGCCACGTTTAGTAGTTCCAATATGCCACACATCGTTTCAAGAATCCTCGAATGAAGATACAATTTTTTTTTAACAGGTCATCTTGAGAGGATGCGGTGGCCACCTGGGCCCGGGGCTGAGCCAGGTGAGTGGCCTCCGCGACAAAAGCTGCCGGGAACAGCTGCTGGGGGACAGATAGCTGGGAAGAGGCTCCTTATTTCATGTCTCCTTGGATCCCTGACACCATTTCCACGCTGAGGGACAATAAAAACTAACCTCAGCCCACTACCAGCGACAACAGGTCAACTCCCGAGTTCCCTGGTCACCAAAGCTGCACCTACCATCAAGGTCCTCAGATGTCCGAGGATGAAGAGGCTGTACTTGGCTCGTGTGATGGCTACATTCAATCTCTGCAAACTCGCCAGAAACCTAGGCAATGCAAAAAAAAAAAAAAAAAAAAAAAAAAAAGTTACTTCTTTCTCCACAGTGACTTAGTGGTTTCAGTGTGGGGGAGACACAGGCAGCTTTTAGCCGGTTTCCTGCGGGTGCCGCAGCCCCGTGGAGCCACAGTGCCTTCTCACTCTTCTTCCCAACACAGGGCTCCTGGCACAGACGCAGCGCCCACTGGGGAGAGCAAGCACAGCCCCCAGCACTTCCCTGCAAAGGGGCCCCCTGTCTGTCCATTTCCTGTTCTCACTTGAATGAGACGCTGGAAATGTTGACAGTAGGACTTCTAAGCCTGAAAGGCATCTTAAACTATCAGACTAGATCAATTAGCCTTACATTTAAATTGAGCGCACTGCAATACTGTGGAACTACTGCAGAAACGAATGTAACAGAGAAGAGAGCTCAGGAACGACAGAACTGGCGCACAGCACAGGTGAAACACCCAACTCGCTGGGAAGGAACGGCCTGTGGACAAGCCGCTCCCGAAACAACCGCCCCCACAGGCCTGTGCAGACTGCCTCCAGGCAGGGGCGGGGGCAACTTCAATTTCTGTTTTCTGTAAGAGCAATTACATTTTTACAACCTGTAAATTTTATCGCTACTCACGGTCCTGGAGGAAAAAACCTCAGGACGGCGAGATTCGAGGGAGCTTCCTGTCCCCCGCTACATACCCGCTGCAGCCCCTTGGCCTCTGCAAGTGCGCCGGCCGCAGTGATGGTGGCAAACTCGGCCAAAGCAGAAAACATCCTGGGGGGCGGGGCGGGCACGGCAAGACACACCCCCTGGGAGAGGAGCGGGCCCCTGCCACCACACTTGACCCAGTGATGTATTTACTCTTACTCAATAAAAGAACAGATCCACACTGTGTCATGGGTTAATATACAAGGTGTCCATCAGGACAGGCAGAACCAACAATGGATTAATTTCACAACTTGAAAAATCAATGACTCACCCGATAGAGCCTTGCATGGTGTTCGCTCTGACACACGTAACAATAATACAATCTTTCTGACGACCCTGAAATGCATCCACAGTATCTACCTCTGCTGGCCTACTTAGGAAAGAAAAACGTTTATGGGAAAAATACTCATTAAACACACACATTCACACAGTAGTAGCATTCAGAAACTTTTTCATGATACCTGTATTACGGAAATACAGTTCACATAACACAAAACTCACCGTTTTTAAGTACAGTCCCTATGTTGTGCAACCATCTTCTCTAATTTCACATTTCCGTCCCCCAAAAGAGAAACCCTGCCTCAATCCCCCTCCCCCAGGCCCAGGCGACCACGACTCTCTCGATCCCTCTGGGGCCTGCGACACCGAGCACCGCGGAGGCACGGAGCCACCCAGCACGCGCGGCCTCTGTGCCTGGCTCCTCTCCCTCGGCGCATCTGCGAGGCTCACCCACGCTGGCGCAGGCGTCAGAGCCCCCGTTCTTTTGTGACCGAGTGTCTGTGCAGGTGCACTGAAATGCACTCACCCACTGACAAAACCTGTTGCAGTGTGTGATTACTAATTCTCTCTTTACTTTTTATAGGTCTGTTCAAATTTTCTCTTTTCTAGAGTCAATTTTGGTAGTTTGTGTTTCTAGGTTAAGGAACTTCTGAGTTAATGGATTTCCAATATTTAATTTTTAATTTTACTGTTGAGGTAAAAAGAAGACAAAAACATGATCTTCACCTGCTACATAAAGACACTAAAAGGGTTAACCAGGGGTGCCCAACCTGTGGCCCGGGGGTCATGTGCAGCCCAACACAAAATCATGAATTTCCTTAAAACACTGAAATTCTGGGGGGATTACAGGTCGCAATGCATTTACTATGTGTCCCAAGACAACAACTCTTCTTCCAGCGTGGCCCAGAGACACCAAGAGGTTGGACACCCTGGGTTAAGTCATTTATTCCAAGTGAAAATGCGACTTCGCAAGTCTCCCTGGAATTGGAATTGAGGCTAACAAGTCGCGGAACTAAATAAAGGGAACAGCCCGGGGAGCTCCAGGGTCAGTCCCTTGTCAGGTCCGCCTGCCACAGGCCGGGCTCCGCCCGCAGGGCTGCAAGCGCCCGTCCGCACCCCGCGGGCCGACCGCACGCTGCCGCCTGAAACCGCGCCCCATGTTGCCTTCCCTCCCAGCCCCTCTTTCTCCTCTTTAGTTCAACTTAAAAACTGAAAATATCTATAAAATAGAGATGCCTCACCCTTTTCCATCAAATTCTTTGTCCAACTCCTTCTGAATCATCATCTTCTGAGCCTTGTAATGGGTTATGATGCCGACGTTCCGGAAAGTAACGTCCTTTCTTTTTTCTTTAAGAAGTTTAATCAATTCTATGACCACTTTTATTTCTTGAACATTTACATACGAGCTAAATGAGGTGGACAAAGGAACACATTAAAACCAATAGCAGTCTGATTGCTACCTTAAGTTCCATTCTGTTTCCATTACAGTAAAGGAAAGCAGGTAAGTTTTATTATAACTCACTCGGCAGGGACTCAAAAAGGCAGATATGCTGACCCTTAATATTGTACATGTGAATAAATACAAAAACAAGTGGCTGGTGAAACAAAGTTGTAAGAGAAGAAAGTTTTAAGTTAACTGAGGTTTAGGTACCAATTTCTTGACACTTGTTAAACATCTGTTAAACAAGAATGACGATAATAACAAAAACGTAATAAAGAATATATAAACAATAAAGGTTTGCTATCTTCCATACACTGAGAAAAGTGCTTTAGATATATATTTTTTTTATTAAAAGAGTTTATTTATTTTTAGAGAGGGGAAGGCGGGGAGAGAAACATAAATGTGTGGACGCCTCTTGAGAGTCCCCTTCTGGGGACCTGGGTCTGCAACCCAGGCCTGTGCCCAGACTGGGACTCGAACAAGAGACCCTTTGGTCCGCAGGCCGGCACTCAATCCACCGAGCCACACCAGCCAGGGCCGATGTATTATCTTTTTTTTTTTTTTTTTTAATCCTGACCTGAGGATGTTTTATTGATTTTAGAGACAGAGGAAAACAAGGAAGGGAGAGAAACATCCATGTGAGAGAGACAGGAGACAGACATAGATAGGTTGTCTTCTGCACGTGCTCCAACTAGTGATCGAACATGCAACCCAGGCATGAGACGTGTCCGGGGATGGAACCCGCCACCTTTCGGCGCGCGGCACAGCCGTCTAACCAGCCGAGCCCCAGCCCAGGCGGGTGCATTCTCTCTTCAACACCCCACCACTGGCTGCATGAGTCGCGCACCACCCAAGCAAGGGGATGCCACGCACGCAGACACCCAGGACGCGGCCCCGAGATGAATGATGGGGGTCCCACGGCGGCCCCGCCTCCGCTGTCCTCCTTGCTGGCCTCCCCCTGCACTCCCAACGTGTGTCCCAAACAGCACCCCCCACCCCGCCCCACACCACAGGGGACATGGGGGGGCACAGCGGCAGTGGCGGGCGGTGGGTGCCGCACTGCTCCTGAGGCCGCCGCGTCTCACCTCAAGAGCCTTCGATGTCCAGCAGCCCAACGTCAAACGTACTGCACAGACGACCCAGCTAACGTGCTGTCTCTTCCATCCTTAAAACTTTTATTCTGCTCAGTCACCTCCTACGTCACCATCCCTCTGGTGACCCCCCGTCCCTGTAATGCTTATGGAGCTCGGCTCTCCATCCTCTGCTCCTGCCCCATCCCACAGCCCCTCTGGCCCTGCACACCGGCTGGCTGCCTCGCCTCTCCGTGTCTCTAACGTCCCCGCCTTCAGGGACTGCTCTCCGATCCTCCCTGAGGACACGGCCCGCTCTGCAGCTCTCAGGACACAGAGGAGTCTGCAGTCCCTCCGACGTCATCGTGTCATCGCACACAGGTGGTGCCCGCACCTGTGCTGGCAGAGGCAGCCCCGCCCCCCGCGGCCTCTCGGCTGCTCGCGCAGCGGAAGCCCGGGCTCCTCTAGGCGTTTCCACACTAGCAGGCCCCCCCCCCCGCTCCGTCGCTCACAGACCGCCTGACAAGGCCATACATGGAAAGCACCATCCACGCTGTCTCACAGCCCCCGGCCAGCTCAACCTGTATCGATCCTTCACAACACTTAACCCAACGGGCATAACCGATCACCCTGGCGGACACCAATCGGACCACAATAACCTCGCTGCAAGCTATGGCCTCGCCCGGATCTGCTCAAGTGCCCACGCCCCACGGGAGGTGCTGCAATCCACGCTAGCCAAAGATTAGTTTATCTTTAAAAAAGGAAATACTATTAACAATTTGGCTCAAAAAAAGTGTGCCATCATTAGAGAGATGTGTAGAGACAGTGTTTTGTATATATAAACAAACAAAAACACTAACAACCCCGAGGCCGCTCTGGGGAGTGAAAATAAGAGAACTCACTCGTTATCGCGTCTTTCCAAGCCGTCTCCGACGTCGAACACGAGGTAGGGCTGAAACGGCCACTCCGACGAGCACCGGATGGTCTCGGTCACTCTGCAAACAACAGGCACCATTCAGAACAGAAGTCGGGTCACATGAGAAAGATTTTTACCCTTATTACCATCCTCCTTGGAGAGGACGGAGCTGGGGGAAATGAGTGCAGAAGGAGGACCTTCTTTTACTGCCATGTGCTTTACTGGAAGGTACAGAACGAACCTTATGCTAGTGCTAGGGAGGATGAGTGGTGTAAGTAAAACATAATTACAATTGGAAAGTTACTCATAATACAGGAAGTTAAAAAAAGCTAGCCATGGAGTCCTAACATACAGAATACTATGATTTTCTTTCTGACTTAAAAAAATGTTACCAGTGACTATTTCTGGGTAGTATAAACACTGGTAGTTTTCCACCCTTCTTTTTATGCTTATCAACATTATCTGTAATCACCATGACTTGTATAATTAGAGAAAATTATTAAATCTTTGATTTACGCTTTTTATGACAAGACTTAAGAACAGAGTAAACGGCTCTCCTTTCTAAGCAGCTAACCCTGTCCATGAAACCAGCTGATGAGCGATGTGTGCGCCCCACCTGTTGGTTTTCAGGCTCCTGCTGTACACGTAATTGGAGGGGAAGAGGCAGATGTCGGGGTGCATCCTGTACTGGACGGTCAGCTGCAGCACGGGCAGCCTGCCGCTCACGTTGTGCTCCACGTTCTCCTCCAGCAGCTTGCAGAAGCGGGCCATCATCGACTGGTCGTAGCCGTACTCCTGCGCCTTCTGGAAGGGGGAGGATAAAGCGGTCACCTCTGAGGACCCGCCTGTTACGAGGGTCCCACGGTTACAGAAACCATTGCGGAGCTTTAATCTGTACGTGGCGAGGGTCAGGGACCAGCACCAACAACCAGCCATCAGAGAAAGATGACATTTCTGTTCCTGGCCCTTGAAAAGCCACGTAGCTTGACCATAAAAGTTGAGGTATTTTCTCTTCCTTCAAAAAACCCACACACCATTTATGAAAAAGATGGGACCTTGCGAATGACCGGAGGCCACGGTGACACTAACAGAGATCACCTGACTTAATGAAATACGCACACAAAAAAAGTAACAGATTTTAACAATTATTTCTGGGGCATGTTCTCAACAAACAGAAATGTTCAATGTCATTGTAAACAAGCCCTTTCAAAGCTTCCTCCCTCTCAGCCGATTTCATGCCCCCAAGGGCGGATTGCAGCCTGCAACCCGAAGGTTGCCCGATGAACCAGGAAACGGGACTGGGGCCGCATCTGCGCCTTGGGACTGACTCTCCAACGGCAGCCTCCAGCCTAGGAGCAGGGCTCCGCAAGCCCTGCCGCGTGCCCTCGGGGCACAGACGCTCTGAGAGAAAGAGACGGGCTCCTCCGTGGAGGCGGGACACAGAATAGGTCACTTACGCGTGTGATTTTTACTAAATACAATCAGTATCAGTAGACACTTGACAAGTTCATTTACACCCCCCCCCCCCCCCAAAAAGTTTATTCACGTTAGCCTAAGTCTCATTTTGAATCTTCCCTGTGGGAAAGAAAAAGGACTTATATGAGGTAACACACCTACTTCTAGAAAAAGGCTGAGTGCCCCTACAAGAGGACAGAGACTGGTACCTTCTGACAGGGGAAGGCTCTCCTGTCTGTTCACTGCCTGGGAAGAAATCAACTTGTCACGAGGCCGAAGCCAACACGTGCGCAAACACAACCCTGACGGCCGGCCACCCGACACCCGCAGACCGGGACATGTGGCTGGCTGTCACCCACTGGGAGGGGAGCTCCGGGAGGACAGGGACTGCAGCCTGCTCCCTGCGTTGTCCCCGCAGCACCTGGGCTGGTGCGTGAGCAAGGCGGGCACGGCAGAGGAAGGGGACGTGGGAGCGCGTCAGCGCCCGGCAAACCCGTTCAAGCGCTCACTGAGCCCCTCGCAGTTACCGCCCTGGAGAGGGGCTTAGGCAGCTAACTTTGTACTCACTTTCTGAACTTTTCTCAATAAGCCTTTATTATTTTTGCAATCAGAAAGAAGCCCAAATGGGTTTTTCTCATTTTTGCAGTTTTTAATCTGCCACCGCAGCGGGCAGGCGAGTGAGGCCCCTCAGCAGCCGTCTTCCTTCCACGGGGCAGCCCTTCGGGAGCTCGGCCGGCCCCTCTCGGGAACGCATGGGGCCCCCTCTCGGAGGCACAGCCCCACACCCCACGGCTGGGAGCCAGCGCCAGTGGGCCCGGAGACACATGGGGCGGCCTGGAGGCCGGCGCCTCCGTTCCCAAGGGCATGCGGGCCCCAGGGCCCGGCCTCGGGGACTGGGGAGGTACACCAGGGTGGTTTCTCTTTATGACGTTTTCCTCAAGTTTGCACACATGTAAATACAAATCAGTAGGTTCTGATTCTTTCCCTTGCTTTTAAACTTTTTCATTTCATTACTGTTTTGGTGTTTGTTATGAAAAAAGAGAGGACCCCTAAAACAGCGTCGCAGGGCCTGTCCCAGAGGAGAAGCCCAGGCCCACGGGACAGGGTCTCGCCAAGTCTCCCCGTCTCTGGCGCTGCCGTGCAGCCGTGCGCACGCACACACAGAGGGGCATTCTCAGAGACGCGGACTATTAAGACTCAAACCGCGATTCTCCTTTCCCAGCCATTCCCACACTTCTCCCCGCAGGTAAGAGACAACGACCCAACAAAGATGCCCCTTCCCCCAAAAAATGCCAGAGGGGCCCCTTCCACACTGAGGCAACTGGAGCGCGAGGCACTCACCACGGAGATGACCGTGGGGGGCAGCTGCTTTGGGTCTCCCACGAGGACCAGCTTGTTGCAGCGGTGGATGAGGGGGGTGAGGGTTTCCACTTCGCAAGCCTGCCCAGCCTGGGGAACAAAGCACAGGGCGGGGAAACGGTCTTAGCCTTCTCTGCTTTTTCTTAGCTGTGCACCGTCCGCCTGACTCACGAAGGCCCTAGCCATTCAGAGAAGGGCCACTTTCTCCTTCTGCACCAAATACAAAAAATAAGGATTTTCTTTGGAGAAACAAAGAACTCTTCAATTAAAAAAAACAAACACACGTATTTTGACGTCAGCCACCACTCAAGTGTCACTGACACTTGGCAGTCAGCCACAGGCCAGAGGGCCACAGACTGCCCCAGGCTTGTGTCCCTCGTCCCTGCCGGAGCTGCATGTTTCTACCTATCCCACGTCCCTCCTTGGTCCTCAGGAGGCCTTCTGATTGCAAGACTTGGCGTTCCTCCCGCCAAGCTGTGTCCCTCCATCACTTCCTCACACCCACCTCTGGACTCTTTAACTGGGTGACTATGGGACCTTGGGTCCCCTGTACCTAATACATGCTTGCTCACAGAATGAACTAGGAAAATTCTGTGGCTCAGAGCTATCCAAAGTTATATTAAAAACACTTCAAAAGGTGAACTGAGATACCGCAAGCAGCAGCTCAGACAGTCCTTGGGAGGGGCTTTGCAAGGAACGATCACGCATCCCCATGAGTAAGGCCGCAGTACTGGACAGGCAATTCTGACCGGGGGGAGTCGTTAGCAGCCTATGTCAACATGAGAGAATACGCGTGTCATGGCAGGTAAACTCAGAAGCAAAGACCGCCATGTTAGCACCCTAACAGCCCGCTTGTCTGAGACCCCTCACGGCACCAGTCAAGGCTGGACCACAGACTGCTGGCTGACCTCGTCGACGATGACGCAGCTGAAGGGGACCCCTCCTTGCCCCCGGAAGGCAGACTCGAGCAGCAAGCCGCCGCTCGTGCTTAGGGTGCAGCAGATGATGTGGGACTCCAGGATGATGATGCTCTGAGTTTTCTGTGGGCGTCCTTGAACCTGGAACAAGCAAAGGGTCGTTACTGTTCAACTGTCCAAAATTCTTGACTACAGTAGGCCTGCCTTTACTGGAAAACACCCAGCTTTTTTATATGACACAATAACGTTCAGTAAATATAAGGGGAGACCCTCAATCTACAAAAATAGCGGAAGCATTCAAGATAATCAGGAACCACCAGAAAAAAATACTGCTCTAGTCTGCAGTAGTCTAAGCTTAGAATCAGCTTTACATACACAAAGAAAAATTTATCCGGGGCCTGATTTTGTCAAAGTCAGTAACAACTCTTACAGCCAGAGATGTACGTGGGCAGGTATCAGAATAAGCAGAGACTAAGTAATTCTACTGAGCTGTGAGACAGCTGTCTGAGGAGAGCGCAGGTCGGAACTAAGCTGGAACGTATGCTTCCGTTTGTTTTTAAGACATGCGGACATTCTCCCTTTCCTGAAGGCTGGCAGCAAGCCGCCGCCGTACGACTGCTGAGCGCTGTCCTCCCGCGCGGGCCCACAGCCGTGGCTGGCCTCTGTCCCCGCCGCACGCAGCTCACCCTGTACAACGCGGGGCTCCGGGGCGCCAACCCCGCCGCGCAGCTGAAAACCCTGCACAACTCGGTCCGCCCGCCCTCCGCATACGGGGATTCCCACCTCGGACCGCAATCACAGCTGCAGCGCGGTGGAGCCAGACAGCACAGATGATGCCTCACACTGCCGGCCGCCCAGTGTCAGGCGCAGCCCGCCCGTTTCGCTCCAGAGCGCAGCAGGGACCCGTCCCTGCACTGCTCACACCCAGCCCTAGCCTCCGAGGCTTGCACGTGGGCTCCAGGCGGAAGGTGGCGGCTGTGGCCCCCCAGGGCTCCCGTGCTGACGCTCTGCCACCTGTCTCCTCTCAGCCATCAGCGGGGAAAGAGCCAAGCACCATGGCCACCAAACAGGGTGATGCACAGCGAAAACCACGCTACCTGTAAACACGAACTTCATCCTTCAACTTGGGAAGACAGAGTCTGGGCTCAGTTTAAAATTAAAAAAAAAAGTTTTCCACCTGATTTTAACTTAAACTGCTAATGAAAATATGCATTGAATTCAACTGTATTCATTGAGCCACACAGAGAAGGCTGACAATACATTCAGGAGAAAACGCTGGCAACACCGCTGGCTGGTGGTCTGTGCTCTCCCTGGCCCCCAAGTGAAATGTTGTATTTGAAGGAGCCCAGTACAGAGCTCCCACTGTCACTGTAAGTGAATTCAGACACGTGTTCCTTTCCTTCTTTCTAGCAGGGAAATACCCACAAACCTGTGTTCAGTAACTGTTCATCTGGCTATAATTATCATCATTGATTTTGCAGTTGCAGGGGAGGGAAATAGAGAACCTAATAAGAGGTTTTTTTAATACGTAACAGGACCTAGGAAAGGAAAAGCTATTATCCACTTATTTTTTAGAAATCTCAGGTGGTGGTAAGAATTCATTATTAGGCTCAATAAACAAATGCAAATATATATGTAATTATACCACTGGCTCCACTTTTGTATTTGTTTCAAATTTCACATAAAAACTTTAAAAATGTAATTGATAAAAGCCTACTGGTTGTCTAACTATGTCATAATTACAAATCGAAAAAAAAAATAAACCCAGAAAAAGGCTATATAGCTAAACTACTTACCTCTTTAATTTTAGAAGCAAGTTCCTGCCTCTCTTTGGAAACGTGGGCAATTCTTTCATCTAATTCTTGCCTCTGGAAAAAATTAGAATGCCACCATTAAAATTAAATAAGCATTTTAAAATGCTTTCCAATGGACTGCTTCACTTCCAAAGGGTGAGCCTACACTCAATCTACAACAAAAGTATTCATCAGTTTTCCTCTTTACAACTAAGGTCCCGATATTCTTCTGCATCACCGCCTGTCTGGGGTCGAGCTCAGCTATGCCGCGGCAGGGTCACCTCCACGTCCGTCCGTGTGGCCCAGCAGCCTGCAGACCTTCACAGACACCAGCCCCTCCCCTCAGCGCACGCCCACGGCAGGGCCCAGTCACGGCCAACACCAGTTCCTGGGAGGGCTTCTCCGGCAGCCCCGGGACGAGCAGTCTCGCGTGCCGCCCCGCCGTGCTGTGCCCCCCTAGATAAGGCCTAGATAAGGCTGGCCGATCCAGCCTTAGCCCGGGAGCCCCGACACACTCCACCCTTGGGCCCTGACAGAGGCATGTGCCCCCTGCAGCCTCCCTCTGTCTGCACTCGGCCTTGACCTCTCGTGTGGCCCCTCAGGGCGAGCCCTGCGCTTCCTCCAGGACCCGTGAGTAATAAGCTTCTCTATTTCAGTTTCCCTCCCGGTCTGTTGCTGCCCCGCGCTCACTGGCCGGCACCCTGTGTTGCACTCAGCAGTCCCTGGGAATCTGATACATTCTTCACGTCCCTTAGGTCCAGTGCGTGGCATTGTGAGCCACTTCTGAGCACCCTGACCCTTGGGTTGCCATTCCACTCCTTTCTCTGTGTTTCAAATCAGGCCATCAGTCACACCGCAGTCACCTCTGGCCACAGTGACAGGCCTGTAATATGGTCCCTTACAAGCAGGGACCAGAGCCGCCTGCACAACAGGGACTAGCCCACCTTCTCCCTGGAGCGGATGCACAGCGGACCGGAGGGGCTCGCTCTACCTGCGGACCTTCTGAGCTGGGCGGTGGAGCCAGAGACGCTGGCGCCGTCTCCTCCAGGAGAGGTGGCTGACACGCAGACATGCCTGGCTGGAGTTAACCCGTTCCTAGTTGTCCCATGTCTAGACATAAGTGAATTCCCTCCTGTCTAACTTGATTTGAGTTTCTTCAACTTGTAACCTAAAGATACCTAACGAATTCAGCACAGCTCTAACAGAAGGCAGGCAACAGTGAACTGCAGCCTGTAGGCCCATTCAACTCATCGCCTGTCCATGTAAATAAAGTTTTATTGGAACACAGCCACGCCCCTTGGTTTATGTTATCTCCTGTTGCTTCTGTGCTACCACAGAAGAGATGAGTCCTCGAAACGGAGACCTGTAAAGTCTAAACCATTTCCTATCTTGACCTTTTCAAAAATAAACTTGTGAAACCCCAACGTAAGGCACACCACATTTGTATACATTTTTATCGACAAATTATGCTATTCCACGGTAAAAAATGGAATCAAATACTCATCTAGTTGGTGCACCTATGATATATTAAAAAACATTAACCAGCCCTGCTTTGCGTGGGTCAGTGGGTTGAGTGCCAGCCTGTGAACCAAAAGGTCGCCAGGTCGATTCCCAGTCAGGGTACATGCTGGGTTGCAGGCCAGGTCCCCAGTAGGGGGCGTGTCAGAGGCAACTGATAGATGTTTCTCTTCCCTCTTTCCCCTTCCCTCCCCTTCTCTCTAAAAATAAATACCATCTTTAAAAAAAATTAACCAAAAAATGTTTAAGATACCTGCATTTCCCTCCCACCTCGGCATAAAGCACGCTGGCGGGAAAGTTCATCTAGCTGACGGTCTAGGTATTCCTTCCTTCTATGCATCTCCTGAACATAAGACGGTAAATCTTTTTCTAAAAAAAAAAGAAAAGAAAAGAAAAGATAAAGAATTATGCCAATTTTAACACGTACACATATGCGTAACAACAATATTTCAACTAGTTCCCAAAGTCAGATCATCTGCGGGATCCCCACAACATGTCAAACGCCCACAGCGCTACCCACGGTACAAATGGAATGGAGCTGCATCGGCGTGAGCCGTGTCCGCACTCACTCATTCTGTGGTTGACTTGGTTGTCCAAGCTGAACTTCAGGACCTCATTGTTAATAGACTTTTCTGGACCCAGACGTACTAAATTGATATCTCCACAGTTTCCTGTTGATAAAAACCACACTCATGAGATTGATAAGGACACTGCCAACCTCTGTCCATCATAACAGCTATTGCTAAGCAGGTGCCCGAATGGTCAGAGAAAAGGGCCGACGCGAACCATAGTCACTAGACATGTGGAACCTTCACACACGTGATCTCAGAGCTTCTTCCTAACAGCCCTGTACAGCGAGAATTCAGCATTCCTGCCCCCTGGCAACAGCTGGCACGGTCATATATACACACTGCCCTGCGGAGACGAGGTTCTATTTACTAATCTTTCTCAAATTAAGTTTTTTACAACATTTCCATGGTTAAATACATTTGAAAAATGGTGAGTTAAAGCAGATTTCTTACCCACAGGGTGTTTAAAAAATATATAAAGACTTATATATTTACACACATTTGAATTTCTAAAACAATTTTATTTGAGCATCAATCCTTTCCTGCAGAATACTCAGAACAAAGGTTTTGAAAACTCTGTTCCACATCACATTCTACTTTATGAACTAGAAATGCCCCCAAATTGTAACAGACATCCTTTAAATTACAGGGCAAGTTCATAAGAAGATAAAACAAATTCTAGGAACCAAAAATGAAGAGAAAGCTGAAAACCAGAGTTGAAAGCCCAGAGCCGCTGCGGCTTCCCCGGGGGTGAGAGGTGAGAAATGGTTGCTGTCCCTGCGTTCGGATGTTTTTAAATTTACATTCTAATGCAGAGACTTAAAAATCTTTAGTTTTGCAGTTTGACCAATGTTTACACTGGCAAAAGTGCTACTCCAATCAAGATACACCAGTTTTATAAGGCAGGCTCGGATTTCAGGGACAGCTTAAAAGCAACAGGACCTGTCCTGGCTTAGCTGGGAAAAACTCCTCTTCTGGGACTTTCCAACCACAGGCTCGTGCCACATGCAAATTTAGAGGCTTAATATACAATACAAAGGTGGCTCTCAGAAATAAAGTAGAGATTTTAAAAATGAGAATACAAGGAGCAACTTTATACTGATATATTTGAAAACCTAAGATACAGTGAAATTCTTCTTGAACATGTGAATTAGCAAAAGTCACTCAAATCCAGAAAACGTGAACAGAGCCTTAAACATTAAAGACATTTAGACAGTGGATAAAAGCTTACCCCTCTGTCAAACAGAAAAATGAAACACTAAAAACTAATTAACCTTCAAGGAAGAGATAATGTGTCTTATAAAAAACATTCCAAAGGAAAATAATAATCCCCCCAACTCCATTTTTAAAGTTCATGTAACTTCAATACAACTAGAAAAAAATATGACAAAGAAAAATTACCGGCTGGCCTCATTTATGAATAGTAATTTTAAAGATTCTAAATAAAGCATCAGTAATCCAAGCATGTGTTTAAAAAAACAGTAATACAAGACCAAGTTGGCGTTAAGAATCAAAGCTATTTTATCATTAAGAAAGTGATAATTTACCACTTTAACGGATTAAAGAAAAACTTCACTACCATTTCAATGAATGCAAAAAACCCCTAAAATGTCATCAAATTCCACACCCACTTATGACAGAAATCGGAGGAAGGGAACTAACCCAGTGACGGGCTCATCGCGGGAGCCCAGACACACATGTCCCACTTCACGGTGAGGCCCCACTTCCTCCCAGGACACCCAGCGCCATGGGAGCCGTGAAAACAAGTGGAAATGACACACTGAGAGAAGGAAAAAGCTCTTTACTGACAGAAGCCCTTTACTCTCTAAGAAATAGAAGAAAAAACCCACCCCACCCACCTGGCTTGCCCGGGCGCTGTGGGCCCTGCCGCCTGGTCAGCGTGCACAGGGACAGGGCCCGCCCACCGGCCAGGGAAGGCCCATGAGCGCGGCACCCTGCCCGCTACCCGGGCAAGGCTCTGGGCCAGGTCCACTGGCACGACCACTTTCCGAAAGAACTCGGCACTGCCTAGAAAACTGAAGACACACAGGGCTCTCGCCCCAAGATTTTCGCTCTAGGTACACATGCAGCAGACCAGTGACCTGCACCGGAAGTAGAAAGTACACCTCACCCACCAGCAATAAAAGAGGTTTTACAAGACAACTTACCATCACTGCCTACCCTCCGATCTTTTCCGCCCTGCCTTCCCTTGTTTAAACACGCTGGTTCTGGTCGCCTAAACTGACTACGCCAACCACTGACGATGGTCCCAAGCAGCTGTCTGAAAAGCGCTGCCCTGGAGCGCAGCGGGAGACCCAGAGGCCCGAGTGGGGCCCTGGAGCTGGCGTCCTCCCTGTGCGCTCCCTCTGCCCAGAGGCCGCAACACGGCAGAACCCCTGACGGGCCGAGGAGAGCGCTTCGGCACCTGCACTGGAGAACAGCGCAGCCTGAGGGAACATCCACTGCAATGAAGTTTGAAGTAACAAAAAATGTGAGAGAGGCTTCAAGTCAAGATGTCGGCGTAGACGGACGTGGCTCACCTCCTTGCACAACCATGACAAAATTACAACTAAACCAGAGAACCACCATCACTCAGATCTGCCAGAAATTGAGTTGAATGGAAGCCTGACAACTATGGAATTAGAGAAACCACACCCATCCAGACTGGCAGGAGGGGCGCAGACACAGAACAGGCTGGTCCCACACCCACGTGTGGTGGATAAAAATTCGGGAGGGACATCTGGGGAGTGAGGACTCCCAGCCCCACACCAGAGCCCCCAGCCCAGGGTTCCCTGCCAGGAAGAGAAGCCCCACAACTTCTGGCTGCAAAAGCCAGCGGGACGGAAGAAACTTCAGGAGCCCCAAGCTGAAAGAACCCACACACAGACTTCGTCAGACTCACTCCCTCTGAGCTCCAGCGCTGGGGTGGCAGCTTGAAAGGCCCCAGTGGTGCACAGGGAAAAACCGAAGTGGCCGGCATCAAGGTCAGCAGGGGCCATTGTCCCTTTTCTAAACCCTTCGCCCACAGAGCCTGCAAGCTGGTGCTCTATCTGAGGCTCCATCAACATGGCTAACACTGTCTGACCCACCTGGGAGATCCCCAGAGACTCCGCCCCACCCAACTTACAGGCCCACCCGAGCTGCTTCTCCATAGGAATGGCGGGTTTGGCTCATCCTGCACAACTTCCTAAATCCTCTCAAACAAGCAGCAGCCGGCCTCGGGGAGCCCCAGGCCCGGCACCAGCAGCAGCCAGGCCAGGTTCACAGCTTGGCTCCCCCTGTGAATCTCCAAGCCCAGCCCAAGGAGCAGCCCTCTCCGGTTGCTTTACAGCGCAGGCGGGGTGGCCCCGGGCAAACACAGGTGGGGGCCGACCTTGGCCTGCACCACCCAGGAAACCCCAGGGCCAGTGCCCACAGGGAAAGCCCCCGAGGCGGCCAATACGCATGCCTGCGCCCATGGAGGGGCATCCAGGGAACCGCAGACGTACCAGTGGCTGGGAAAGCTGTGAAATGACAGTGCCTTGAGTCTCAAGCCAGTGAATATTCTCTACAGGTAACACCCATGTGGTGGGAAGAAAAACGTGGTGACCGCTCACAATAAAGACGGTGTGTCCTGGCTTCTGCCGTGGCTGGGTGGGGCCCTGCGAGAAGGTTCTGGCCAAAAGGGACTCAGCAGAGGTGCTACTGGCAGAATCTAGGAACTTCCCTGAAAACGAGGCTAGGACGTTTCCTGTGCCCTCTCCCCACCTCCCCCACGGGCCACTGCTGCTGGGCGCGCGACAGCGGGAGTGGACGCAGCCGTCTACGACTGGGAGGCGCACTCTGGGAGGAGGCCGCAGAGCGGACGGCAGGACAGAGGGAGCCCGGGCCTCCGGGCTCACCCTGGCACCAGTCCTGACCTGTCCATCTCTGCTCTGAGTCCGAAGGAAACAAACTTCTGTCAGAGTCAAGCCGCTGTGTTCGGAGTCACTCACATTTGCAGCCAAATCGAACCCTAACTGACAAAAGGCACTGCCAGGTAACCTCTTCCAGAAAAACAGCATTTGGTCAGAAAGACAAGACCTATGAGCCTGAAAAAAACAGCCTAACACAGAGCCCTAACCACACCACTCAAAGGGGGCGTGGTGAGAAAGAGCGCTAAGTAAACAGGAATTCTTCATCGCCACGCAGCGTCCTGAACAGCCTGTGGTCTGCCCTCCGCCCGGGCCAGCTGGGCTGCAAAAGCAGCCCCGGGGGCACTGTCTGCCCTGCTCTGCAGCCTCTCCTCCCATGACGCGTGCACAGACAGCTATCTGACACTTAGCCCGCGGGGTCCGTCTGAGAACTGCCGACACAGCAAGCGCGGCTCTGGCTTCGTGGTCACTGAATGTCTGCTGAGCCCCAGGCGCGGTCTCACACAGGGACACGGGGGACATGGCCATGAGTGAGTCAGTAACTCCGGCCCCCAGCCCTTGGGAGCAGCCCCCTCCCGGATGTGCTGAGCCAGCTCTTCCGGAGAGAAACGGGTGCTGGCACCCCTGCCCTCACACCCCTCCCTGGCTTGTCTCAAAGTGCTCTTCAGGCTTCCCCTAGAACCCACTTCCTCTGAAAGCGCCCCCACCCTCACGCGGCGGCGCCAAGGGCCCCTCAGAGGTGTCTGTCAGCACCACACCTGGCTCCCGCCCGGAGAGCCGACAGCCACACTCCGCGCCCGCCCCGCCCCCTTCCTCCTGAGACCCTCGCCCTCGGCAGCCACCCTGCGTAAACGCCCTCGTGCGTCACCGTGCCTGCCATGCAGGAACCACTCAGTGACATTTCACGAATGAGCCACTAAGGACAGAGGGGCCACAGACTTATGGACGAGTGAGAGCCAGATCTGGCTTGCTCTTTGTCACTCAAAGCTGCCCACACTAAACACCAGAAACAAAACAGATGAGAGGTCCACCTGAACACCATACCCATAGGGTTCTTCTTGTCTTTACACCTTTCTTTGAATTCGAGGATAATTTTTTTCATCAGCTCATCCACGGCTGCGTTGGAAGGCGCACACACGAGCACGCGGTTCTGCTTGATCTTCGCGTTGGAGTTTTCATCCAAGTGCCCCCTCCTCTGGTTCCACAATTTGCCACATGCACCAGACAGACAAAAAATACCAATGAGCTCTATTAGGTCATTCTATCCTTTTTCTTATTTCTATACATGTTAAGTCCCCCTTACAAAGAGTTAAAAACACATAAAAGCACCTACACCTCACAGCAATAGGAAAACTACTCTGGAATAAAGCGTCAGCCCAGCTTCTCTGTGCCTTACCTTCCTAGTCGCTTATTTCATTTGGCTTACCCAATCCAACCATAACTCACCTGCCCCGGGAGATACTCAAGGTAAGTTTCCTGGCAGACGTGGCCTGTAATGAAGCCAGCAGACCGCCATCTGGCCTTCAGGATGAGTTTCACCCAAGACGGCATTTTCTGCCCTTTGACCTTCTTAGAACCTCCTCTCCCTCTGCTCCCCCATCTCTGATGAAACTCCACACGATATCAGAAAGACATACAGATGTGAAGGAAGAGATGCGCCAGGGCGCATTTGCACGTCGGTTAATGCAAGCGCGGCGGCAGCACTGCCCAGCCACAGTGCTCACCCGCCCGCCGTCCCTACCTCCGTCAGCAGGCGGTACAGGAGGCCAACGATCGTTTTCGATTTCCCCGTTCCGGGCGGCCCGTGAATGAGACAGATCTTGGCCACCGCCGGGGAGTGCTTCACCATGGCGTATGCGGTTTCTATCGCTTTCTTCTGGTCTTCATTGAAATCTCTTAAGTAGGCAGTCTGCACAAAAGACAAGCGTGAGCATGGACGAGACCCCAAAGGGACCCACCCTTTACCTCAAAACTGCTTTCACTGCTAGAAAGAAAGGCACTTAGGAATGTCTGCAGGCTTCAGCCCAGCAACAAATACAATGACTGTATTTTCACTTGTGATTCTTATCAAGATGACAACGGCAGCCCTGACTGGTGTGGCTCGGTTGGCTGGAGAGTTGTCTCGTAAACCGAAAGGTCACCTGTTCGATCCCCAGTCAGGGCACATGCCTGGGTTATGGGTTCAGTCCCCAGCTGGGAGCGTGTGAGAGGCAACCAACTGATCAATGTTTCTCACATCAGTATTTCTCTTCCTCTTCCTCTTTCTCCTTCCCCTCCTCTCTCTCTAAAAATATATAAAATCTTGGGGAAATAAAAGATGATTACAATAAACTGTTGTATTCTGCGCTATTTCTTCTTTGGTTCCTCTCATTTTAGTCAATTCTCTCCTTACACCGTAAAAACAAGTGACACAGTGCAAAGAGCATGGGTTTGGGGTCAGATCTGAGTCTAAACGTCATTTTCACTCACAAGCTGGGTCTCCTAAACCCCTCAGCAATCTTAGCCCCAGTCTTTGTTACCCTTCAACCTGGGACACCTAAGGGTGAGAACTGACCGAGATGAAGCACACAAAAGCCCCCAGCACACGGCAGGCGCTCAAAAATGTCACTTTCCTTTGGCCTTTCTCTGTGTTAACTTCCTGGAATTTACATGTATGTACCTCTTCCAGTGAGATACATGTTAACACACAATGTCAACTTCACCTTCATACTTGCAACCGTACCACTGGGTTCTCCTACTCGTGAATTTTCGTCACCTAACGACACTTAGGCAGGGCGCTCCCCTGACATGTCACGCGGCTCTTCAGGCACACCTCCCGTGTTTCCTGCGCTCTCCCCTCTTCCCAAGGCGCGCTGTCTAACCCGACGCACGCTCAGCAATCTGAAGACCACCGAGCCCCGACCAGCACCCGTGTGTGCACACGGTGCACGTGTGTTGCAGGCACACAGGAACACGCAGCAGATAAACAGGACCTGAAGCCTTAACATCCTGACAGGACATTTTCTGACTTTCCCAGTTACCATGTAACCATCACTCACGATTCTCTCAGATGTTGTAGTCAGTAAATCTTTTGTGCAGAAGTCCATGGGGTTTGGATTCAGAATAGCTCTGGCCAGCTGGTTCCGACCATTCAACAAAGCCATGGCTTTCAATTTCCTTTGTGTAGTAACCAGAGAACTGATTACAATACATTTTACAAATTCATTTAGACTGACTGGCAAATCCTCTTGAGTCTGGATGCAAAGGAAGCATTCGTATTTCCCATTACGCACTAGCATCAAGAAAAAGAAAAGGCAATTTCAGTTACCAGTGAGTAACAGTGTCCAGTTCAACAGGTTATTCAGAAATTATAGTCTATGACGTATGCCTCTCTATGATGTGCGATTTAAATAACTCGGGCCATCAGCCCTTCTTGAAGGCTTCCTAGGAGCCAGGCCAAGTCTGGATCCTCCAGAGGCTTCTCTTCTCAGAAGGGAAAGGCAGACAGCCCATGTCAGCTGGGGACAAGTGCTCTGCAGGAAGCAGAAAGGGGACGAGCGGAGTCAGGGAGGGATTGCTGTAGGCAGGAGTCAGGGAAGGTCTTCCCGATCAGGGGGCATCAGAACAGACTCTTGCAAAAAGGCCACTCAGGGGCTCCTGCAGTCACCCAGGTAAACGTCAGTGGTAGGATGGACCAGGACGTAGTAGCCACGGTGGGCCTGGGTTCAGGATACATTGCAAAGGAAGAGCCGAAAGGCTTGCTGATGGACAGATGTGGGGCGTGAGAAAGTAAGATCAAGGGTGACTCCCAGGTGTTTGGCCTGAGCAACAGGAAGAGTGGCCCTACTAACTAAGATGGGAAAAACTATAAGGACTAGCAGATGTCTGGCAGAGACTCAAGTATTCCTTTATTGGATGAGGTCTGAACTACAGAGATTTCTGATGGTTAGGTCTAGGAGTTCAGGGAAGGAGAATACCTTAGAAATATAAATATGGCAAATGCCAGATCATTTGCAAGAGTGAGAAGCACTTACATATGTTCCTGTTGCTGCTCTGCTAAATGCATCCTACACAAGAAGCTGAGCTCTGATTGCACTTACAGTAATGCAGCCTGAGGCTGAACTTTAAGAAGCTTAGTTGCTGTTTTTAAAATATAACACAAAAAGGCAAAGAAATAAGGAAATCATGTTCTCCTCACATCACTGGGACTAAGAAAGCAGCCATGTCAAAAAGGCAGCTTGGCAGAGAATAAAGAACGGGTACCTGGCCACAAGGCTGGCCTGCCGCCGAATGCTGAGGATGGCCTCGGCTGTGGTACTGAACGTCCCTGAGCCTTGGTTCCCTGACGAGCAGGAACAGATAACTCTTCCTGCTTTGCAGGGCTCTGGGGAGGACGGTCACTGGGACGGGAAGGACGAGGCGCACAGCGGGTGCTCGCTGACACTGCTTCTGCTACGCTGCCCTCGGGGGAGCAGTCCCTGCGACCCAATGGGGACAGCAAATCCCTCACGTTGCCTCCCAATTAGTTATATGTCCGTCTTTGCATTAATAATGAGCCACAAAACCAAGGTTGAAATGTTATGTAAGATATAATATATCTTACAGGTTGTCTGTTTCATAATAAACACGACAGATGAAAAAATGTATACAAGGAGAGGACATTACAAAAGACAGCTTTTAAATTACAAGCTTAGAGCAATAAATACTGGACCTTCTCCCGATGAGCCTAGAAAAACTGTTAATGCAGGCCTCTGAGGCAAGCAATCGACCTGGCAGTGCGGCCCGATAAGTAAGCGTACAGTCGACCCTTGGACGACGCAGGGTTAGGGGCGCCCACCCCGCCTCCTCGCACCATCAAAAATCCATGTACTCCACAAAACTTCTGACTCCCCAAAACTTAACTATTAGTGGTCTACTGTTAATCAAAACCTTACTGGTAATGTAGTCAATGAACATGTATTTTGAATGCTGTATGTATTTACACTGTATTCTTACAATAACATAAGCTGGAGAAAAGATACTGTTACTATGAAAATCGTAAGGAAAATACATTTTCAGTATTTATTGAACAAAAATCTGCATATAAGCGGACCTGCACAGTTGAGGCCCATGTTATTCAAGGGCCAACTAGAGCAAACACATGGCCGACAAAGGACAATTGAGAGAGAGACTAAAGATAAGCTTATAGTCGACAGACTCCTCACCCACATCCCATGTACTCACGGACTGAAGTGCGGCGGAACTTATGAACGTAAGCACAGTGATAGTCACGGGGGCCCTGGACGGGGCTCCCCTCGACATCTCTCTTCTCTCCGCTCTGTCTTTCAGGAACCAGAAACACCAGATCATTCTCCTTCGGGTGAAGCTGTTTAGATAGTTCACAGTCCTCAAGAGAAACTACAGAACAGTAACAAGTCAGCATTTATCTTAACAGCATTATTTTAAGGAAGGTTAACTGAGAGGACCTAAACCCTCTGCCAAGTCCCCGTACGTAGAAAGTGCTGGTAATTCACACACACTTCAAAACGGGTAGTCTAAAAATACTAATTATACAGAACCACCACATTATTCTTAAAAACTGCTAAAAAGGCAAAACAGATGAAAACATAATATTCAGAAGTAACTGATATATTTCCTTTCCTTGACATTTTAGTTTTTAGCCAAAACATTTTCTCTTTTGTTCTCCACTTTCAAAAATCCCCAGGGAAAATCCAGAAACAGATGCAAGTATGTGAAAGAACTCTGAGCCTATTGGTGGCGTTTCAAACAAGGGAAAAGGGCCGTGTGCACTAAATGGGGCTGGGAGGCCCGGGCAAGCCCCAGAGCCGCCAACTCCAGCAGCAGTGCACTGGGCTGAGCCCGGGGTCCTGGCACTACGTGGACTGAACCACCAAATCAAAACGGTTTTTAAAATGCAGCACATAAGAAATGTCTATCTGAAGGCACCAGAGCGCAAATACAACTATAAAGAACTACCCTGCTGAGATCCGGAAGGGGTGAGGCCAGTATTTCCCCACAAACCCTGGAACCGGGCAGGGAATCGCAGCCCAGAGGTCGAGCACTGCCTGGGACGACCCTGTCGGACTGAACTCAGGACCTGCCCCAAGTGGGTCCCTGGCAGGCCTCCTGCTTCAGGTTAGAAAGGACCCAAGGGTAAAGCTGTAAGTCACCCGGGTACTTCAGAAAAACTTAGTCTCTTAAATGAGACTAAGATGACCCCACCTTGCGAGTGCCCCCGCAAGCCTGGTGGAAGCAAAGGACGATCCTCTCTGGTGGAAGACAGTGTATCAATCATCCTGGGACTCAAATGACTTTTATAAACAACTTCCCAAAGACAAAACCAGCACACATCTGAGATAAGCAAAGAACGAGGAGAGGAGAACACACAAACTGGCGGAACCAGTAAGCAAAACGGACTGCGTGAGGGCTACAGAACATGCCTCGCGCTGTTTCAGACAGACTGAAAGTACCAGACAACAGCATACGAGATGGGTTGGGGACACACAGAGAGGTCAAGTCTTGTAGAGGTTTTTTGCCTTATCTATGAAAACACTTAAAATATCTATTAAAACCATCAACTTGGATAAATCAAGGATGACACTGTTAAGTTTTAACATAATAAAAGAGGTATACTTTATGAAATAGAAAAAAACCCTGAAAGTTGTTTAAAAATGGAAAAAATTTAAAGAAGTAATCATCCAAACAAAAGAAGGTAATAAATGTAATATATAATTAGGTTCACTTGTTTCTACTATTTTTCATTTTGTGGTTGACTCCTCTTTATTCACCTCTGTTGATTTAATGACTCCAAAGTCTCACATACCAAGAGAAAGCTCTCTAAAGACTACTACGTCTTGTCCAAGGAGCTCGGGAGCTAACGTGGAGGAGCCGATTACAGCACACTGAAACACAAGTGTCTTTACGTCAATGCATTTATAATGAAATAATTTTTATAAAGCTCATTGGTCAACACCAGTACTTGCAGTGAATTAACTCATTATTTTGAAAAATTGTCAAGAGTCCAGTACTCATTCTACATTTCTTCATAAAGTATAACAAAGAGTAACCAAAAAATACGGAGATATTTCTCTTTACAGAATTATTCCAGCTAATAAATGAAGAAATGATCAAATAAAAATATTACCGTTTTGTATCCCTGCATAATCAAGCAAAGCCATAAGCCTAACAACTGTAAATATTACAAAAAGAGAAGAAATCAGATTATCAGGTATTTTCTTATAAAGGAAAATACCACCCTCTTGAAAGTTTTGCCACAAATAATAAATCTAACTTGAAGCTGATCAAATCTCTAGATCCAATGATCAATTTATAGGAAATGCAGAGGATTAAAAAAATAGTGAGCAATACCAGGAAGTTGCAATCAGCAAAATACAGGCAGTGAGTAAATATACAGGATCAATGATCCTATTTCTAAATTACAGAGGGAAAAAAATTAATGAGAGAATTATAGTTAAAAAACTGTATCAACCAATATGAGTGGACTTAATTTGGATTTTAATGAGGAAACTGGAAATTTGAACACTAATTAGCTATCTGATATTAAGGAACTGTTAATATTTTAGCAGCAAAATATTATTTTATTATAACTTTTAAGGTCTGTATCTTTTAGAGATATTCAATGACATTAAATTACAAATGATCAAAAAAAAAAAATCTAACCAAAGATAATCTGCAAAATGTCTCCACAGAAAACTATAAAACATTACTAAAAGTAAACCTAAATAACTGATGATACATGCTTTACGAATTAGTTAAAAAATCAGTATTAGAAAGATGTTAATTCTTAACAAGTTTTCACATTTTTTTCCTCTAAAGTTCATATGGGAATGCAAAAGGTCACTAATAGCTGCAGGCATTCTTAAGGCAAAACAAGGTAGAAAGACTACTTACTGGATATTAAAACTTACTGCAAAGCTAGACTAACTGATTAGGCCAGGTGATAAGGGTACAAATGATCCAATAAAGAAGAAATGAGTCCCGAAACAAGTGGACACGGAGCTCATGACAAACACAGCTCCGCAGAGCAGAGGAAGGGTAGGCTTTCAACACACAGCGCTGCACTGGGGCAACTCCATCCCCACCCGGAAAGGCCAGAACTGGAACATGACCCCACGTCTCACTCCTGCACAGCAATCGATTCCTAGTTGTTGAAACAATGAATCCTCTAGAAAAGGGGCTGGCAAACTTTTTCTGTACAGAGCCAAACCTTTGCTTTGCAGGCCACATACGGTGCGGGTTGCTTACTCATCACTGTCTTTTTTTCCGAAGCCCCTTAAAATGTAAGCCTTACCACCCTAGGACAATACAAAAACAGGATATGGGGCAGATCTGCAAACTGCAGTTTGCTGGCACCTAGACAGCATCTTCACGACCCATAGCAGGGAGGGGCTCTCAGATGAGGCACAGGGCACTAACCACACACACACACAAGCATTTATGTTAAAAATAAATTCTTCAGAAGAGTGAAATACACATTTTTTTAGGACAACAGTGAGTCAAAACGTGAACCCAAGTGGCAGACTGGCTTGCGTCCAATTATATAAAGAACGGCTACAAATCAGTGAGAAAAAGACAACAGGAAATGAACAAGAGCCCTGAAGAGGCACTTCCCCAAAGAGTTTATATGGGAGCACCTCCTAAATCAATGAAAAGGTGCTCAACCTCATTGACTATGACAAAAGCTATTACAAAATAAACCCACAAGAGACCACCAGTACATACACCACAATGGTTAAAATGAGCACAACCAACACAAACGTGCTGGTGAAGACACAAAACCATGCAACTTCCACGCGCTGCGGGCGGAGCACAGCTGTGCGCGGCCAGCTTGGCATCATCCACCCGCGCTGACCTCGGGCACGCCCGGAGGCCCCGCAGCCCGCCCGAGGCCACGTGCAACCACGATGCGCTCAACGAACACGAGCGATCACAGCAGCATTACTCGTAAGCTGCCACGCTGACAGCGAACACGGTGGGCCGGAGGCTGCGGCCCTGAGAAGCCCGCTCACAAGGCTGGCCCGTGACATCTGCCCGCCGCCCACTGCAGCCCACGCCTTTCCCTTTGCTGACACTGCTCTGCAGCCTTTCGCCATAGTAAGTCCCGGCCACAAGCAGGACGACACGTGCAGTTCTCTCGGCGAATCACTGGATCAGGGGGTGGTCTGGGAAACTCCTGTCACACAGGTCAAAACTGCTGGAAAAAACGTCCACCCACAGTAAAACTGATGTATTCATACAACGATACATAAGCACAACAACGAAAATAAATAACAAACATGCATACAAATTGACGACTTGTACAGATATGTTAAAAGAAGTCAGGTACAAGAGTGAATACTACGTAAGTCTATCATATGATAAAGATAAATCGCATCCAGATAAATTAGTGATTTACATGTTATTTACAACAATGCTTCCAAGTTAAAAGAAAACAACCCCCCTAATAGAAAAAAGGACAAAGGGCACAAGCAAACAATTACCTCTGCCCCTCAACCCCCAATAAAACACAAATGACCAGTGAAGATCGGGGAACAAAAACCACAACCTCAAATGAGATACATTTTCATATATAAAACTGAAAAAAAAATTTAAACCAACAAACAACAGAGATACACATTCTTACAGCCTATGCTAGAGGTGAAAATGCTTCCTTCTGCTAGGAGAGGCAATATGAATGAAAAGTCTCAGAATGTGCCGCATCATGTCTGGCCTAGCACAAAGATTTATTCAGTGTTTTTAATACTGAAAAACTATAAATAATGCCCATGTCTAACTAGAAATAATCAGTTAAATGCAACTATGGAATATGCTTACAATGGAATAACTACAAATAGTAAATCTACTGTCATTATCCTTTTAATAACTCTGAAAAGATGTCCATAATACTGTAAATGAAAAGAAGTCAAATACAAGCTTCATGAAGTCATGAAGGTGGAAATTTTGTTTTCTAAACAGCTACATACCCAAAATCTAGAGTCATATATGGTCAGACAGTACATACAGGGGGAGACAAATATAGGTTTACAGTTGATCATACGGAAAATAATAAATAATAAAAGATTAAACTCTGGCCCTGGCTGGTGTGGCTCAGTGGACTAAGTGCTGGCCTGTGAACTAAAGGGTCACGGGTTCCATTCCCAGTCAGGGCACAAGCCTGGGTTGCGGGCCAGATCCCCAGTTGGGGGCATGTGAGAGGCAACCAATCAATGTATCTCATACCTTATTTCTCTCCCTCTCTTTCTCTCTCCCTTCCCCTCTCTCTAAAAGTAAATAAAATCTTTTTAAAAAAGGGAAAAAAAAAGGAATAAACTCTGCATACTTACAGCTGCAAACCTACTTTTGCCCCACTCTGTATAAAGTCAGTAAATATTTGCTGAATAAATGAATGGCCACAAAATAGGTAAAATGACATCCCCCCCCCCCACCCTGCCGTAGGCAGGCGAGCTGGAAGCCTGGCAGGCAGATGCGTGCGAGTGTGCTCCCTAGGCTCTCTCTGAACGTCAGAAATGGGGGTGGCCTACTTCACTGCTGGCTAATGTCATCTGACGTCCTGCAATGAGCGTAATGAACCCTTTCCCCAAAACAGACACATGCTTTTTTTCTTAGGGGAATCTGTGGAGGAGGACAGATTTGGGGGAGTGGGTAAGATATACACTTCTTATGTTAAAGAATTCTGACTATGTGGTTTATGTAGAACTACCACGTAAATGTGTGCATTTCACACTAACCATGAAATGAGAAGACAGGCAGCAGGAAGATTTACTCAGAACCTATACACACTGCTATTACAACCCACCCCTCGGCCCACCAAACCCCCTTTGCTGGCCCTCTCCCCCATGCCTGGCTTCCATGGACAATATGGCTTGTGGTAGTCTATTTAGAGAATAATTAAACCCCTACATTTTATATTCATAACTGCCCCGTTATCCTCATTAAGACTTTAAACATATTCTTTGTTAAGGGGATACAAATTCAGCTTAAGAAACCTACATCCCAGAAAATTTTAACATTTAAGTAGAAATCTCCAATTACTACATAGTATGTGTTACAGAAGGAAGAACTTACCCACAAACTCCCAGTACTTTTTGTATTCTGCAGGAAATTTTCGTAAATGCAACTCATAGAATCTTTCTTTATTTGGAGAGCTGACCCATTCCTGTGCTACCTATACAAAGGGAAAAAAAAAAAAAAAAAAGCAAATTAAGAAAGCCAAAACATTCTTGAAAGCCAATGCTAAACAGCAAAATTTTCCAAAGTAAGCCACAGTAAAATCCAGAACCTAGAATCCCAGGTGAGAGAAACACTAAAAATTAATTTGGGGCTTCCAGTTTCCTGTTCAGCATGTAAGGCTCTCAGAAATTGTTGTTCTAGCCTAACACGTAAAAAGCTGAACAAGGTGAAAAATTAACTTCTCTTACACTCAACACAGAAGTGAGGTTGCTGCCCCCCACCTGGAGACAGGCAAGTGGACACAGACAATCACAATTCACCAGAGCAGGACCTGCAAGCAGGAACCTCAGGGTCAAGATAGGAAAACCTGACCCTTAACTGACCAATTGCTAGAGGCTCAGTATGAATGACTCTAAATGTTAAATACTCTAGGGGACCCCAGTATATGGGGCCCACACTTGGTGAGTTTTACCTCCTGGAGCTCTACCGGGTCCCCTCTGCGAACACTGGAGAAAATTCCCTTTGCTTCCAGCAGGGGGAGGGGACAAGGAACTGCCGTCTTCTGCTGTGCCTAATGGGCTCCTGTGTATAATGCACACTTACGTTTTTGGCCCAAGCTTTCAGGAGAAAAATCTTTCCTTTTAATTTTTTAATTCAATTTTGTACTGATTTATATTTAGAAACAAAACTGATTATCATATTTTTCCAGGGTGTTATTTTGCATATGGATATCATTATTGCTTTCTAGAGTTACACTTTTAATGCATTAACTTAAATGAATTAAAAACATTTCATTTTTTTGTTTCAAAAACAAACAAAAAACTTTAGATATGGAATTAGTACTACCCATGTATAATATGCATCTTTCTTTTTCCCTCAAAAATCTGGGCCAAAAAGTGCCCATTATACACAGCAAAATCTGGCATTTTGATATGCTCGACAGCATGGCCTTCAGAGCTTTGTGACACGGCCAGCCCGGGTGGGCGGGGGCGGGAGCGCCTCACCAGAGCCTCGCCTGCTGGGGCTCTAGGAGAACCCAGACACTTGAGGGAAGAGCAGGGGTCAGCGTCAGCCCGCTGCAGCCATGGTGTCCCACCCGAAGAGGCAGGGCACCCGCCCCGGCCAGGAGCACAGGCTCCCTAAAAGCCTGAGGCAGTGTCACAGGATGACAGACAACTCACCACATTAGGAAAGGCCTGTTTACCCAGTGTATCATGTCCATCTGCCAACAAAAATTACAGGGCAGACTCAAAGGCAAAAAGCACAATTTGAAGAACAAGCATCAGAACGAGAATCAGATATGGCATGGATGTTGGAACTATCAAACTAGGGAACTTTAAAAACTGTAGTTAATATGCTAAGAGGCCAGTGGAAAAAGTAGACCATGCAAGAAGAGATGAATAATGTAAACAGAGATATACAGGGTCTGGCACAAATCACACCCTTTTTTTAGTTACAAATCTTTTATTACAAAATCGTAAGCATGTAATTCTGTAACATGGCAATACCACACTCAAGCACACCATATGACATTTTAGGTGAAATGTTCAAATTAAACCTAAGTTATCACACCCATATTATTATCCTACCAACCACACTCAAGCAGGCATTTCTTCTGCCAGACCCTGTATATAGTAGGAAAGAATAAAAAAGAAATGCTAGCGATCAAAAGCACTGGGACAGAAATGAAGAACAAGAATGCCTTTGACAGTCTCAGCATCAGACTTAGGCTTGGCTGAGAAGACTCCCTGAGCTTGAGGCTGCAGCCACAGAAACTACCAAAGCTGAAGAGCAGAGAGAAAAGAAAAAACTGGGGGAAAAAGAAAAGGGTAGTCAAGAACTGTCACGAAACTGCAAAAGGTGCAACACACATATAATGGCAACACCGGAAGGAAGGAACAGAACACTATTTGAAGCAATAAGGACTGAAGAGTGTCCCCCAAACTGTCAGACACCAAATCACAGAGCCAGGAAACCTGGAGAACACCGAGAAGAACAAATGCCAGAACACAGACACCCAGGCGCTGCACCACCCCCCCACCACTGGGAGCTAGCGCTGGGGAGTGATGAGCTGGTTTTCCAAGTGATTAGTGGTTCTAAGCCACCCTGGCAGGCCAGTCAGGGGGGCGGGAAGAACCGGAACAGGGTGCACTAGGGGAGGGGAGGGGAGACCGCAGAAGGGAGCAGCTGCTACGATGAGTAACAAACTGGGAAGACAGCTGTCTTAAAAGAAATTTAGGATTTACTGTTTTTATTTCCCTCTTCAAGGAAACCTGAATAAAAGCCTACATTATTTTCCAAAAACAGAAACCAACCAACAAAAAACGCAGATGGGAGCCTCTCTCCTCTGAGAAGCCTTCCCTTCCCTTTCCTTCATGTTGACGAACGGTTCCCCCGGCCTAGCTCGGGCCCCGGGGCATCAGCACTGAATTGCCTGTAAGCGCCACAAGGGCAGAGCTGAAGCAAATGTGTCCTCCATACCAGAGGCCCCCTGAACAGTGTCGCACAAAAGTCTGTTCTGCATGAAATCAAGAAGCCGCCATCAGCACAAAGCTGGCTGTTTTAACTGCTTTCACTCCACGTGGTCAAGAAAAGCAGCAACTTCAAAGACTGAATGGTATACAGTGAAAACACATACTTACTGTTTCAAAAGTGTTCACTACCATCAAAGGGAGAAAAACGTTAAAATAATCGCCACAATCTTGAAATCTGACAGGCACAGGCCTGGAGATGGCCTGGCAAAGACTTGCTGGGAGCCCGCACTGGCTGAAGTTCACAAACATCTCGTATTTCCACTTTAGGACCTCTTTCACAAACATGTCAGTGATGCACTGTGATGGCGAGGTGCTGTCCGGAGATGAAGAAAAAGGCTTGCTGTCACCAAACGGGAGTCTGTAAGCTTGCCTGCTGGAGTTACTCAGAGCCGGAGAAAGGACGTTGCACAAACCCTTCACTTCACTCAGTGGCTTCAGAGACACGGGAGAGGCCGGAGGGGAAAGAACGCTGCACAGGCTCTTCACGTCACCCGCTGGCTTCGGAGAGGCTGGAGAAGGAAGAACGCTGCACAAACCCTTTGCTTCACTCAGTGCCTTCGGTGACACGGGAAGGGCTGGCACTTTCAAAGCAGACCGACCTGCACTTGACTTATTTTTTAGAGCTGGAAGTGCTGAGCTACTCTCCAAAGACTTGGAAAGATGAGCAATTCGTGAAGTACTACTTGAGCTAAAAATCTTAGTGGTGGAAGGTCTCAAAGGTTTAGATGCCGAAAGAGGCAAGCCGGGCTTACGAAAGACGTCGTCGTCTGCTGCTTTCGCTTCCGAGTGTTTCGGGCAGTAGTCGCCCTGGCTTTTCACAGTTTCAACACAATCTCGCTGCTTACATTTTGTGCTACTCAAAGGTTCCAACTGAGGCTGATGTATGGAATCTTCTCTGACCTGAACCCCGTGTTTTCCATGAACTACTTCAATGAGTTTATCGTCATCATTCTGTATTTGTGAACATAAATCCATATCTTCAGGATCGTGTTGTGTTAAAAAGATATCATTTCCCTCTGTATCACTGTCGCCGTCAGGCTCTGCCTTTTTCAAAGTTGCCACCTCCAGGTGATGTCCAGTCAGGTCCCCTCCACCTAGTGGGTCCTCTGAAGGAGGGACCGTGATTTCATTCGTTGGTCTTCTTCCATGTAACACTGGAGAGTTACACTGATTCAAAAGACAAGTATCACCAGCCACCTGAGAAACAGATTTTGCTTTCACAGGTCCTTGTTCAGGAGACGTGCGTTTTACTGATTGGGTTCCACTACTGCTGGCCATTACCTCAGTTCCTCCTTTATTGCCATAATCTGGCCTCCCCAATGCTGGTGTAAACACCTCAGACTTCTGTGCTGCGCGTGGTCCTGCTCTTGCAGCATTTGTACTTTTCGAATCAAAATGTCCTTGTCTGTTTTGTTTAGATCTGTGCCTCGTCTGTCTTTGAAACTGAAGATCTTGACTCACAAGCAGTTTCTTATCTTTCACAGGAAGAGACTGAGGAGAAATCAGTTTGGTCTTTTTTCGGGTATCAATCACTCCAATGTTTTTACCATGGTCCCGTAACTGCTCTATATAGTCTAAAGATCGCTGAGACAACTCAAATGCCCTGCGACGACCCTTCTTTAGACCAAGTTTCTCAACTGTTGAAGTTGGTTCAGGACACTGGCGATCTTTCTTTGGTGGCACGATAAAAGGAGTTGTCCTGCAGCTTATGTAATGTGAACTTTTATTCTGCCCTTTTTTGGTATCCGAATGTGTTTTCTTAGTTTTAGAAACCGGAGCTCTCCGAACAGGCTTGGAATAAGCACAAATCTTTGGAGAAGACTTCTTCAGGGAAACCGAAGTGGTTCTCTGAACACCTGCACTGGGAGAGGTCCTTATGTCTGTACTTTTAACATTATTTTCAGTTAGCTCTCTCTCATTATCAGACTGGTTCTCATTTCTGATAGAAGATGAAGGCCTTGAACCATCTTTAGCCATTGGTTTTTCAAGTTTTTTTCTCTTAGGTTTTTTGACTTGGAGTTCACAAAATTCCTCAACAGTACTACTACTTTGTGGTTGTGCACATTCAATGCCCTCTGTTCCCTTCTTAGTAACTTCTTCAGACATAGGATAATCAGTATCATAACCCCAATCATTTGTGATATCAGCTATATGAGTCCAACATGAATTTTTTTCATCTCCTTGAACTGAATTCTTATTGTCTGGTTTCTGATCTTGCCAAACTGAAAATACATCCTTTTGGCTTTCAAACTCAAAAATCTGAGAATCAGCGTCCTCAAAATTCAAGGGAGAATCTGTCTTTTCCTCTTTTGTAAGCTTCCTTTCCATGTTCGTATTAGCCATTGAAGTACACTGCTCTGGACATTCTTTCTCAGTGCACATATTTTCTTGTTTCATATGTTTCTGAAAACCCATAATTCCTTCATCATCACCATCATCATCAGAATCTGAAATAATAATAATTTGTCCACAGGTTTCCCTGACATTATTTTGGTTGGCTCTGAAACTTCTTTTATCTTCTACTTTTCGTTGTAGCTGGGGTGAGCTTTTTTGAGTTGAATCTGATGGGAATTTAGTAACACTGGCTTGAGCTATTAATGACAGTTTGTGGAGGTCTCTGTCTATCTGAGAATCTGTTAAGATGTCAGACTGCAGACTGATGCTAGGGACCTGTTCTATCAAATTAGAAGAAACCTGATCAGCACTCTTGCTAACAATTTTCTTATGTCTTGATTCAAGCGAACTCACAGGATCTTTAAAGGGGGATGTCTTATGCATGAAAGTACTGGTCACTTCTGCAAATGAGATCACATCTTTAGTGCCGACATGACATTCCTGTATTTGACAATCATTTTCATGGGAAGAAAAACCATCTAACTCTTCTTCATTCTTCAACTGTTTCTTCTTCGGCAACAACCTGTTATGGGATTTGTGTCCTCCATTTTTATTCTCCAGACTATCATTAGGGTCTAAAGTGAGATCGTGTAGAAAGATCCCTTTCTGATCTTCTGTAACATTTCTTGAACAGACATTCTCAATGTTGGGTTCAGTCAGGTTTCCCTCTAATTTCACAGTGTTATTGACCAAAGCACTGTGTTGCTTTTTTATTACATGTGATAACTTAGCACAGATTTCACTTTTTGGGGCCCTAGTTTTTGGTTTTGAGGTTCTGCCAAGAACATCATCCTGTAGAGAGAAATCCTCCTTTGATGTGGACCCCTTCTCCAGAGGATCCGTGTTTGAATCCATCAACAGACATGTGGACATAACTGTTCCTTGGTCATGCCCCCTTTCTGGACCACTTCTTGAAATACAGCTCTGTGGTGTATATAAGGAATCGTCTTTTACAGACTTCTGCTTCCCTGTACGTACCGTCACTCGATCTTGGGCTCTTTCAGTGAAAAGGTTTTTACTACTCTGCTTTAAGCATGACTCAGCTGAGACACGGTCCTCTAGTTTCAAATCTTTTACATAATGCTGCTCATTGTCCTCTTCTATGGTGTTACTTGCTCTGCTTAAAATACTACTCTGTGGCGACTGACATACATCAGTTTTCAATGGTTTAGAAAAGGTTGGGCTTCCCAGACAGTGCATGTCTTTTTCACATGTCTTCCCTATTTGCTCACTTTCTTCTTTACTGTAAGATGCAGGAGGAGTTTTACACGAAGGAGACAACTCCACCAAAGCAGAGTGCTGAGGTGCCTTGAATTTGATGTTCCTAATAATTTGCTTTAGACAAGTTTGTAACTCATGGGTTTCCTGACTAGTCAACTGCCAGCCCAGAGATAAATTTCCTCGCAGGAATAAGTTGAGTTTATCCCAGAATTGCTTACAAAGAGTCTGCTGCCCAAGCTGATAACCTTCTTTAAGGAGACTTCTAATCAACTGCACACAAGCAAGTTGGACCGAGTTAGATGGCATTGGATGCAGGGACAGAGAGGTCACTGCTGTTCCTTTGGAGCCACTGCCGGATGACTTCTCAGAACTCCGCACGAACGCGGTGGTGGGGAGCTTGGCGCACTTCACGACGGCCTCCACCCACTGCTGGGAGCTGACCCAGAGCAAGTGCAGGCATTTTTTACTTCTATGGAGTTCAATCACTGACACCAAAATTAGGAAAAAAAATTCAGTGACCTTGTCACACATGACAACTGCTTGGTTGAGGACATCTTTGACTTGGGCATGCAGATGGTGAATAACCTCCACTATATAAGCCACACCCAGATCCTTAAGGTCCATGAGGGACTGAACAAAAGGGATGAACCACAGAAACGTGCTGTTGTGAACACGCATGTCTTGACCAATATCTGACTGAAGCACATTGGCTAACGTTTCCATTTCTTCATACATGTTAGGACAGTAATCTGGGCAAACAGCTGATCTCCACCCTGAATCCTGAAACAAAAGAAATGCTGACATTCAGACCAACAAGCACCATTCCTGACAAGGTGAGCACACAAGCTGTAAACAACAAAAGAGATGGCTTGGTTTTCCTCTTGTGGTTTACACATAGACATATCCCCAAGAAACTGAAAACGCAGTTCAACGTTGAGGTTCAGGTTGCATGTAAAGGTAAACTTACAACACCTCCATGTACCCTGACTCTCTTCCCATTAGCTGGCCTTGATTTCTAATCACGTCATTTATCTCCCGCCATAAATTTCCCCCCCTTTCCAAGTCCACTTAAAAACTAACCTTCCAAAGAGTGCACACTGAAAAGTCCATTATTCCCTCATGCATAATACATCTGCTCCAACCAGAAAGCCTGGATGTAGCAGCTGATTCAGAAGAGCTACACAGCATAAAATCAGCAATTCAACTAATTATGTAAAACATGATCTTACAACATAAAGGCAATACAATGTCATCTAAATTCTCAAAATGTTTTATACCTTTTTGGTCTTTTCAGGATTAAAATTGTATACAATCTGGCTGCAAGTCACCATATCATCCAGGCATGGCTCTGGTTCTGACTTGGTCCTTAAATATTAAGAATAAATAGAAATTACAGAAAGGAAAAAAAAAAAAAAGAGAGAGAAAACCACCTACTGTTAAGATACAACAGGCTTCCTTACAAAGGTAACTTTAAAATTCTGACACATTAACAGAACTAACCTTACAGAGCTGTTCCGGATATTCTGGATCTCTCTATTATAGCTCACATTGTTGATAATGGTCTGAAACGCCTCAATTGGGTCAATAAGTTGACCCCAGACCTTAGATCCCAGGCGATCCAGAATCACCATGAAACAGTGTAATGCTGGCCAGAAAGGATCTTCACCATCATCTGAAATATAATGGAGTTACCACCAAATTACAAAACAATTAGAAAAAATACTAAACTACATTGAGAATTAAGCACTCTTTTTTCCTTCTCCCTCTCTTTCTTTCTTTTTTGAGAGAGAACGAAGTGGGAAGGGAGGGAGAGAGACGCATCGATGTGCAAGAGAAACATCCATCAGTGGTCGCTCATAGACACCCTGCCTGGGGACCGACCCCCTGACCCCAGCATGTGCTCAGACCACAAATCAAACCAGTGACATTTTGTTTTGCGGGATGATGCCCAATCCACAGAACCACACTGCTCAGAGCCAAGAATTAAACATTCTTTAAATGGGCTGCAACAAAACTCAAAACAAAGCAGTAGGTAAATGAAAAGGACAGCACTGCCAACTACAGGTTTTAAACGCTGGCAAATTTTAAAATTGTTTTTCCATTATTTTCCAAGCAATACTCTACATCTCAGTAAGACATTTTTAAACAGGGAACACACTGAGATAGTCTAGCTAAACTCACCTTTCTTGCCATTTGCCATACCTAAAACAATCTTTCCTATTCAACTTCTCCCAGAACTCCCTTCCTTCAATAAAGAACAGAATTAGAGGAAAGAAAGGGAAAAGAAAAACTTGCTCTTTACAGATTTAAACAAGGCCCATGTCACCAGAAACCCCAGCTGAGCATGGTCCCTAGGGACGTGCCCCGGGCCCGTGCTCGGCACTGACCTCCTGGGCTTTCGGGTGAACAGCGCGCACTGCCTTTGGCCCCGTGTCTCAGCACGGTTCTGCCGGCGTCTCCTTTCATCCACGGGCAGGAACCTCCATGATCGACGAGCTCTAACCCCCAGGCCTTTCCCTCTTCCCTGTCAGACACGCAGTGGCAAGAGGCTGCCCTGCTCAAACACCTTCACCTGCTCCTTGACGTCTTCTAAGAAAACTCCCAGTCCTCAGTCCAGCACTTTCCGATCTTCCTCCTCTGCCTCTTTCCAGCTCTAGCTACCACACTCGCATCATCGCTCCCTCTCCGCAGCAAACAGAGACAGCTGGCTTTCTCTCCAGCAAGGGCAAGACCACCACCTATCAACACCCGATTCACCAAGTCCAGCTCCAAAGCTCCTGAGACGAGCGCTCCAGCTCTCCGTCACTGTCACGCTACCGAGCCAGCCTGGAGCCCCGGCTCTGCCGCCCCGGGGCTCTTCAACTCTGCTTTCTCACACAGTCCAACCTGCAGACCTGGCCACACGCTCCTTTATCCTCTACTGCGGCCACCACACTGTCTCAGGTCTTGCCCCGTAAGCTGTCAAATGAAGGAAGAATGTCATCAGTTAGGGGACGACAATTAAGACAGGTCTCAAAGAGGTGTGGCCGTCGGAAGGGCAGGGGAGCTGACTGACAGGAGGCACTGCCCACGTGCTGGCACACCGCGAGCAGTGAGTGACTCATGCGATCCGTGCTGGCACACAAGTCAGTAATAACCTTCATCAGAAATAATCTAGCAAGAAAATACACGCGATCCAAAAAAGAACAACATTTACATATTTTGGAATCTCCCACAAATGAGTTTATATCCACACCAAGGCTGCCTGAAAAGCAGTCAGCCCAGAAAAGCTGCATTTGTTATGTGTCCATAGGGGTTGGCATGCTCGCCCTTTACTGATTCATTCTGCTGTACAGACGACGAGAATAAAACACCTGTCTAGGCACAAACCCTCCCTGATCAGGTCGGTACAACCATGAGCAAAAGGAAGTTGGGGTCTAATACTGAACACAACTACGGGTTTTAGACCCTATGTTCCACACTCTGGATGAGCAGCACTGCCCCAGAGAACGTTCTCTGATGGCGGAAATACAGTAGCCACCAGGCACGTGTGGCTACTGAGCACCTGAAACATAACCAGTGGACCTGAAAAACTAAATTTTTAATTTAAATTTAAATAGCCACATTTGGCTAGCAATCACCATCTTGGACAGTGAAGCAACAAAGAACCAAAATAAAATGAAGAATCAGGAAAAAGGCAGGCATGGAGACAGGGGAGACCTCCACGATTGCAGCTACCATGTCGTTAGAAATTTAACTCCTATGGAGTCTAGTCTTGATTCTACCACTAACTGGGTGTTTCGGCATCGAAAAGTAAGTTGACTTCCTTGGGCTTCCATCTCTTCTTGTATGAAAGTAAGATGCTAAATGAAACTCTAAATGTCCCTTCTGATTTGGAGTTCTGAATCTGTGACCTAAACAAAAAGATGTCCATTTTCTTTTCTCCACACCATACACCCAATTCTTGCAGTGACACAGGTATTTTAAAAGTGCATCACCACCATCACAGCGTTCCAAAGCACTTAGCAAATAAAGCTGATTACCCTCCGACTGCTTCTCCATGGTGTGAAGTATCGACTGCATGAAGTCATTCTGCTTGTCTGAGCCCAGCAGCAGCGAGTCCATGGCCTGCTCCTCCAGGATGGTCAGCAGCATGCAGATCCCTGCAAGAGCATTCAGTGTCTGTGAGAGTTTAAATCACCCCATGCTAACGCTGCCTCTGCTTCAGCTGGCAAAAGAGTAGCACGGTTTCAGAAAGATGAGGCAAAAGCGAATCCCGTTCAACTCTCACACATTCAATTCTGGTATTTCCATATACAACTGCTCCTGAGTAACAGGAGGACTTCAGACTGGCTTGAGGATAAAAAAAAGGTAACATGGTACGAACTTGGTTAGAAAACAATTTCTAAGATGAGTACCACACAACGATATTCCATCACATCTACGAGGGCTTCAATTTTAAGATCACCGTATTTCAATTACCAACCACTGCCACATATGACACATGACTATCAGAATCAATGAAGTAGGGTACAACTATTTTGAGATATTAAAAGCCTCTTTTAAAAAGAAATCAAACCGTATTAGAATTAACTACTCTATTAATATTTTTTTACATCTAGTATTGCTTCAAATTAAAGGTCTATTTGCTATCCTTGAAAACGTACATCTTAAACAGATGGTTTCCAGGATGTTTAAAATCAAGGTGTGTAATGGTTATAGCAATTTAATAACAAAAGACTGGAAACGGAAATCCTCAAATAAACAAATTTGGTAAGATTATCCAAAGAGATCACTTCCATTGCAATATACTCGTGGGAAAGGTAAGAAAAGACAAACTGCGCCTGTGCGGCATGACAACACTCACCAAGCCAGTAGTTTTTGCAGCTGGTAGCATCATACATGTGTGAGGGCAGGATGACCAGTTTACCCTTCTCAAGGACAGAGGAAGTGTAAATGTCTGGGTTTTCTAAAAGCCCCAACTCAATGACTTTAAAAAGGCATGTCAAAACCTCCTGCAGGTCATAATAATCATCTCTCTCCACTTTTCCCAAGCCTTTTGCTGTCAGGATAGCCCAACGCCGAACCTGAAAGCGTAACACAGGCGTTACTTCATTCAACAAGTAATTGTCTACACACAGCAAAAACCTAGTGAAGAAAACAGGATTCCCCAGAGACTAAAAGACACGAGATACCAATTAATGCAACATGTGAACCTTATTTGACGCTGACTTGGATACACTAACCCTAATAGAGCCATGTATGAGATCATCGCACATCCATTCATTTAAACACTGGGTAGAAATTATTTTAGGGGAAGTGACCGTATTGTTTTTTTCTCCCCCCGAAGTCCTTATCGACTTCTGGTCAGGCTGGTGGAGCAGCAGATGAACGCCCTGCTCGCCGCCTCCCACGATCCCATCCACATCGCTGCTCAGTGACAGACGCGCCACCCCTCAGAACCACCTGAGCTCCAGCTGAACAGAACTGCAACTAAGGACATAAAGACGAAGCCACGTTGAGACTGCAAAAATAAATAAACAAACGACCTTATCTTTTAGGAACACGTTCTTAAGTAGTCTACGGAGGAAATGTTTGGGTGTCTTAGGTTTGCCCTGACCATTCCAAAACGGGAGTGTAATATTGACTCCACACTGACAACTGACGGAGCTCAGGGATGAACATACAGGGGTTCGCTGCACCATTCTATTTTTTATGTTTGTAATTTTCCATAACAGAAAATTTTGAAAAGGAAAGAAAAAAATGAAAACAATAACCTCCAAAGAAAAACTCATGCCCCAAGCCCGAGGTCAGGGCCCAACACCGCAGCGTTGCTCTCTGCTTCTGTTCCTGCCTCGGTACCATTACTCAAGTCCTCTCCATTTCTGGCACCTAGGAACTGAATCTCCTTCCCTTCCCTGCCCGTCTACCCCCACCCACACTTTAAAAAATCTCATCTGTGAGCAAAACAATTGTCTCAGACGCTGTAGCTGGCATTTCCCTGTGTCTGGAGCAGGACAGGCAGACGAGGAACGCAAGAGAGAGCGGTTCTCCCTCCCTGGGCCAGGCTCGCACGCTGAAAAAAGTCCAAATCATCCCCTTGTTTGTCCTTTTAAGCTGAAGGAGCACCTGTCCGAAGTACTCTGACAAAACATTTTAAACAAAATACACATCAAAACCTTGATTACAGTTCTCCATATGTGCAAAAAGAGTACGTGCCCCTCCACCGCCTGACCCACTCACCATTTCATTGGGATGGACCAGAAACAGATAGATCCCAGGCTGTTTCTCAAAAACCTGAAAGGAGCAATTCGCTTGTTCCATCCGACAAAGTGCTTCAACACATAACTCATCTAAATAGAAAAAATAAGGCAGTGAACGTAAGACACAAACTTCACCAGCTTATTGAGATTCCCTAAATCTGGCTCCTGCAGTTGTTTTCTAAGTAGAAATTTGTTCCTTGTAACTGTAGCAACACTATGCACCTATCATAGCGTGGTTCCTGTGCCTCATTCTGACTTTACTAGCATAAACATCTTTCCATTTTTTTACTCTTGGAATAATCATCTCCATAGGTACCTTCTTAGAATATGGTTATAGATCCAAGTTCATTCACATTTTCCATTTTGATTCATGTTAACTTTATTTGGTACTGGCGTGATAAAGTCAGTCAGCTTCTGTCAGGGCTGGGTGGCTCAGTTGGTTGGAGCATCACCCCATAGGCCAGAAGGCTGTTAAGTTCAATTCCCGGTCAGAGCACACACCTGGGTTGCAGGTTCCATTCCCAGTTGGGCGTGTATGGGAGGCAACCAACTGATGTTTCTCACATCATGTTTCTTTCTCCCCCCTCAACTCGTCTTCCTTTCTCTCTCTCTAAAGTCAATGCAAATATCCTCAGTGAGGATTAAAAAGAAAGTCTGCTTACTTCCCCCACTTCCAGCCCCCCAATGGCTGTTCTGTCCAACTCTTAGTTATTGAAGAACGCATTTTCCCCACAGATTTGATGGCTACTGCCATCAAACACTAAATTCCCCAAGTACACCTTGTTTACTTCTGGACACTACACTGTTTCACTGTGCAAGCACGCTGTTCTAACTCCTGTTGCTTTATGGAAATTTCTTCATTTATCTTTCAAAGATGTCCTCAATAGACCCACACATTTATCCTACCAGACGAATCAACTTTAGCCTGTTAAGCTTCAAAGAATACTGTTAGTGATCGTGGTTGGCTTTGGGGAGGAGGGAATAACGATTTGGAAAACATGAAGGGAACCCTGGCCAGGTAGCTCAGTTGGTTAGAGCAACACCCTGGCCTGCCAAGGCTGCAGGTTCAATCCCTGGTGAGGGCACATACAAGAAGCAACCAGTGAATGCATGGATGAGTAGAATAACAAATCAGTGTTTCTCTTGCAAATCAATTTAAAAAGTCAATCAACTAATTAAAATAATAAAATAAAATGAAATAGAAAAACACAAGGGGAGCTCTTGGGATATTGATCCTGTTTCTTTATCTGGGTGGTGGCCACAAAAGTGTGTTTAGCTTGTCAAAAAACATCAAGCTTATTAACTTTTCTGGATATAGTATTCTTTAATAAATATTTGAAAAATGACTTGTTAAAATTTTAAAATCTATTTTTAATGTATTTTTTTTTAAAAGATTTTATTTATCTTTAGAGAGAGGGGAAGGGAGGGGGAGAAAGCGAGGGAGAGAGAATCAATGTGTGGCTGCCTCTCACACGCCCCGGCCCGCAACCAAGGCATGTGCCCTGACTGGAAATCGAACCAGCAACCATTTAGTTCATAGGCGGGCACTCAATCCACTAAGCCACACCAGCCAGGGCTATTTTTAATGTATTTAATCAGATTTTTACATCAACTTCCCAGTTTACTGAAAACACAGAAGACAGAAACAAGTTAAGTAACATCACAAGAAAGCAACTAGAAAAATCCAGAAGTGCATTATTCTACAGGGCAACTATATGGTCTCAGCAAGTCAGTGAAGAGAAAGAGAACAAAAAAAAAAAAAAAACCAAGGCAGACAAAAACCACACCAAAAAAAAAAGGTGTGTACACACGTATGCACAAATACACTCTTTTGGAATGTATGATCCCTGACTGGACTTTAATTTAAACAAACCAGCCAAAAACCGTATTTTGTGTCTAGTGGGAAAATATGAATACCGATGAGATATTAAACGCCTGATGGTGTTACTTTATTCGATTTGATAGATCAGGAAATTACCTTTACATCTAAGCAAGTCATATGAAGAAATTCAAACATAAACCACCAAAACCTCAGCGGCCATGGCGCGCCAGGCCACCATGAGTCATGAACGCGACTGCAGGCCAGACGTCTCAGCCAGGAACGACCGTGTCTGTCCCCAGCCTTGCCCTCATCTCCCGAAGGGCATCCCGCAATACCTGGAGACCTTTCTGGTTCTCACAGCGGGGGCAGGAGGAGAGCAGGGTGCTGTGGCAGCTGGCGGATGGCGGCCGGGGTGCCAGGACACACCCTGCGGGGGACAGGACGGCCCCACAACAAACAACTACCCCGTCCAAAGCGTCGACGGAGCCAAGATTGAGAAAAACACAAGAGTAAAAATTAACTGAATAGGGACATGAGTAAAATATATAATGCAGCAAATACAGCAAACTATTAGCAACCCTGGAATCTATATGCGATGTTCATTATATAATTAACCTTCTTTACATTTGGAAACTTGGAGAGCAAAATGTTGGAAAAAATATTAGTATCCTAATTACATGTTTAACAAACAGCTTTTCATACAGATAAACCTAAATTCTTACAATTCTTTAAACAATAAAACTGACCTAACTTATATGTAGAACACCCAAGATACTCACTAACACGCTCATGTAAAAGCAGATAAGGGTATTTCAGTATTTCAAGAAGAGGAACTCGAAGCTTATTCTCAAAGTCTTGGCCAGTAAGGTCGAACAGTTGTGCCTCTCCATTGTTGTCTACTATATATAATTCATCGTCATCTTCGATTTCTGCTCTCATGGATTTTTCAAAGTGATTTATGAGACGTAATGTTTCTAATTCCCATAAAACCTACAGGAAAAGAAAAACGGGCAGTGTGCTTTATATCTTATCAAGAAAACACACTGGATATGATGCTCTTTCTAAAAGCCTTTTCCTAAGCATAAAAAGTACTAGATCTCATGTATTTGATTTACCTGAGCAGCCACCAGCCATGGCCACATTTGTGTTACATGTGAGCACACAGAACATGAGAGGTTTAAACACTGTTTGTGCCGAGTTGCACCATAAATATCTTGACATCCCTATCAAGTCTATTAAAAAGGAAATGAGAAGTAAGAGTTACTTTGTCAAAGCCAAGAACCAGACCTTCTCCGCTTTCCCTTCTATGTTCCAGCCATCGGTACTTACAATGTCCGTGGCATAAAGACATGGGTTAGCTTCATAACTAGGACACTTGGTAAACGCAAAAGTTTTCTCAGCAGATTCCAAACTACTCATCCCCTCCCCCTTTCTACATACCTCTATGGTCTGTGTTCTGTTTCTCATCACATACATGTAATCAAATATCTCAAGCTACATATTTAAAATCATGTTTAAATTTGGTTACTGTGACTGGAAAATATGCTTGCCCTTAAAGATTTTTTAAAAATAAAGAGAGAAAAAAAATCAATTAAAAAAAATAGCCCAAGCCATTCAGACAAGTGAATTTATAACACTGTCAAATATACTGACATAAAAACATGAAGCAACCCCCAATACATCACTTCATTTCATAAAATTGTTTTATATCAAACCGACTAATCGTGAGGTCATAAAATTCTGCTTTAGGTTTCAATTCGACTCAGTTGGTCAGTAACCACCGACTCGGCATCTACCATACAGCAAGTGAGGAATTAGGCACCGTTGGCCTTTAAAGTTTAAAGCATCAGTTCCCTGAGTGCTCCCCAAAGAGCTCAGATTTATCCTCCTCCTGGACGTTCCCCGCCTGGGGTAACTAACCTCATGCAAGAAGGGCAGCTCGTCCCGTGCCCTGTGGTACTCGATCACACACTCCAAGCAGTAGCAGAGGTCTTCGTCTGCTGTTTGGAAATCGCTGGCCTGGGCCCGGGATGCATAGCGCTGCAGGAAGTCAGTGGTGGAGACGCCGCCTGGTGTGCACCAACAGCAGGTGCTCATTCTGTACCTGCGTCCAGAACAGAAAGCAAAGAATAAAAAACTAGACACTTCGGGCCTGTTCTGTATGAAGATGGTGTGCTTCCTACTAGACCCTCATCCTCACCTTAAGATGTGCCTCCACCACTTCCAGAACAGTCTTCTAGCCAGCTTGACAATTACTGACTAAACTCAAATCTGAGAATACTCAAAAACCTTTTCTTTGATACATGAAAAATATAATAAAATGAAAGCATTTTATTAGTAATAAACATCATATGGCAATATACAGTTTTTCTGTAGAAAAGGCTCAAAACTATGTAATATTGATAGAAAATATATTGAGTCAGAGAACTATCAGTGTTTCCAAAGTACAGATTTTGAAGTGCTCTACTGATGTACTGAAGTTGAGTCAACAGCTTGAAATATTTCACATTCCCAAAAAACCATGCTCCAGAAATCCCTGGAAACATAAAACTCCATACTAACTAATCCATACCAGTAACAAAAATTCTTCTATAAAAGGACTTTCTCTTGTTTAATGTATCTACACATGAATTTGCCATAGGAAATTGCTGCCCATAACTCACTGCCCATCAATGCACGCTAATAACTACTAATGTTAACGTATTGTTCTTAAGTTTGATACTTATTTTTTTGACTGCCTCCAATTTTTTGTTTTTATAATACCATCAGAGCCTCTGACACCCAAACTCCAGTGAAAAGACTGCAGTCTCAAGGAGAGCACAGTAGCAAAACTGTACCAGGAAATCCCCAAAACCAAATGTGTCAGAGATGTGAATGAAGATCTATGAGGCAGGTTTATCACAACTGCAAACGGCATGAAACTGAGAATATTAGCAAATAGGATGGAAGTCAAAATCCAGAGAGATCTCCAACTCTTAATGACATGTAACAAAAATAAGCTAGGATCTAGCCCTGGCTGGTGTGGCTCAGTGGACTGAGTGCCAGCTGCGAACCAAAGGGTCACCGGTTCGATTCCCAGTCAAGGCATAGGCCTGGGTTGCAGGCCAGGTGTCCAGTAGGGACGCGCGAGAGGCAACCACACATTGATGTTTCTCTCCTTCTCTTCCCCCCTCCCTTCCTCTCTCTCTAAAAATAAATAAATATAATTTTAAAAAAATAAGCTAGGATCTGTATTTCTATCCCTAACTAAATGTAGATAAAAGCAAACAGGATGAACACTGTCAGTAAGCAGGGCATTGTGGCTAAACAAAAAGCAAATGTCTGCATTAAAATAAATAAAGGAGAGAGGGAGGCAGGGAGGGAAACAGGGACTGCAGCTGGGGAAACACACCATGAGCCTAGAGCACCCTAAAGCGCCAGAAAGCGCTCACAGCACGGAAGGATGGGGGCACGTCAAAGGGGCACAGGAACGAACCTAAAACAGCTTTCGAAGGCCAAAGCTCAAACGTTTTGAACGTAATCAATGTGATTGTTGAGTTATGACCTACATTGTAAATATGCATGAATCCGCACCAGGAAAAACAAATGGCCAAGTGAATAAACAAATTTGGGAGAAGGACGAATCTTCCTTATAGAAGAATTCCAAGTGATAGATTGAAACTCCCAATTCCACGAGGTGGCCCTTAACCCCACCCCACCTTGAATGCAGGCCAGACTTGGTGAATTCCCTCCAAAGAAGGGAGCATAGAAAGGAAAAACACTCATTTTAGAGGGGACACAGCTGGCAAACACAACCTTAACCAAGCAATCAAGGTTAACATCACCTGTGTAAGTTGCATTTCTAAACTCTGACATAATGTGATGATGAAGCAACTTCAACTCCGTATTACACCTCTCCAAAACCAATGACAACCCGCTCTATTCATGAGGAAAACATCAGACAAACCCAAAGTACTATCTAAACAGCTATCAGCCAGTCTGAAACAAGAAGAAAACCACACCCTAAGGGAAGCAAACCAAGTATTCTTTTATATGAAGCTAATAACTGATTGGAAATTGGGCTAGGAAATTATCCAACAAACCTCATCTCAAGAAACTTGACTTTAAGTATCCAGTGAGTGCAAATTATCAGCCTAATAGAAAAAAAGTAACAAACCTAACTGTAAACTTAATCAAGTTCCCCTCAGACACCAGGTGGCCCTAACTTAGGCACCCCTATTGGGGTGATGGCTCCTCAAGATGAAATCTGCTCATCCTGCTCTCTCCGCGTCTGGTGCAGATCTACAGACAGTGCAGAGAGGCCTATGATGCCCTCCTAGCATTAAAATTCATGGGAATCCCATGGGACAGAAATGTCTAAAACATTTCCTTTCATGGAGACAGAAGGGACAAAAAAAAAAGGTAAAGAAACATGAATTAAATATTTGGGAACATTCACCTGGCAGCGTGAGGGTCCTGAATGCGCAGCACCCTAAAATTCAGAGCGCAGAATTCCTGCTAATGACATCCTGACAGACATTGAGGCTATTGTGGTACAATGCCAGTTCTCTAAAATAAAGTGACTTTTTAAAAAATCTGTACTTTCTTCTTAATGCCCATGATTAAAGATTGCTACATAAATGCATAAGTATGATCAAATACAGGTATTTGTCTTAGGTATTGGTTTTTTAAATTTATTGAATACTGTGTACTTTCTTCATGCTCTTAAAAATAATTTAGTGCAGCTTTCAACATTAAAGTACTACAAATAAAAAAGGACAGTTAAAAAGGACATTTAAAAAGAGCGAGGAATCCAAACCTCTTTAGAAAAAACTTAATTTCACTGAGTCCTAAATTAGGAGCTTCCTGAAAAGCAATGCAAAAAGATAATATGACAACGTACCCAGTCCTCATCTGAAAAACAAATAGTATGCCAATTCAGCTGGAGTGCCCCACCCTTTCCTGACACTATTCTAATTAAATTATATTTTATTAATGCCTGCCTGCAAACCAGGCGCAAGGACGCTGCAAACTAGGGACTACGAAGTAACACAATGAATAGTACTAGTTTCTGCAGAATATAAAATTACTGTCTTCAAAGAAAGGTTTCTTTTTTCTGAAAGGCCAGTTTCACAATACTAGGAAGTTACGTCTACAGAAACTATATTTTTCTGGTGATCTAATTCAATGTGGGGAGTGAACACACATCTAAAAATAGAAAATGAAACTTCTTGGAGATTTCTCATACATCAATATTCCAAGCATGACCCAGCAGATAAAAGACTGCAGTCAACTGAAACTTTAAAAAAAATGATAGGACCAAAGTAAAATAGCAACTTTAAACATATACAAACTATTAACAGAGCAGTTAGTAAAAAAGGCTTCCATTAAGAAAGTTACTGCCCTGGCCAGTGTGGCTCAGTTGGTTGGAGCGTCATCCCATAACCGAAGGGTTGTGGGTTCAATTCCTGGCCAGGGCACCTACCTAGGTTGCAGGTTTGATCCCCGGTCCGGGCACGTGTGATCCCCAGTCCAGGCGTGTGCAAGAAGCAAGCAATCAATGTTTTTCTCTCTCCCTTCCTCTCTCTCTCTAAAAGCAATGAAAAAATGTACTCAGGTTGAGGATAAACAAATAAATAAAAAGAAAATTACGGAGTCTGCTTTTTTATTTCACTCACTCAGAGAGCTAGGCTACTCTCACACTCAAAAGCAGGACTAAAGTTTCTCTAAGTAGACGGAAGTTGCTCCCATATAACAGGCAGACACCATGGAATCTACAATACACAGAGAATGGTGCTATGGGCACATCAACAACAGGCACATGTTTCTGTGAGTCCTCTCAAATGGCCATATGTGTATGGTTATGTCCCCAACTCTAAAACCATCACTAGCCTGCTAACTAAGCCCAGCAAATTCTGAATAAGGTATATTGTAGGGTGTAAGGGCGTGTAAGGGAGATGACCAGCAATCCTGTTAAGTTTCTGCCCAACTCAGTTCTTCTAGAGGTCACTTTTGTTAATTTCATCAGCATATAACTGTTGGGAACTATTACTAAACCACAGATGAGTGGGTCGGGAATCCTCAAGCTGCAGAACAGAAATAAGAACCACTCCCCAAGGATCAAAAGAGTTCATTTTATTACTGTCTCTTTTGTACAAGGAGTGGATGTGTCAATAATACAGGATGCTTCACCAGAGGTATAGCCCTAACTTTCCATAGCCTTAACCTGGAGATACCATTTTCAGTATTAGCTAGCCAGAAACTTCCAATAGTAACTTTTTTCTATCCTTCCCAGTTAAACTTCTTTCGGGGGGGGGGGGGTGGTCCAGATTCACTTGCTCAGGTCCTTTGTACTCTGGTTTCTACCCTTACATTCACCAAATGTTTTCATGATCTTTGCATTGCCAAATCCAGTAGGGAGATTAAATTTTAAAATGTGCAAAAAAGAAAGAAAAGGACAAGAAGGGAGGGAGGAATGGAGGGAGGGAAAAATATAATGCGGGCCATGCATTCCTGGGCTAAGAGCACACCGCTGTCCCCTCAGTTCCTCTACTCCATCTCCTTCGTAGTCGCCTCTTCCTTTTTGTCCTCTAATAGCACCATTCCCAAGGGCAGTCCTCAGGATTCTAACCTCCGCGTTTAAAATCCTCTTTCTGGGTGACCTAATTCAAACCACTGCTTCCACTGCTCCCTATTTTGAAGTTTCTCCAAGCCTGAGAAGACATGTGGAACTCTAACTGCAATCGTAACTATACTTCACCTACTCAATAAATGACAGCCCAGCCTCAAAGTCCCCTGCCCAGCTGCACAGTGAGTCTGCTCACCTTACAGGTACCTCCAAGCAAACAGAACCAGGAAAAACCGAAGTCCTTCCCGTATGTGTGCTGTTTTCTGTATCCGTGGCACTGTTGCCCCTTCAGTTTTCCAACCGGCATCCTGGGGCTCACCAGCCTCTCCCTCTCCCTGAGCCCCCGCCTCCCTCAGAGCCTGCGCCCCAACCACGCCTGGGCTGTATCCTCGGCGACTCCGGCTCTGCCTTGGCCTAATGCTCTCCGTGTCCACTGTTTGCCTGGATCACAGAAGAAGCCTAAACACTTCTTGTTTTGATCCACCACCAGTTGTTCTTCCAAAACACTGCCAAAGGGCAAAGGAAAGAAACTGGGCTTGGAAAGCACCAACGACTCCTCCACAGTCTTGGGGTAAAATTCCCATTTTTGAGTTCACCACACAGGGGCCTCCCTGACCTGGCTTCAGCATCACCCCCACGCGCGTGCTCCGCTTGAAATGCTTCATGGTGTTGGGGATTCCCTGCCTTTGCGGACACCCGTCCACCTGCCTTGAGCACCCACCCTTCACACCGCTGCCTGGTTCTCATCCCTGAAGACGCACCAAAATCACCAAAGAAACTTAAAAGGAAAAAAAAAAGTAGATGAGATACTACCGATACAATTCAGACTCAATTTTCAAAAAGAACTTCACCAGCGATTCTGATAAAAAGCCAGATTTGGGAACCGCCCACGCCCCTCCAGCGCCTCCAGGCTGCCCCGAGGGCCGTCCTCTCCGCTACCTGGGACTCGGGCGTGTCCGTCCTGGCGCTTCCCCGCGGCGCAGAGCTTTAGGCTCAGCAACCCTGGCTCTGCAGCGCAGGGATCTGTTCTGCATCATTTCCTTTACTCCTGCCTGGCACATAGTACGTGACTGAAAAAAATGGCTTAAACGTCTTACACGTTGGCTTAAAAAATGATTACCGGGGCTAACAACTTACAGAGGCGTGATCCTCTCAGTCACGACTCCTGGGTGTTTGTGAGTGGGTGATGATTTGCATTCGAATGTACCCAGACTCGGGCCCCAGAAGAATATTTCTGAAACAAACAAAAAAAGAAACAGTTAAAGCGGTTTGTATACTCTTCTCTGGGTTTCACATCAACGCTATTAAGCAGGGCCAGACGCTACCATTTGATGAGAAGGCTCTGCTCACAGAGCTCAGTCAACTGGCCGTGGGCGCCCGAGCGACAGCGCTGCTGGCGGCCGCGGAGCTGGAGGGGTCTCCTCCCCCCCGGGACCCGCCCGCCGCGCAGAAGGGCCCCCAGCGCGCACACGCAGGCGCCGTCGCCCCCGGGCCCCGCACTAACTCGTCCCTGCCACTGTCCACGTGAAGCCCGCCCTCCTAACCGCAGGGTGCTTCTCCCCTCCAGCCTCGCGCCCGGTCCCCTCGGGGCGGCGAAGGGCGGGGGGGCGGCGAAGCCCCTGGCGGGCTGTCAGCGCTCCATCACCTTCAGGTGGGGCAGGGAGGGCTCAGGTGGCCGTTCGGGGGAGGCACTCTCCCCCAAGGGCAAGACCCTGGGGCAGGAGAAAGGCAGGGGCGTCGAGAGGACCCACACTTTCTGGAGCGAGACCCCCTCCCCACTGACCCCCACAGCTACCATACGAAGCCCGGACCAGAAAGAGCTCCCGCGACACCGCACTGTGGACAACACGAAGGGAGGAGAAGGGGGTCCCAGCGCCCGGGACCCCGGTATGCAGGAAGCACCAGGAAACGACCCACCAGACACGACCGGGGTGCTCCCGCCTGCAGCGCCGCGACCCGCCAGAGAGCGGCCGAGCTCGCGCCGCCCCTCCCCCCCTCCCGCCGGCCCGCCCGGAGCTCACGCGCCGAGGCAGTTACTCCAAGCGGCTCCGCGCGCACTACCGAGCGCGCTCTCACGTGTGCAACCTCGAGCCCGCCGCTCTCCTCACCCGGCCAGGCCTCGCGTCGACAGCTAGCCCGGCTCCATGCCTCTACTCCCGAGTCGGCCGAGGGCGGAAGTGCAGGTCCGCTCCCCACCGCCCAACCCGCGGCCGCCGCGAGCGAAGATCCTGCCCCTGCGCGCCGGCGGCCGCCCGCAGGCCCCGCCCCGGCCTCCAGTTTGTTTTGGTGCGCCGAGGGGCGGGCCGTGGGAAGAGAGGCGCCGAGGCTCCGCGAGGAGGCTGAGCACCTGGCGCTTCCGTCACTTCCGGGCCCACAGGGCCCACCAATCAGGAGGGTCCGCGCAGTGGGGGAGGAGTTTGCAGCCCTGGAGCGAACGCGGCGGGGTCCGGCACTTCGTCCCCCCTGTCCCACCGCCCCCCGCCGCCCCGTTAGGGAACGCGCCCGACCTCCCTTACTTGGGTTGACTTAGGCACCTACCTTTCTGCCTTTGTCGCTCTATCCCTTAATGTTTTCAACGCCTCACGTGTCTCAGGAGAGTGTGTTAGGGATTGCGAAGGAATTTTTTTCCTTTTTAGATTTCCCTTAAAGACCTAACACATTTAATCAACATGTAATGGAAGGGCTAGACATACTTGTATTACACAAAAGGGATACATTAAGTATTGAACTTTGGGAGAACACATACACTTTGTAATCCAGGAAAAAGATGCATTAAGTATGGTAAAGAAAAACAATACAGGTTATCTCAGTAAAACCGCCACGGGAAAGCCTACCCATTTTTTTTTTAACCCATGCTACTGACTTTGAGGATGAGCAGCCACTACTAGCTTTTACTCTAAGAGACAGAAAAGGAAAAATAAACAAAAAAATACCCAAATAGTTGCGAATAATGATCACTGCTGTAAAGGAAAGAGGAGGCTGAGATGGGCCCGACCAACAGGCCAGTCGGCCAGCGTCTTACCGCGCGGAACCTTCGCGGGAGAATGAAGGGCAGCGAGCCAGGAACGCGGAGGACGCTGGGGACCGAAAGTTCCAGCGAGGGGGCGGGGCTCGTGGGACCGCACAGGTGGCCGTTATGCTAATTAGCCAACCTCGCCTTTGGAGCACGTGCGGAAAACCGTTATTCTCTTTGCTTCTAGAGTTTTCTACGCTGTGAAATAGTTTGGCCGCATTCCGTTGAAGTGTTTAAATAAGAAAATTATGAAACTGTTTCAAACCATACTGCATTATAAATTGTATATGCATCTCTTTTTAAATAACTTTTTTGGGTACTACTTTTAAAAACACAGACCTGGATGGCTATCGAAAATAAACTTTTTTTAAAAAAGAAATAGATAAGGTGGCAAAAGTCATCTGAATTTCTGCTTCCCTGAGAAAACCATTTTAATGTATATTCTTGTAGAATTTATTGTTATTAAAGTGGACATGGGGGGAGGGGAGTATAAGCGGGAAAATAGTAATGAAAAAATACAATAAAAATAAATTTAAAATATATAAAGTAGATATGAAAAAATATTCTAAAATGCTATGCTGCTCACCACAGAGCAAGAAACAACCTTATCCCAAGCACTGAACTGGGGGACTTCACTAGACACTGTAGATTGGGCTAGGAACACAAAATCAGGAGAAAGAAAAATTTTAGATTGAAAATCTTTTAATATTCAACAACATATTTATGTTTATAACAATATGGTCATAAGATGTGATTTGTAATATTTTTAAGGAGGAACGTGCCCATTAAGGCAAAAAGTGCTGAGTCCCACTGACGTCATAATTTGATCTTGCCTCTGAGCCCTCTGTGGTCCTTATAATTTGACCACATTTATAATTTGTAAGCAATATATTAAGTTTTGCATGCTCTTTAACCTTACCAAATTATACTTAATGCATTTTTCTGCAAACTGCTTTTTACACTTAACATTATGTCCTAAGATTGATCCAAGGTACAGTCAAGAGCTATAGAACCCAAAGATTAAACAACTTGAGGGTGCTCTTTAAAATACTGCAGTAAAATTTATGATTACAAGATTAGGAATAAATTAATATTTATTTGGAGTGAATGGCACAAATTACAACTTTTAAATGGAAAAATCTACAAATGTAAAAAATCTAGAAAAAAAATATAGGCTGCAAACACAATTCTATAAAAGTTACATAGTTTGGCCCTCTCTGGTGTGGTTCAGTGAACTGAGCACCAGCCTGTGAATCAAAGGGTCGCTGGTTCGATTCCCAGTCACGGCACATGCCTGGGTTGCAGGCCAGGTCCCCAGTAGGGGGCATGCAAGAGGCAACCACACATTAATGTTTCTCTCCCTCTCTTTCTCCCTCTCTTCCCCTCTCTAAAAAGAAATAAAATCTTTTTTAAAAAAGTTTATAAATGTTTCTTTCAAATTAATGATTTTGTTTGATCATGTCATGTAAATTTTTACATATGAGCTGTAAGATTTTAGAGCACATAAAATTTCTGGTGTTGTGACCAAGCCTAAATAGTCAGAATTGATGACACCATATTAGCAGATGTTGTCATTTTTAGATCCATTTGTGAGTTTTATATGTCAGTATTTTATGTCAAAATTTTAGTACTTTATCCAGTTTGATCACTTCTTATCATTATTTGGATTATCAACAACCCAAAAGCCTATTGTTTCTTATTTCTCTTTGAAATAGATCTCTTCCAATGAATTACTGAATTTTTTGTTATTTCTCTTGATCTTATCATCATTCATCCTCACTTTTGCTTCATATTCAATTGATTTTTGTCAATTATATACAATAAAATACCCAGATTTTAAGTGTCTGGTTTGAGGGATTTTAACAATTTCATAATTTCATGTAACCATCTTTAATCAAAACATGAAATCTTCTCTTCATCCCAGAAAGTGCCCTTAGGCCACTTTGCAGTAAATCACCTCCACACTCACCCAATGGAACTGCTGATCAGATTTGTATCACCACAGGTTCTTTCAAACTGTTGTAGAACTTTAGATCAATGAACTTATACATTATGCACTCTGTCTTCTTTTGTTCAGCATGAAGTGTGCGAAGTTTATAGATGTTGTTGCATGTATCAACAACGCATTTTTTTTATCAGAGTTGGATGTCCTAAATTGGGTATACCACGGTTTGATTTTTTCACTTATCTGGTGGATATTGGGTGGTTTCAAGTTTTCTGTTATTATGAATAAAACCATTATGAACATTACTGTACAAGTCTTTTAATGGATGTATGTTTCATTTAACTTGGATAGAAATCCAGGAGTGGAATTTCTGGATTGGAGCAGGTGTATGTTTAACATTATGAGGACTTAACAATCCATTTTCCAAAGGGCTTTTTTCTATCTTATATTTCTATAAGCAACATGCAAGACTTCCACTTACTCCCCAACCTTGTCAACAATTCCCATTGTGATTCTTTTAAATTTAACTCATCCCAGTGGGTTAAATTGTACCTTGTTCATTGTCCTGAAGGGGCCAAACTTTAAAACTAGGTCAAGCCTGGGCCGAAACAAGAAACTAGAACAAACAATACCCCAAGATGAAGGGAAGAATTAGAGCCCCCCTTAGTAACAAGATAGGACAACGGCTGAGCCTTGACTCAGATAAACAGCCCGTAAAAGCAGGGTCAAAGCTGAGGATAAGGGAGGAACTAATACCAAGAAAAACATATCAAGGTGCAGCCCCCATGCAGCTGGACCAGAGTCGACAAGAATGAGGAGGAGGCATAGGGCAACGGTTGAGCCTTGCCTCAGATAAACATCCTGACCAGAGAAAGACAGAGTAGGGGGCCTAATAACAGCCTTGAACCCAATCAGCAAAAAAAAAAAGAAAGAAGCTGCCTATCGCTAACTGCCACTTCTCGCCCTTGTATCTTGCTTGCTTGCTCTGCTTATAAAAACCCGTGTACCCTTACAGCGGCGCGCCTTTTTCCTTTCGAGGGAAAGGTGGCCCCTGCGCAGGTAAAACTTGGCCAAATAATAGAGTGTGTGATCAAACTCTAATTTCTGAGCTCATACTTGCGGGGATCCTAACAGTCCTTGATATGTAACGATGTAGGATATCTTACCGTGTGCTTATTGGGAATCAGTATATCTTCTTTAGGAATTGTGTGCATGAGTCCTTTGGCAATTTTTTTTAAAAGGACTTTACAGGATTCTTGACCTGCAGGACTGCCAGCTAATAATTTTGTGTGGTTTTTAAGCCACTAAGTTTGTGGTAATTTTTATGTTGGCATAAAAATTTAATACAGATTTACTTAAAATTTTTAATTTTCTGTTTGCCACCAATATAGACATGGAATTGATATTTATATGTTGATCTTGTCTCTAGCAACTTTACTTAACTGATATGTTAACTCTCATACATTCTCTGTAAGTTCTTCTGGATTTCCTGCATTCACAGTCACATCATCTGAGGTGAAAGGGCAGTTTTAGATCTTCATTTCCCATCCACACAGGTTTCACTTCCTTTTCTTGCTTGGCTGATGCTGAGCAGTGTTGAGAGTAGGCCCCCTTTCTTCAATCTTAAAGGGAAAAATTTCAGTGTTTCACTGTTTGAAATACTATTCACCGAGGTTTTGGTTTGAGGTTGAGAAAGTTGCCCTATTTTTATTGGATGGATTTGGAATTCATCAAATGCAAATCATTTTTATTCTTTATTAACATTGTGGATTGTCCTAATGGGTTTCCTTTTTTTTTTCCTTGATTTTTTTTTGTGTGTTTGCGGCGGGGGGCGGGGGGAGTTAGTGAAACAGACTCGGACTCAAAGCAGGAGCTCGTGATTGCCAGGTGGGGAGGGGCCGGGGCCGGGGGCCGGGGTGATAAAGGTCAAGGAGTTGAGAAGCACAGCTCAGCAGGTATAAAATAGTCAGAGGGAAGGCTGGAAAGCACAGGGAACACAGTCGCTGATACGGTGATAACTCTGCGCAGTGCCAGATGGGTCCTGGGAACATCGGGGGGAGCACTCTGTAACGCACATGGTCGTCCAACCGCTATGCTGTGCGCGTGAAACCAACACAAAATAAAATGGAAAGGGAAGAACGTTGTGTGGTGTGAGGGGAATAGAGGCCTTAGGTAGCATTGGAAAGATAAGCAGTGGAAGGTTGTACAGAATTTTTGTAGATACTATGACATAGAATGAATATCATCCCAAGATGAAGTGGGAAGCCATTTCGAGGGTCTTAAACAGGGCGGGAATGTGAGCGATTCTGCGGCCGCGCGGAGTACAGATTGGAGAAGGGCCGGCATGTCATCAGCAAGGTCAGCATGGTCCAGAGAGGATGGTGTCTGAAGTCCTGGCAGGTGGGGGAGGGGTCAGAGAGAGTCCAGGTGGGCGTGTGGAGGCAGAAGGGCGGGGGGGTGCTAATGGACTGGACATCGCAGGACCGGGGGAGAGGACAGTGGCAAGGCTGGGTGACTCCTGGGTTTCTGACTCAACTAAGTGAAAGTGCCACCACGGGCTGAGATGAGAAAGCCTGGGGACAGGTGACAAAGTTTCAGCTGTGTGGGCGACTAAAAGATTGTAACATATTAAACTTGACATAAGACACCTCGATAGAGGCGGCAAGTAGGCAGATGGATTTTTCAGCCTGGAGTTCGGGGAGAGTCTGACCTTCAACTTCATGTTGGGGCATCATCAGCAGGTACATGTTATTTCAAAACACTGCGAGCAAGCAAAGAGCCCTAACATCCCTGGGGAACCACATTTAGAAGTTGGGAGTAGCGGAGCCGAACGTGCTAACCAATTCCACACAACGATACGTATTTAAGGATGGTTAATACTCGAGTTTGTCTATATGGTGATAACAGTCCAGAACAGGAGAGACAGCCAATGCAGGGGATCAAAATCTCTGCTGCAACCTCAGGGGGCAGGCGCAGGGTTCCAGGGTAGCGACCCAGCACGCAGGGGGCGGGGGGTGAGTGTCATTGCAGGTCAGCGTGTCTGGTTGATGGAGGAAAGAAGGTATTGCTATCTGTTGGCTTCAACTTTCTCAGTGAATCCTGAAAAGGGCAGGAGAAGGGTGTGGGGAAGTTGAATGTTTAAAGCAGTTGATGTGGGGAAAAGAAAAGCAAGCCTGTAGGAGGATTAGAGTAGGCTCCTTTGGTAATGTGTGTGTCCACTTGAGGTGTCCAGTCCTTAAAGCGAAAGCAGCCAGCTGAGCTGTGCGACATTCTTCTAGGAATATGCCGCTCCTCGGGAGCAGGGAGGAGGCAGCTGGGAGGGCTCCCCGGATGTGGGGTCTTGAACAGAGAAGCGCCAGAGGGAGAGAATGAAGAGGGGAGGGTGTCGGGAAGAGAGAGATGGTAACGATGGACTCTGGCGACTTGCACAGGCTGCGAGAGGGCTGATGGCTCCTTTGATGGGGCTGCAGATTCAGGGCGGTGGTTGGATTTCAGGAAATGGCGCTCAGAAAGCGCTAGGCTGCACGTGCGCCAAAGCTGCGCCGCGCACTGTGGCGCCTCCAGCTCACCGCGGGGCCTGGCTGAGCGCGCTCGCCGAACCGAAAGCAGCACTGAGGTCGGAATCCATGCCTTGGTCTGATGATGAAACTCCTTCTTCCTCTTCTTATGTTGAGGGTACATTTATTAAAGTTGGGGACAGTGAAACAAGAAAGGGCTTAGGATGGAAGAAGTAACAGGAGAGAACCTAGGCAGGGCTGCTTTGAATTTCTAGAAATGTTATAGGAAAGAGGCCAACACAGGGCTGCTTTTAGCTCACTGGAAAGTAAAAGTCACAGCGACAGAAGCGAGCCCAGGGGGGCTGCTTTTAGCTCACGGGAGTGAGAGAAGGGGCCCTGGGGACAGCACAGGGTGAACCCAGGATGCGCTGCCGCTGCCCACTGTTCCCCTGGTTGCAAGTCCCGTGGGGACCCTTAGAGTTTAGGAAACTCATGACCGCGGGGGAAGAAAAGGGGAAGGGGAAGGCGTGGGTGGGCTCCTTGGGAGAGAGAACACACTTTCGTTTTTTTTTTTTAATACCTCCTCTCTGCTGCAGAGTCCTGGGCCTCTTTGTTGCATAATTAAGTCTGTAAATAGCTAAAAACATGCTTGTTGAAAAATGTAAAGTGTGAGGAGTTGGGGGAGGTGTCAGAGAGTATTGGGGGGGCGGATGTACGGTAATTAAAAAGCACAATGAAAAAGTGAGTGTAAAATGACAAGGAACTCGGCCAAGAACTCAAGCAATGCGCTGTCGGGACTGTTGGCATATACCTGGGCTTGTCCTTGGTCTTGTTTCTTGTGAGACAGGTGTCCTGTCTCTCTCTCCCCTTGTTCACTCCCTGAACCTCCTCTCCCTCCCAGGGGCCCCCTCTGCCCTTCCTTGCTCTGAACTGGGGCTCTGTATGCCACGGCCGCCACAGAAAGCCCGTCTTTCCAGCGCGGCTTCTCTCCTGTCCGTCCTCTTCGAAGCACAGGCTGGGGCTCCGCCACAAAGCCCGCACATCCCAACCCGCAGCCTCGGTTCCCTCCCACCCACCGATCCCACCCTCAGACCTGCATTTCACGTAGCCAGCCTGCCCTTCCAAGTTCCTGCATTCTTAGGTGGAAAAGGATGTTTGGCAAAGGTAAGGTTTGTGCTGTGTGCATCTCCCCACCCCCAGGCGGGGGCACACGGGGGTTAGAGGTGAGAATTATAAAAATCTAACTTTTACAAAGTGCACACGTTTATTGGGTAAAATCCATAGCACGGGCACGTCAATGACTCACTGCCATCATCTGCGATTGCGGTTGGCACTGGCCCCATTTCCTCCCGGGGAACGGAGCCTCTCAGCCATTCCAGGGACGCCGAGCTACACCCCAGCTCCAGGGGCGAGCCCAGTTTGGTTGAAGTCAATCCTATTTTCCTGGCTACAGCAAGAGTTCGGGGTAGGGCACAAGCTTTAATCTGGGCACTAGGAACAAAACCGGGAACTGAAGCCAGGACAACAGGAAGGGACTGCTTTCCTCCTCTGTCCCAGTGCCGGGGCTGCTGAGGCAGGGCACTGGGTGACGGCGACCCTCGGGGCCCCGCAGGGACTGGAAAGGAGGTGGAGAAGGGACACCCTGGGACTGAGAGCGAGCCCTCCCCCTGGACTTTCAGTCTCAAGCTCCCTGACCCCTTAGATCTCCCAGTCTGATTTTCTGGCTCTTGCGAATCAAGAGTTCTAACCTGTAAACACTCAAGCCCACCACCCAAAGAAAAACCATCAACGTTTTGGCTTTAATTCTTCCCACACACTATAATGTACCTAAATATACACAATTTCTTTTATTTTCTTATGTTTACAAAATTGAGAAAATATATAAACTCTTTTGAAATATTTCAGTTGATAATACTGTTCACCTTTTTTTGGGTTAACCAAATCTGTCAGCACTTAACATTATTGTATAATATTCCACTCTAGGAATATATGGTTTTTTAACAAATTCCTCATTAAGGAACACTTACATTTTCTTCTGTTTTTCACATGATAAATGTGCCACTCACATACTAGCTCTATTATTTCATTAGGTTCTCGGCGTGGAATTGCTCGATTACAGAATATGCACATTCTTAAGGGTCCACTGTATTTGCCAGATCGTCCACCACAAGGCACATACGATTTATATTCCCATCAGCGTGGCGACGGGCATGTCTGACAGGGAGAACGGGGTGGCTAAAGGCAAACGCTCTCTACAAAGAAAGCACTCTTTTGCTTACTAAGTGTTTATTGAGTGTTGATATTTGCACGACGCTGTGTGGTGTCGTGGGGAGGCTCTGGTGACCAGGGGCCCCTACGCTGGCTTGTCTGTCATGGCAGGTTTAGGACACCAAGCTTTGAGGATGGTTTACCCTACACCACATCATGATGTAACTCACGTGGCAATGGAGAGCACGCGGGGGCCGCGCCCGGGCGCACACAGGGACACGGCTGCGCACGGGGCGCCGCTCACCCGCACTGTCCTCCGCGTGCTCTGCCTCATCCAGATGTGGTTAGACGCCTGGAAAGGCTACTTCCCTGCCCAGCTGGGTCCTGCTCAGGGGCTGCCCATGGGAGACACATGTTCCTGCCGAGGCCGCGGGGCAGAGAAGGGACAGAGGGGCGTGGGCCCCAGACGGCCCCGAGGCTGCGGGGGCCCGCGGGGGCGCGGCAGGCAGAGGGGCTGCAGAGGCCTCCCTGTGGGTCCCCATTGCGGGCTAACTCGCCCTCCCCGTTGGCCCCTCCATCCCGTGTAACGGCTTCGTGGCCTAGACCCCTGTGTGAAGTCCTTCCCTGCTTGAAGTCCCGGCGGTGGTTTGCTTTCCCGACTGATGGGGGAGCCCTTGAGATTCCTGGAGGCCCGCGTGTGGCCGAGGCCCCGCATGGCAGCTTCCCATGAGTAACAGCCAGTTTTTCTGGAAGCAATGGAAGATGGCACAGGTTTCTCCCCCACAGCCACCTCCAGATGAGTTCAGCGACTGGCTGGGAGGGTGTCTTGGGTGAAAAACACACACCTTTAAATGCCAGGCCACCCAGGAAGATGAGCTGCACACACTGCAATGCATACAGGGAACTGAAACCAGACAGAGGAGTCGGCACACCCACGCTTCCCTCTGAGGTCCTCCTTGTACTCACATCCACTGAGAACATGGCCACGTAAACAAGGGGAGGGGCCGAAAGCAAAATGGCGTGCGCCCCCGAAGCTGCGGGTGCTCTCACTTTGCTGGGGGCACGCATATGGCATCCTCACAACGGAATGTTTACAGGATGCGGCAGACTATCCTCTGCTGCCTCGGGGGCTTGGGGTTCTGCGGTTCTAGAAAAAGCGTCAGCTGCAATTGTTTTCCATATGACAGAAGTGTGAAATCAACACCTACACTCCTCTTCCTTTTCAAACAAACTTGAATCTGATGATGTCCGTTCTCAAAGCTCCACAATCCACGTCACCGCTTTCGCACGCTCTGTATCTTCTTTCCTAACCATCGACGCCGGAAACAGCTCCACGGACCCATGCACGCAAATGCAGCCAAGCGCAGACAACGGACAAGAAACACCCCAGCCCCTTAACTCCCTCCAGGCCCGTCTTCCCCCTCGCTGTCATCATCACAGCGGAAGATGTCTCGGAACAGGAAGACCTGCTTGGGCACTGCAGGGGTCTGGAGCTCAGTGCCCCTCTTCTCCATCTTCTTCTCCAGCTTTTCCTTGAGCAGAGGCAGACTCGTCTCATACAGGTAGTCTATAATCTCTAAAGGAAAAAAGTTGCCTTTGAACTCATCTGTACAAAGCCTCTTCCCAAGCTCAAGGGACAATGTTCCTGCCTGGGCAGCAATTCATGCGCAAGCTCCTGTTCTCACTGGTCGGCTCCCACCCTCTCTCCCTACCCTCTCCCCCCACCCTCTCTCTGAGGTCCTCTGAGGCGGGCACAGCTGCTCACCCATTTCCCAAATGAGGAAACTGAGACCGCACAGCACACTGTGAAATGTGCCTACAGCTATGGACTGGGTCGGGGCGAGTCCGGGTTTTGAACCCGGGCAGCGAGGTCTGCAGCACGCAAGCCGAGCTTGCTTGCACACTGCAGGGCAAGGGCACCGGATGCGGGTCCCCAAACACCAGCACCAGTCAGACCATTGGAGATGCTCTCGTGAGCTTGTGAGAGAAAATCAAGCCTCCGAGTGCCGACTGGAGATCAGCACTTGGCATGTCAGAGAGGAGGCCCCGCGTATTTTTAGCAAGTTCCCCACGTGACTTGGGTGACCCGAGCTTGGGAATCTCCGATCTAAACCAGCACAAACGGCTGTGAAGGAGGAACTGGGCACCTGTTTTCCATGGAAGGCTGTGAGCTCCCACGGGGGGTGAGTGTGAACTCGCACGTGGGGTGAGCGGGTGCACAGGCCAGCGACCCAGGTGCTCTCAACGTTAGTCACCGTGTGCTCGCTGAGCACCGGGTGCCCGGCAGCCGCATTTCGAGGTAACACGTGCGTTACCTCGTTTAGTGGTTCCGAAAGTCTTGTCAGGTAGGGTTCTACTTTTCTAGTTCTCACCAGTTTACAATGTAAGAAACCGAGGCTCTCAGAAGTCACATCACCTGCCCAAGGTCCCTTACCAGCACAGGGCCCCACACGCTGTGTTCTTAATGATTCAAATATTGACAATACTGACCTGGAAAAGTCTTCTTCTGCCAAAAGGGAACACAGGTCGCTTTCAGCTTATAAAATTTACTTTGAACATAAGACGGAGGAACATCACTTTAGGAAGGAAAAGGTGGAAAAAAGTGTCAGTTTAAAGCCTGATCATTTCAGGAGTAACAAGTTCAGTGCAAACAAGGGCTTTGGTTAAAGTGAGGTCTGTAGACTGACGTAGCTTTTTTAACCCTGAACATGAAATCACCATGGCCACAAACGTAAAAAAAAACACACAATGGGAAGCTATTGATCGTCTGGTTAAAAAAATACACACACAAAGGAAGGAGTCAGTAATATAACAAGATGGGCTCTGTTTAAACTGGAATAATCTAAGTTACTAGTTGGGAGGACAAAATGTAACAGCAGCCAGCACATGGGATGCTCACCGTGTGCCCGGCCTGGCCCAAAGTGCCCCCCAGGTAGCAACAAACAGGCCTGATGACCACCCTTCCAGGGCGTCACTATTCTTCGCCCTCACTTTAGAGATGGGGAAACTGGGGCACAGAGAAGTTTTCCAGGACCTTGCGCCTAGTGAGGGTACAGTTGGGACAACTGGGTGATGCGACTCCAAATTCTCCACCCTTCACCTGTGACGCTCAGGGTAAATACGTCTTTGTCACCGTTCAAAGGCAGGTGTCCCCTGATTTTTTATTTTGCAAAGCCAAGGAAAAAGGAGATGCTGACAATGTTTTGGTGACTCAAATATATTTTTACTTTATAGTAACTAACACTGAAACAACCAAATTACATTGTTTTTAAAGAGAAAATCACTAACTTTACTTCCTGGACACTTTTTCTTAAACAAAAGAAGTGTGACTTACTTGTTTCAATAATTTACTAGCAGCTAAAAGGACTAGCGTGGATCGTTTTATCTGTTAAGTGTGTAGAGGAAAACGAGGATCGGGCTCTTTCAGGCTCTTCGTCACAACCGCTGGCCGAACACGCGCTGCGTGCCAGGCCCCGGGCTAAGCATCTGTCCTGCGTCACCCCCTCAGGCCCTCACAAGGTCCTCATAAGCCATCGTGTGGATGAGGAAACCGAGACAAGCTAGGGAACAGCCTGCCCAAGGACGGCTACCTAACGAGGGCCAGGACTGGGCACCAGGACTGGGTGCCGGGGCAGCTGCCTGCAAAGCCCACGGTCTAGGGCCCCAGGCCATGCCACCTCCCACGATGCCGCGCGCCCGGCGTGATGCCTTGTGGACCCAGCTCAGGCGCTGAGAAGTGACACTAATTGGTCTGGACGTTTTTACACTAAGTAGGCATTACATGTCAGTAGGTCAGAACGCTGTCTTTAATCCTGCCTAACTAATTCCCAAGGGGGCATGAATACACTGAAGACATTGGACTTTTAGTTGAATTATTTTTCACTGTTTTAATGCATTATTAAAACTTTGAGAATGTATTATTTCAAACAGTATTTGACTAGATGCCATAATCTGCATTTTATAGTTTTGAGATTTATAAATCAGGTAAAACAATCCATTTAAAAATATGTATGTATAATTTTTACTTAAAACCATAAAAAACGCAATTTAAGAAATCATGTTACCTGAAGCATTATGAAAAAATATATAAAAACTTATTGGAAAAGTCAGATTTTTAAAAAGTGGTGTGATGATGTAAAGGGAGGGCTTTGCGGACATGGCCCTCAGCCAGGAGTCGGTGGGGTGCAAGGCAGGACCCCTTCCGTCTCAGCGCCTGACACCACCACGCTCAGGGACCCACCCTCAGGGGAGCTGGAGAAGGGCAGGGTTTGGACCTGCGGGCGTGTGTCTGTGGCTCCCAGCAGGGCCAGCCACGAAAAGATTCCAGTTCTCTGACCCCCGAACTGGTTTCGGTCCTGCCTGATGGCCCCGCGACGCGTTCACCCCGGCAGCCACGCTCCCGCACGGCAGCCAGGCGGCTCCTGTCCACCTTCCGAACTGAAGGCCAAACGACCCTCCACACCCCCGCTTCCCCAGCCCACCAGCACCTGCACCGCACCTCGCACCAGTCCGCTTTGCTCAGAGGGACCCTGCTCTGCCGGCCGGCCCGAGAGAGAGTGGCGGCCGCAGCCCTCGGTCGCAGGACTGACTCAAACGCCGGGCCTGCAGCCGAGGCGCCCCGGCGAAGACAAACGGGCGGGGGCGGGGGGGCTGGGAACACAGGGAGGCTCTGCGCTCCCCAGGCAAGAGGCGCACGCCCGCGTCCCACACCACCTACGGGGGAGCAAGCCGCGCCGTGGGCCCTCCTACGCCTCAGAGCAGCTCCCTGCGGCCCTCTCGCCGCCCAGAGAAAACTGGCACCGAGAGCGGAAAACACAGGTGCCCGCAGAGCCCAGGGGTCAGAGTCAGCGCCTCCCGCGAGGATGGCTGATGGGGACACAGAGCCTCACTCTCATCAGGAGGAGCCCTCGGACACGCCGCCCAAGGAACAGGCCACAGAGCGGGCGGCCTGGGTTCCTCCAGCGTCCCCGTGCCACTGGAAACCACCGGACTCCACCGACGGAAGGACACGAGGAGACGGCACCACGCCAGGCGCGACCCTGGACCGCACCTCAAGTCGGGGGAAATGCTATACAGGGCATTACGGGGACACCTGGTGACAGTCGAACGTGGACTGTGTTTACCGAATAGCGTTGTACCGGATGTCAGTGACACCCGTGGTCCGGGCCTGTGGCCCACCACTGACTGCCTGGTGGCTAAGGCGGACCCTTCACTCCGCTGGGGCGGGAGAGGCGGGGGAGGGAGGGCGGCAACGCAAATACGGCAAAACGGCCGCTATGGGCAAAGGCAGGAGGGCTTCTTTGTACTAATTTTACAACCTGTTAGCTCTTTGAAGCTTCTACCAGACTTTGTACACATTTTGTTCACTCCTCTTAGGTGTCTCGGAGGGGTGGAGCGGGGGTCCTTCTGAACACACACAGACAAATGGGATTTCTAGATAAAGTCCGTATGTAGCATGCATTTCAGCCAGTTCCTTAAACCTGATAGGCGGTCATTTCTTAAAGTCACCTCTTACCTTTTCATTAGTTTAATATTAAACAAATGGTCTTACCCTATTGTACTAGCAAGATCTTCCCAGTCTATTTCATTAGCGTCTTCCACATTTATTTCATACAATCTAGGAGAAAACATAAAAATTAAGTTTCCAAACAGGATCAGCACCATGGGCATCTTCAGGGACTCGGGGGATTTGGACCTCGAAGGTGCCACCCAGGTCCCTGGCGCCAGCTCCCCCGTCACACAGGCCCAGCGGGGTCGGAGCACTGGCCCACGGGGAGCCGAGGCCACAGAGTCCATGGGCTATAGGCCACTGGGCCACCTCTCCTCCTCCCGGCCCTGTGTGCCCCCCGCCAAAGCATGCTGCTTTCTCGTGGTGAAAGCACGACCCGCCACGCAGCGCAGACACACAGAAACGGCACCCATGTGCTCGGCAGCACGTCACAGACACGGGCCGTGACCCCAACGCTCACTCGCGCATTGGCCCTCATCCCCAAGGAGGCCGGGGGTCACCTCCACCCCACAGACGAGGCAGCGGGGCTGGGGCCCAAGCCACCTGGGGAAGGTTTTGTGACTAGCAGGCGGTGACCAACGCGGGGCCCGCCCGCCAGACGGGAGATGCCTCCCCAGCTCCGCTCGCCCCTGCTGCCTCCCTGGGGGGAACTGGGAGGCGCACCGACGACACTAGGGCAGCGTTCAGGACAGAGCAGGGAGGAGGCAGCTGGCCGGGTCGCCAGAGTCTGAAGCCCCCTCTGCTCCTTGCTGTTTGCCTTCGCCATGAGCCCAGGCCCATTAGACACGCAGGCTTCCCGAAACAGACCCATGTTGCCCCTTCCTTCAGGACAGGGGACTCTGCTTGGACCCGGACTCAAGGGCGAAACCAGAGACCACACCCCAGCGACACCGGCCAGCATGAGCTGGAGAGCAATGGGGGCGGCCGGGATCATCCGCCTCCATTTCCAAGCGGACGGAGGTGCCTCTGTCCACAGGGACACCTCCCAAGACCACAGTGACTGTGTCTGGGGAGCGTGCAGTGCATTCTAATCGCATTGCTTCATCTCCCCTCCCTGAGACACCAAGAGGCGGGCACTACCGTCATCATGCTCATTTAAGACGGACAGACCAAGACCTAGGGAGGCGGAGACGTGCCCACAGCCATACATGGGGAATGTGCTGGAACAGAGGTCTGATCCTGCGGATCCCTGAGCCGGGGCAACCCCGCTGCCGCTCTGTGGGGTAACAGCCACTGCGTGGCAGGAGGGAGATGCGGGGAGAGGGCGCCGCTTTCTGGGCCCGCACCTTTCAATCAGGCTGATTTTGGCCTGCAGGGCATTGACCCCTCGGTAGACGTTCCGACCATTCGTCATCCTCTTGGTTAGGATTTCCGTCCTGCGTTGAAACAAAGAAAAACACAGTTCACGTTCAGGGGCCCAGTTTCCATTCCAGTTTCCTGTGTTTTTCTCCTCCACACTGCCCTTTCTCAGAGCCGCTTTCTAACGTCTACAACTCACCGCTGCTAACATTTGCCACCATCCACCACGTACCTGTTTTTCAAGAAAACCAGGAGAGGACAAATAAAATGACAGAAGGTTGATGGCTATTGAAACTGGATGATGCATACAGTCCACGTTTGTGTGTTATAACATTTCCGTAATAAACAAGTTTCAAAAGGGGAAAAAAAGAATAAGCCTATTCGCAGTTTCTAAATGCAATAATAAGCTCAATTTAGTTTTGATATTTTATAAAACAGATGGCCCTGGATGGTGTGGCTTAGTTGACTGGAGCGTTGTCCTGTAAACCAAAGGGTCACAGGTTCAATTCCTGATTTGGGCACATGCCTGGGTTGCAGGTTTGGTCCCCAGTCAGGGAGTGCAGGGGACGCTACTGATGGATGTTTCTCTCTCGCGTCAACGTCTCTCTCCCTGTCTTCCTCCTTTCCCCTCACTCTGAAAAAAAACAAAACAAACCTAAAACAAACAAATCAGGTGGATGTTGCTCTGGCTGCCACGGCCCGCCGCCAGCTGCTGGAGCACCAAGCAGACAAATTCAGTGAGGTGACCAATGACTCGATGGGTCCCCCAGGGCCCCGGCCACAGGCTGGAGGGGTCACTGCGGCTGCTGATGAGCGCGGCAGCCCAATGTAACGCGTTTAAAAAGTCCTCATCGTGCCAGCCACGCTGTCACAATGTGACGGACGGATCATTGGCTGTCACAGCTTCCCGCTTTCTTGACAAGGGAGAGACGTGACGCTCACGTGGTGATGGCACTGATGCTCTTACTGACAGCCATCCACGCTCACGGCTTTGAAAAGTGTCACACTGAGGTCATTGCAATGTAACATTAAGTAAATATAATGTACTACTTTTTGTTTACAAGTGTCCTATTTTTTTTTCAAATTAAAAAGTCTTGAAAATTATTTAATTATGTGGATTCCTGAAGGTGATTTAACTCTGATAATCAATCCTCCAACTGAGGGTCAAAACCGGCCCCCTTTTTTAGCCTAAAATGTAGAAGTGGGAAGGACTCTGGTCCCTCTACCTTAAACACTCTCCCTCACATATTGCCTGTTCTTTGGGGTTCATTTCCCTGAGCATAGTCTTCTGTTAAAACAGGTGACTCTACGGCGGAATGTAAGGCGCAAGAACAAGGAACATGTCATCTAGGAGCTTGCTTTTGGCAGGAAATGCACCGGCTTGGGGTGTCAGTCTCCTGGACAATCAAGGCGCCGGGCTTCCCACACGTGAGGTGGGTCCTGAGCTGCGGGGCCCCCAGGGCGGGGCGGAGCTGCGTGAGGCCAGGGGCACGCAGCCAGAGCGGGCGGGCGGGCAACACTGCCAGGGACGCGTGTGCCTGTGTGTGCCTGCGGGAGGCCTAAGACAACGGGTGTGGCCCTCACTCCGGACGAAGAAAGAGGGACGCGGAATCAGGAAGCGCAGTTGAAAGGGCAGAGCTGTCACTGGTCACCGCGTTTGTGGTTCTGCTTGAGGACGTTAGTTTTGCGTGTATCTCGTGTAGACTCAGGAAGGGACAGGCTGGAGAAACGAGCAGCCGCCTCGGGTGTCAAAAGGGTCCGTGCCCTTTAGGAGGAGCCCGCAGGGGTCGGGGCGGGTGACGGGCGACTTAAAGCAGACACGGGCGCGGAGGGGGCTGAAGCGGCACAGGCGCAGCGCTCACCCCGCCACAGGGCGGAAGGCTTTCGACACCGGGTCCCCCTGCTGTCGCCAGCGGCCTCGCCCACCCGCCCCTCTGTAGAAACTGTGCAGACAGAGAGCAAATAGCTTGTCAAAATTTATATAAGAATACTTAAAACTTACCACTTACTTTTACACTGCATCCAATTCCTGGTTTCTACTTTAGCTTCAACTTCTACCCAAGATATGCCCTTGTAGAGTTTTTCCCGAACAATCGACAGGCGGCCTTCGGGATTTTCTTGGAGTTTAGAATCTACCTCTTTTAGATCCTGGGGAGACATTTTCTTTAGAATCACCTCTTCCACAGCCTTGATTAGCCGCTGGGTTTCCTCCTTACTCCAAGCGCCGTGGTTTCTTTCTGCAGACAGAGAAGGACGGTCTCAGAGTCGCCAACCCCTGTGCTTTCAAACCCAGTATTAAAAATGAAATGGAATGATGACGACAGGTACATGGCATCGCACCGTTGCCCAAACCCACAGCATGCACGCCACCAGGTGGCCACGGTGGACCTGGGGGGGCACGTGGCTGTGTAAACGCGCGGACTCTAACAAACGTACCCCCGGGGGTGCGGGCGCTGACAGAGGGGGCGGGGCACAGTGCAAGGGAAACGGGAAATCTCAGCATCTCCCTCTCAATTTTACCTTGAAACCAAAACTGCTCTAAAAAAATAAAGTCGGATAGAGAAAGAAAAACCCGACCCTTGGTAGGAGACAGCAGGCAGCAGCTGGATCTCACAGACCATGAAACCACTCAGTGGCCATAGATTCTCTTTAAAAAGCAACGCTAGGGGAGCCCTTTCCTAATGCAGGGAGTGTCTTTTTTATAACTTAAAAAAGTTGGTCTTCCAAATGTTTCTTTTTTTCTTTTTTCTTGACTTCTCGTTTCTGAGCGTAATATCTCCTACATGAAATGAGGTTCCCAAACATTTAACGGGACAACTACAGCCAGACGAGTGTGCGTCGCGTGCTGAACTCACCCCCGGAGTGAAAGGAACAGCCGCGGCGACACCAGCGCGGCTCTCGGCAGCAGAGGCCAGAGAGCCCCAGAGGCCGGCCGCCTGGGCAGGGGGTCAAAGCCTCGCCGCTCGCCGGTCGTGTCTGGACGGCCGGCGGCCGCACTGGGGAGGAGGCCTCACGCTGCAGCCTGTGGGCGCCTCTGGTTCAGCCACAAACGCTGTTATTAGTTTTCCCTCAACAACAATTTGGGTGAATATTTAAAAATCAAGAGAGTTGCATGGGGAAAAGGACACCTAGGTTTCACACACACACATAAAAAAATCCAGAGTTTTGTTGAGAAATAAGAAAAATGGGCTCCACTGAGTCTCCGCATGGCATCTGTGGCTGCATTGGGTGGCACGGAGGGCCTGGTCGCCAACTCAGGCTGGGGCCAGCCACATGCTGGCCACACGGACACCCGGGCTCCGCCTGCCCACGTGGCGGGCGCAGGGGAGCCCCCGCCTTAACAGCGACACGCACTGGAGTCTTCTTAAAGCAACTGGGGATTTTTTCACGGGAAGACACAACCAAGGAAGCTTTCTCTGAAGGAGGCGGAAGAGACAGGATGGCCCTGGTTCTGAGGACGGTCCCAACCTACCAGGCCCAAACTGCAACCCCCGCAAAGCCTCCCTGCCCCTTGGGAAGGAGCCTCTCCCTGCGCAGCCTCTCCCACCCCCCGGCCCCTGCGGAGCCAGCCCCCTTCGCAGCCGAAAGCTACTGAACCGAGGTAGGGGCACTCGGCCTGTGAGCAACGGTCATGGTTTCGTAAGCGCACAAGAGGAAACGAAATGAGGGAGCATCAGAGAATGGCTGAATCGATGGCCGCAACGCGTGCTGGGCGCTGGGTCGCAGTGGCCGACGGCCCGCCGCTCACCGCCGCTGATCTGCGAGTACTTCAGGGCGACAGAGAGGCTGCTTCGAGCCACCAAGTCCCCAATCTTTTTCCAGTCGTTGCCATGCAGGGAGTGGTATAGCTTTAACTTCTTGGTGTCCCTTTTGCTATATCTACGAGAAAGGGAACATGGTACAGTTTTTTTAAATTTGAGTTTCTTATATGAAGTTAGGCAAAATTCACATAAGTTGGCAATTTTAAAGCGTACAATTCAGTGACATTCAGTATATTCACAATGTTCTGCAACAGCAGCCTCTATCTAGTTTTTTGTTTGTTTTTTTTTTAAGACTTTACTTATTTTCAGAGCGAGGGGAAAGGAGAAAGAGAGGGAGAGAAACATCAGTTGATTGCCTCTCACATGTCCCCAACTGGGGACTGGCCCACAACCCAGGCAGGTGCCCTGACAGGGAACAGAACCGGTGATCCTTTGGTTTGCAGGCCGGCACGCAATCCACTGAGCCACACCAACCAGGGCAAGTTCTTAAGTTTTTTAATCGCCCCCCCATCCCCCAAAGGACATCTTGTTCTCATTAAGCAATCTCTGCCAATTAATAATTAGCTGTTAAAGGAGAAAAAAATACCCTGACCGTGGCCTTGCAAAGCCGCCCACAGCCTGCCACAGTGTTGAACTAACTACATGATTAAAAACCACTGTCATCGCAGAGCCTGCCGCAGCCCTGGGGAAGCTGGGCCAGGGGGTGGGCGGGCTGACCACCTCCTGTCCCAGCATCTTGACTGTGGTCACCCTATAAATCAGTCCCGGCCATGCCAGGCCAGAGGCCTGGCCAGTGTGCAGAGGCCAGTGCAAATAATGGGATCGGCGTATTCCCCGCCCAAACCGTAAAGACTCTGCATTTCACGTGCCACACAACACAAACTCCTCAATGCACCCACAGGCCCGCTGCTCCCTGCAGCTCAGCCCTTGGGCCTCGCGAGGCCACCCTCACCCCAGCGCCCAGGCACATGGCCTCCCTCGCCTGCCCGGGTGGCTCCCGCGGAGTCTGCCGCGGGGCCCCAACTCCCTGAGCCCTCTCCAGAGAGTCAGCTCCCCCTGCACTGGCCACGACCCGCGGTCCCGCACCGAGGGGCGCCCTGTTCCCCTGTCTCTTCTCCAGACCATCGCTGGTCAACAGAGACATAATGTGAGCCATACGTGCCATTTAAAATGTTCTTTCTTTTCTTTTAGATTACTTATATATTTATTTTTAGAGAGAAGGGAGGGAGAAAGAGGAAGAGAAACATCAATGTGTGGTTGCATCTCATGCGCCCCCTGCTGGGGGCCTGGCCTGCAACACAGGCCTGCGCCCTGACCTGGGGATTGAACAGGCGACGCTTTGCTCCGCAGGCTGGGGCTCAATCCACTGAGCCACACCAGCCAGGGCTTAAAATTCTCGAATGGTCGTATGAAAATGAATCGTATCTAGTCTTAATAATTTATTTAACCCAATGTATTAAAACTGCAGCCTTTTCAACATGTCATCAGTATCCATGAGGACTGAGCTGGTTTGCATCTTCTTCTCACTGCGCCTGACACACCCGGGTGCCTTCGCTCTCAGGCACGTCCCTGTCTGGAGCGAGGATGCCTCCCGTGCTCAGCAGCCACAGGAGGCTGGTGGTCGCTGAGACGGTGCGCTCAGCTTTGGGGGGTAAGGCCCACAGGGGCAGCCGCCACGTGTCAATTCCACACACAAGCACACATACTAAAGGGAAGGACAAAAAAACCACTCCCCGTGGACAGAGCGAAGGAAACGCCGTCTTTCTGACAAGCTCCAGTTCTGGACCTTGGGGCGGAGCAGGGTCTGCGTCATTACTAACGCAGCAGACCGCCGGCCCCGGGAAAACCCCGCCATCCCTGATGACCAGGACAGAAGAGCCCAGTGCGCTCAGGGCTTCCTCTCCCAGCGCAATGGGCGGCAGACAGAGGCTCAGGATCCTTCACTACTAAGAACTGTGCTTTCTGGTAGTGTCCTTTTCAACGCAAACAGGGTCTTCCTGAGACTAAGAAACTAGAGGGCACCCTTGACGCAGCAGCAAAGAGGACATCAGAGAGAGACAGAGGGCACGGAAACAGGGGACAGGTGTGTTGGCCCCAAGGCGAGCAGAGCCTTTGAACTCTTTGATTTTTGACTTCCTATATTTTTTCCAATTAAGAATTTCTTGTTGCAAAAACATTGTAAGAATAAATGGTGAACATAACACAAATAATATGGCACAAATAACTGAACAAACTTTACTATTAGAATGACAGACCTTCATTATTCTAAAAATGTCATTCCCACACAAAATGCCCATCAGCGGCCACCATGCACTCCCTTAGGCATGCGTCGAAGCCCCGTCTCGAAGGTTTCATTCGTGACTTTCCTTAAAGTTCTGTCCTCAGCTGTTTAAAACTGGGGCTTGGGAAAGAGGGCAGGGCAGGGCAGGGCAGGCGTCAGGCTGTGTGGGGAACCTTTCCTCTCCTTAAGGTTTCTTTCTGTTGGTAAAAACTTAACAGAAGAAACCAACGTCACATCCACGTTGGCAGCTCAGCTGCCATGCACGGCTCAGTGCTGGCTCCCGTGTCTGGGCAGGCTTGGCGGGCTGCACTGGAAAGGCCACCAGGCCTCCCCGAGGGGCTCCCGTCACTGGGCGCTGGTGGCGGAAAGGCCCTCGGATGGGCTGATGCTTCCAGGCTCGTCCCTCTGTCCCTGAGCAGAGAGGGTACCCACAGCCCACACTGCACCTGCATTTGTTTTATTTGGAATGTTGGAAACGCACACTAATTGGGTATTTCATTTAGGGGAAAAGACGGAGAGGATGGCCCTCAGCACCTGAGCACTCGGCGCTGAGTCCACCCCTGACTCGCACTGACGTCACCTCCTACTGCTGCCTGTGTCCGCCTGCAGCAGTCACCGAAACCCAAAGGACGGGCCGAGAGCTGCAGGGACCGTCACCGAGAAGGGGCGTCCGGGCGCATGAGGAGCTCCCGAGCTCGCCAAGAAAACTCTCGAGTGACAGTGGGAGTGGCTGGGCGCTAAAACGAAAGCAGAAAGAAAAAGCTGAGCGCTTAGTGGGGAGAGCACGAAAGGCCAGAGGCGGAGCCGAAATGAAGACGGCACTGGACAACAGACGCACACCCTGGCTCCACACACGGGCCATTGCGGCTTTCACTCCCGGTCTGTTGTGGTGTGTTTTGATTTACGGCAGCAGAAAAGACCAAAGAAATGTTGGGTCAAGCTGCTGAGACGCTGCTCTTACCTGCCTTTGTAATTGTTGACGTCGAACATCTTCTTTGCTCGGTAGTACACGAGTTTCCAGGGCCGGGCGATACCCTTACCTGCGGAAGGAGAAAGGCAGTCAGCAGGGCACAGAGCGAGGCAGGGTGAGGCCGCCGTGGGGAAGGAGCCCGGAGGGCCCTTTCCACGGCGCTGACCCCCTGACCCGGGCAGGCTGGGTTCCACGCGGCCTGCAGAAGGCCACCTGGGCAGGCGGCTGTGCAACGCCACCAGTGCCTTAGCAGTCTTGGAAAACTGGGCGCTGTGAACGTGGAGACTCCAGCCTCCAGTCTTCTCAATCCACGGAGAAGGCCCTCATGAGGCAAAATAATTTTAACATAATTGAATGTAGAAGAAGCCTGAAGTGGGGGACCACGCCGACAGCTCCCTGTAAGAGAAACCGCCTTCCCAAATGAACAGGCTTTCCTCCCCGCCGCCCCCCCGGCCCCCACAGGTGAAGCGCGCCCTCCACAGGGCTCGCCCTGCCCTTCCCAGGCGCCTTCTGGAGAAAACCTCAGGGGCGGACCGCTTGAAGCTCGAGAGCCATTTTCCCGGTCGGATCAGGTGCTGCCTCACGACCTTCTGACTTCCCAAGCGCCACCCCCAGGAGGGGGCCCAGCTACAAGGCACACACATGGCCGTGTCTGAAACTCTCAGGAACCCCTGGTGTGTGGGAAGATGCACATGGGGCAGTAAATGCAAGACATCGGTCATGAAGAACAGGAAGAGAAACCCAACCCATAATTGTCACCGGGAAGGAAAGCTGGAAGTTGATCATTTCACTTTTCCTAAAATCTGTAAAGCACTACACCTGGGAGGCAGGCGCACTCTGCCGACGCCCCAGGACCGGCCGCCGACCGGCATACCGCTCCCAAAGCCCAGCCGCGCGGGCTCTCCATGCGAGGGGGAAGGCCCCGGCGGCTCAGAGAGGGAGCGGCTCTGCACTCACCGATGTGCAGGCGGAAGGCGTGTTTTCTCTTTAGGTCGGTGATCACAGCTTTCTCCTCTGGGTATCTGTCCGTGTACAGCAGCTTGTCCGCGTTCTCGATTCCCGTCAGGGACAGAAATTCTTGCACATTTTTCTCTAACTGCTTATTTTCCTTTACAGAAAACTTGCCAAACCTAATGGCGACACCTAGGGTTCGGGGCGGGAGAAAAAGTATGTGTTGTCAACGAGTGAAAACAAACCCAGCACGTGCTCGTCAGCAGCGATGCCGCCGCGGCCCAGCCTGCGCCTGCCTGGGCCTCCCAGCCGCGCACTGGACGCCCGGCCCCCCGAGTTCAGGCCACGCTCGGCCCGCTCCGAGGGGCCTTTCCTGGCTCACCGACCTCCTTTCCAAATAGTTCTTTTTTATTAAAAAGTGAATACATGTTCACTAACAACTCACAGAGTACTGAATTAAAAGTTTAGAAGAAATCCCCTGCCAGTCCCCCCGCCGCGCCGCCCTCCGAGGTGGCGCTGTGGCCTGGTCGGCAGGAGCAGCAAAGCACGCGTTCCCTACGCACATGCTTGAGGGGAGGGGGGGGGCTGGGGTCCCCAGCGCCTGGCACCCCAGTCCTCCTCGTAACGCCGAGCACCCAAGTTTCATGATGTGGTGACTGTGTTACACACAGTATTTCTATTTTTAGGCTTATTGTTAAAGTTTCTTTTATAAAATACATACTGATAAAAATTTTAGCACAGAATACTACAAATAAAATGGGATCATTCTCTAGACACTGCACTATAAATTATGTGTTTTTCTAACGTAATCTGTCTATTTTTCAAAGGTCATCCCTTCAACATGAGGAAGTCCCTAAGGCGAAAGCCCCGTTTCCTCCCCAGTGGCCGGGGCCCTGGGCCCCCCAAGGGCACCGGGCATGGCGCTCACCCAGCACAGAGGCCTACACGAGCAGCTTGTTCTCAGGCCTGCAGGCTTCCTGGCGGTTCTCACGCCACACTGAGATCAAGCAGGAGACCAAGTGGGGTCTTGTTAGAAGCGCGCCCACTCCACCACTCACCTCAAACTAGCTTCTCAGGGACAGAAACCGCACCTCGTCGAAGCTGATGAGCGAATGTGGTTCACTTTATTTCAGTTCCGTGTCCTTCCCAGGCCACAGCCGCCTAACCTCCCACCCCCGCCCCTCCTGACCCAGCCCTCCTGCCTCCTGACCAGAGGCTGGGCAAAGCAGGGGAACCCGGGGCGGTCGTTCCACCGCTCGGACAGCAATTCTGGAGGGATGATTATTACAGATTTCTACACTTGCTACCTATATAATTTGATTGACCAAGGTAACCCCTATAAGTTCAATTAAGAACCCCAATTCTGGTTGGGGGGAAGCTGAAGGAGCTAAAGAATGATTCTTGTGAATCTGCAAATCTGAGGTGTTCACAAGAGGATGCGGGGCTACTTCTGCTTCCAGGAAAGTCCAGGAGACACTGAAGTCCCACGCTACAAGCTCACCCTGTGCTTTGAACTCCTTAAATCGTCCAAGGTCATCCCGATACATGCGCTTGATCGTGGTGGCAGCCCTTTCCTCGATGCCAGGGATGAACTCACGGAGCTGCTTCACGGCAGAGTCCAAGTCCACGTCCGCATCGTCCGAGTCTCTCGAATCTTCGGATAAATACCTTGTTTCAGAATCTTTAGCCGATTCCAAATTGCTTTCTTCATCGGTAGGTCCTAACCTAAGGGGGAAAATTGGATTCATTAACATGGTAGTAACACTTGTCCTAAAAGCTTTGAAAGTCTTTTCCTGAAATGACTCTCACTTCAACTAGGAGATTCGGTCATGGTGGGGGTGGGGGCGGTGGTCCTGAACTCACTACAGTAGCTGCTGACTGGGGTGCACCTCAGAGGCCACCTGGAGGGAGACGTGTGGCCCCAAGCCCTGCTGCTGCCAGAGAGTATTTCTTATGTTACTATTTCTCACTTGGTTCTGTTTAGTTATTGACTTCTAATAAGCTAAGCCCTCTTCTACTTCCACAAACACCTGAGACACCTCTCCCTGCCCCTGCCAATGAGTTAAGCTTTGTAATAACGGTCACTAATTAGTTAAATCAATGTTCAGGGTTTCCACGGTTACGGTTATTTTTTAAAGATCTTACTTATTTAGAGAAGGGAAGGGAGGGAGAGAGGAAGGAAACATTGATGGGAGAGAGAAACATCTATCGGTGGTCTCTCACACGCCCCCAACTGGGGACCTGGCCTGCAACCCGGACACGTGCCCTGACCGGGAACCGAACCGGTGACTGCCCGGTCGGCTTGCGGCATGGCGCCCATCCCACGGGAGTCACGGCTGTGGCAATCATACCTGCTGAGGTCACTGATGGCCTCACTTCCCCTTTGTATGGTTTTCTATGTGTCCATCACTAATACACCCCAAACTGCCAGATGTTCAAAGCTCCTCTTCTTATGTTCAACTCTATCAACTGACTACTCTGACAGGAAACTGGAAAAAAAAAATTGTGTGCACTTGACCAAGAAAAGGGTCAACAGTTTTCAGATGGCTCAGAGCCCAATGTAAGTTACGCACCCCGGCCCTAGGACATTCCTGCCTCATTGTCAGCGTCCAGAAACGTCCTGGGTAAGACGGCACAGAGGATGACGTGTGCGGCGCCACGACTGCCCCTGAGGCGGGCCCGGTCCCATTTAACTGCTAGACGGAGCTACTCTAAGCCAGGACAATCTAACAAATGTAAGAAAGCTACTGAGTAAACATGGGGGCAGGGGGCGGGGTGGGAATCTGTCCCAAGTACCAGGAACTGAGGAAAACAAGGACAAAAACAAAAAACCTCCCTGCATTTATTTATCAGATGTTACACTTAAATGATTATATAAATAATATTACAATTCCTTTTCTTAGTGAGAACTCTAATTCAAGCTTTTTCCTGAAAAAGCATTTTAAGTTACCCACTCCTTCCTTCCATCCACATGCACGTAGACAGACAAGGGTAATTTGGGGGTCTTAAAAAGCCTAGCAAACTTCGCCACAGTATTCCCAGGCTGGCAGAGTCTTTCTGCAAACCTGGGCTAACTGCCAAGGCTGTGCAAGAGGGAAGGACGCTGCCGGCCGAGCCACAGGGTTAAACGCGCTCGACGTCCTGGTCGACCTCTGGGGCATCTGCCATTTGCTGCAGGCGCGCTGAGCAGCGGCCCCGGACACCCTCAGAAGGCACGACGGTCCCATGTTACCTCTGCGCCCCTTCCAAACGCGCCTGGGTCTGCTCCTCTCGCTGCCTGGGAGTTGCGCTGTCCTCAGCCAAGGAACCATGACCTTCCGGGGAACCACAGGGTGGGTCAGGGCTCTCCAAGCTCGTGGGGAGTCCTGGAAAACCACCGGCAGGTGCGGGGGCGCTTTCCCCAGAAGACCTCCGCCTCCTCTTTGCGGCCCTTTTCTTCAGCCTGCAGCGCTCCTTCCGGTCTCCCGCCGGCCCCACGGCCCACCCTTCAGGGCTGTCGGTCTCAGGACACGCTGACTCCTGGTTATGTGGAACCTTTCCCTTTCTCTTTCTCTTCTTGGACTTACTTCCATGAGTGGCCTCCGGGGGCGGCAGTGTGACTGGGCCCCCCCTGCCCGTGGGATGCAGGGGCTGTGGCTGGGGCAGGCTGACGCGGGAGCCCCGGCCCCCTTGCTCAGCGCCATCGCAGGCTGCAGCTTCCTGCCGATGCTTCTTTTTCTTCTTAACTTTATTACGTGCTTCTTCCAACTCATTTTTACGCCGCTTAGGAACGGCATGCGGTTCCTTGGCTTTGGGCTCTTTGTCTGATGCCTGTTCCTTGTTCACGTTAACATAAATGACGTCGACATCCTTTCTAGTATTCTTCTGTTTGTCCTCAATATTTTCTTTATCCACCATGATGTACACAATGCCTGCATCGCCCTGAACCCCCAAAGCCCTCTTCTTTTTCCTCTTTTTGGCTGAGGGAGGGACCGTTTCTGTCTCATCACAGAGTTCTGATTTTTCCAAAGGAGAAGTGAGAAACTGGCGATCTTTTCTCTTTTTTTTACTCTTCTTTTTGTGAGACTGTTCACTTGCCAAGGGGGAGTCTCTGAAATTCTCATGGGCATGCATCCGGTGTCTTTCCTTATCTACAGAATACTTTTTCTTTTTCTTTTTCTTGTGAAAAATGGGAGTGTGGATTTCCAGTCTGCTCAATTCACCTTCCATTTTATTCCTAGAGGAAAATTTGACAACAATGGTTTATTTTGCAAAGCATTTTAAACATCAGCCTCAGAAGAAAAAAAAATCACAGAAAAATGAAATTGTATGACAAATGACCAGCTGGAGACATGAGCATACATTTTATGCAATGTTTTTCTTTTTTAAAGATTTTACTTATTTATTTTTAGAGAGAGGGGAAGGGAGGGAGAGAGAGACAGGAAAAGAAACAACAAATGTGTGGTTCTCTCTCAGGGGGGCCCCCCTATTGGGGACCTGGCCTGCAACCCAGGCAGGTGCCCAGACCAGGAATGGAACCAGTGACCCTTTGGTCCGCAGGCCAGTACTCAATCCACTGAGCCACACCAGCCAGGACTGGTTTCTCCATTATTCTTAAGATGAACTCCGAAAAATGTGCCGACCTACCATGCCCTTCATCATCCGGTCTGGCCCATGTCTGCCTCTCCAGCTCTCCTTCCTCTCTGCGTTCCAGACACACCCTGCCCTCAGTTAGGATACATCATATTTCTTTTCGCTCTCAGAGACTTTGCAAAAGCGCTCATTCTCCCAGGAACGCGCTTCCTCCGCGTTACCTTGCTGAGCTGATACTGGTCTAAGTTTGAAAGGCACTTCAAGAAAGCCTCTCTAATCGCTTCCCTGGGTCCTGTCTCCCGGTATGCAGTGTTTCCCAGCAATCCAGCCGCTTCCCTACTGCACTTGGCCCAGCTGTGCCATGATCGGCCTCCTAAGGGCTGGGAGTTTGTCCGTCTGGCTTCCAGATAGTCCGATGTCTACGGAGCGAATGGACATGCACCTATCTCCACTTCTGCGGAGCGTGCCGCTTCCCGCCCGGCACGACCGTGCCAAGCCTGGTCCCGGATTCTCCACCACCTGGGGACCGCCAAAGAGGCTCTGCTGTGCCCTGGGGTGGGCGTTCCGGGGCCAGGAGGGGAGGAACTAGCCAGAGGGCCGCCTCTCCGTCCCCTTCCACGCAAAGACCCGACCTCGGTTCCCCTGCCGAAGGGGCTGGAGAGGCGGCGGAGCAAACGGCGCTACCCCCATTCCTGCAGACCCCAGGCCAGAGGCGCGTCTCCTGGAGCAAAAAGACCACAACCGTCACCGCTCCATTTATATAAGCGCACCTAAAAAAACACCCGGAACAACAAAACGCCGCTTTCAACCTACCGTCCGAAAGCGTCACCACCTTTCCTCCACTCCGGAAGTGCCGCCGTAGTGGAAGCGGAAGTAGTCGTGCGTCACTTCCGGCATACCGGGGCATCCCGCTGCCATGGTGACATACCTGCAGCTCAGACTGGAACAGCTGCGCGGTTTCTGCCCATTGTGTTCCTGGGGTGGTTGGGGGCGGCGGGGGGGGGGGGGTATAGCGGGATCCTAATACTAAGAAAGAGGGACCGAATCTCCCATGGACTTGCGAACTCACGCACGCACCCCATTTCCTCTACACCTTCTGCTGAGCTCCCTCCTTCGCTCGGGAGTGAAGAAGACGGCGAGGACCCCCAACCTGAGAAAGACCCATAGACAAACCCACCGGGACAGCATCGGATTACCCTATGGGAAAACGAAACAGAGTCACGTGGCGGAGAGCGACTGGGGACTGTGAGCGCTGCGTAGACGGAAAGGAAGGCTGAGGTTTGCACGGAAAGGGCCAGCGCACACCTGGACGGAAAAGTGGGCCAGGCTGGAAGCCAACGCAAGAGCCCAGCCCGCGGCTGCTGCAGGAGCTGAGAGCAGGCCGGGGCAGCTGGAGCGGGCGAACGGAGGGCGCGTGGCGGGCGCTGACGTCGGCGGCAGGCGGGGCTTAGCTGGCGCAGGGGCTGATGCCCCGAGAGCTTCGGTGAGACGGAGGTCTGCTCTGGTCTGCTCTGGTCCTCCCACTTCTCCTGAGTCCTGAAGAAACTTGGCTGTGATTCAAAGTAAAGCTTTCACCAGGCCCTCCCGTTAAAGGGGGGGACTCCCCAAGCCCTGAATTTATTTATAAGACATTGTGTATTTATTCCTACATGTTTAAATTTCAGTCACCTTCCAAGTACTCTCCATTTGATGCACTGCACCTACCGAGATGTATTTTCCACTGCTCAAAACAGCCTTTTAGTGCTTCTGCCGTTTTTTGTTTCACCTCTTTCACATCGGCAAAATGTTTTCCTTTGAGAACTTTTTTAAACCCAGGGGAACAACAAGAAAAGAAAGTGGTTTGGGAGGGGGGGAGGGGGGATCATGCTGTTTTGGGTCCAAAACTGCTGAACACTCAGTACACTGTGGGCAGGTGCGCTTGTAAATCGCCCATCCTGAAATGGGCAAATGCGTTGAGTCTTCAAAAAAAAAAAAATTACCTGAGGCCGAATGCAGCCTCTCACAACAACCCCAGCCAGTAATATACTGGTACAGTGTGGGTTCCTAGCACACTCGCCTAGCCAGGGAAGCCTGAACCACTTTCTTAGTATTAGGATCCCGCCATACCACCAGCCACACTTAATGTAACGTGTGGGAGGGGTTATGTGGCCCAGCCAGGAGTCAACACTTGTGCTCTGCGACTCCACTTGCCTGCCTCTCACTGCACCACCCGACTTCCCGCGGGAGCTGCCAAGCAGCTTCAACTGAAAAGTGCGCAACCCGCATTTCCGTGGAAGGTCGGAAGTGAAGCAGGCTGGAGAAACCACAAGCACACATTGTACACACCCACATGTCATCGGCCGAAGGGGCTTCAGGCCTTGGAGAAGCCAGCGAAAGTCTGGTCCGCTCTGGAATGGCGCTCTTGGTGCTCGGCGCTGCTGGTAGGTAGGGCCGGGAAGTGCAGGTTCGTCGCTGGTGCGGCTTGCTCTGTGGCGCACTCCTTACCCCGAGCCTTGTGAATATCTGAGCATCGAATGACGACAATGGTGGGTAAATAAACCCGCAAAAGGTTAGAACTGGAAGGCAGACTAGAGATCCCCGGGGCTTGTGGTTCCAGAAACACCGCAACATTCATCTGGGACGCGTATAAGAAGTCCCGGTCCCCAACTTTGCGTATGGGCTGCGCGTCAGGCACCATTGCAGATCGCATTGTAGCTGCGCACGGGAACTCCTCATTCCCGGCAGGCACCTACTGCAGCGTTCGGGGTCAGACACGGTACGTCTGCACATGTTCAAAATGGCTCTGTGACATGCAGAACTCAAGTGGCAAACACTAAGGACGGGTGAAGCTAGGTGAAACCTACATGGGTCTTCATTTACTCTTCTTTCAACTTTCCTGCAGCTTTGAACGTTTTTCAAATAAAATCCGAAAGGAGGGAGGAGATATTTTAAGCTGCAGATTCCCAGATCCCATGTCCAGATATTCTGGCTCAGTGAATCTGTGCTGTTCAGCTTCCCGTCATTCTGTGGCACAGAGTTGGGTGCCGTTGGTCTCATCTAGCTCTAGATTTTCCTCCCTATCTATTTCACAGAAGAAAAACCTGAGGAACCAAGCGGGCGACTAACTGGAGACCACCCAGTGGATCGGCAGGAACATCAGGTCTGGAGTGAGGACTCCTAGTTCCTTATGAAACATTTAGCGCTCTGTCCCCGTGTGTGTGTGCGCGCGCCCGCGCGCGCGCTCGCGTCGGTGCCTGGAGTGGGGGTGGCTGCTGGGAGGGTCCCTTTGACTTGGAAGTTTAAATGGCCCTCTGGAGCCCCGTCACTTCTTTTTTAAGATCCCCGTCACTTTTTAACACAAGTAGTGATTCTTGAGTTTTCTCACATCTGCTTAAGAAAACTCTGGACTCGTCCCCCATAGCCGCCAATAGTTTCCTAAAACAAACAAGGTCCACCTAGAGCCGTTGGCGTCCCGTCGCCCTGGAGACAGACCGTTCCATTTTTCCTCAAGGGGTGGTCTTGGTTTTCTCTCCTTTCCCAATCCGCAGCACGACGCCCAGAAGATACTCTGAGCGACCAGAGGGGCTTATATGGACCGATAGCGTTCCCTGAAACAAGGGAGCGCGGGAGGTTGGCGCACCCCGCTCCAGAGGGAGCCCGGCGTCCAGTGCCCACCCCGGGGTCCAAGTAGTGACGTCCAAGAAGTCGGTTCCTCGGAGCTCCGCGGGCCCCCAAGCTGGGAAGCGTGCCGCATCCAGACCCCGGGTCGACTCCCTGAGACCTCCAGGATGCCAGAAGCCAAGGGCTCCCGCCAGGACCTCACGCGATGGAAGAAGAAGCAGCCGGTGCGCCGCACGGTCAGCCAGATCTGCCCGCCCCCACGACGGCCCCTGACAGTGGCCGACATCCGGCCGGGCATGGAGAACGAGAGGCTGGGGGTCGTGCGCGATTCCATGTTTCAGAACCCGCTCATCGTCAAGGTGAGCCGCCCACATGCCACCACCCTTTCGCCCTGGCCCCTCACTGCGCACCCGCGCGGCCGGGGGTGTCCACGCATCCAGCCCTGGCCCACAACCGGGTGCCAGCCCCGCGCTGGAAGCTGCGGCTCTGGTCCAGAAAGACTGGACCCCCTGTGCGGCCACGAGCGGGTGACATCCTCTCTGAACCTCAGCTTGCTCACTCTCCAAGTGGGATGATAACAGCACTCATTAAAGGGAGAGACTGGGAAGACTGATTAGGGTGATCCCTGGTAGGGAGGGGGGGTGCCTGGGACGGCACCTGACACCCAGTGAGCCCGCAGTGTTGGCTGCTGCTATTTCCGGGAGCCTGGTGATGAGCCCACGGCAGGGCAGGTCGCACGCACCCAGACTATGTCTCTGCCCCCCCACCCGCCAGCCTTCTCAGGGTGCAGGCCGCCTCCGCCCCTTCCGCGCACTCTGGGCTGCCATCGCGCCCTGAGCGCTCTGTCTCCGGGGAGCACCACTTCCCACGCTCGTTTCCGCGCCATCAAACTCTGATCCAGAGGCGCAGCTCTCAGGGAAAGGCGCGAACCTGCGCCCTGGGGGCCCGGCAGGAGCGAGCGAGGGAGCCGAGGTTTCTGTCTAGATCGCGCCCCCTTTTATTTCACGTGCCCTTGTTTAATCTCGTTTCCGGACTAGTGGTCGCCCAGCACCCAACACTTTCCTAGGGCCCTGGGTAAATTCAAAAGTCAAGCAGGCTTGGCTGTTGGGAAGCGGATCAGCAGCAATTTTATCTTGCGCCACTGGAGGGCAGTGTGCTTTCAAAAATGCGCGCAGGTGCCCGATGTCTGCGGTTGGGGGACGCAGGTGGCAACCTGGACTCGGTGCCCATTCTCTGTACGCCAGGTGCGGCTTAGAGCCTACAGGTTTTTGTTGGTGGTTTTGTTTTGGGGGTACAGAGAACCTGGGTTTTCTTAACGTCGCGCTGGAATTAACTGAGTTGATTGGTTCCTGTGAAAACATGGAGTCTCTCTTGCCTTCCCGGAACCACGTCCCTGGGCCTGCGTCTGGGGAAGTGGGCTTCTCTCCCCCTGCACCCGCCTCTCTCACACACTTTCTTAGGTCCTAATCCCCGAAAGGAAACAAGATCCTTCACTTATTTGCAGGTGAGAAGAGCTGCTCTCAGCGGACAGATAGGACAGACAGATGGGGTTCACCATTCTGGGATCAAGATGAGAACCAAATCCCCCGCTCTGATCAGCTGCTTTAGTGCTGGGACGCTGCTTTCACCAAGGCAGTCGCCGAGGCGGGGGTGGGGGGAGTGGGGGGTAGGCACCTCCTTCTTACCCAAATAAAAACGAGGCCAGGTTGGAGTCACTGCTTGCCATGGTGACTTAGCGGTGTGTGATGCCCACCCCAAGCTATACATATATGTGTGCACACAACATACTAAGTATGTGAACACACACGTATTAGACATAGACACATTTACATATATGTATACATATATACATACAAGACCTGTCCCCAAAAAGTCCAGCCATTGTAAATATAGCAAGAATGGTTTGCGTGACATTGATGTAAACTGGCAGCCAAGGAGAACGGACTGGAATGTGCATTTGTGAGCAATCATGACTTCACTGTACTAGTCAGTGGGGGCGGTAGATGCTGTTGAGCGAACATGTGTGCTGTGTGGCTGGCAGATTCAAAATGAGCCAGTAGAACAACGAGTCTGCATCAAATTTTGCGTTAAGATGGAACATTCCTCGCGGAAACTATTCGGGTGATTCCGGAGGCTTTGGGGGACGGTGCAGAGAGTGCAATGTAAATAAAAGTGTGGCACAAACGCTTCAAGACGGCTGAGAGTCTGTTGAAACTGATCCATGTTCTGGGAGGCCTGCAACAAGCAGAGCACCTGAGGCTGTTGAACGGGTCCGGGCTGCAGTCAACAGATCGGCCACTGACAGTGCAGGAACCAGGGGCTGATCTGGGGATTTTGACGCAGGATCTGGACATGAAACGTGTGGCGGCAAAACTCGTTCTGCAGCTTCTGCTCCCAGAGCAGAGGGCACAGGGTGCTGCCATTGCTCATGACGATTCCAACTGCAGCTAACGAACCAGATTCCCTCGAGAAGGTCATAACTTCGAAGGGGACTGAGGCGTCATTGTCCTATGTGCAATATTTCTTGTATCTTCTTCAATAAATGCCTCTATTTTTCCACATTACATGGCTGGATACTTTCTGGACAGGCCTCGTGTGTATGTGTGTGTGTGTCCACAATACATAGATAAAATTTCTGTTTTTTTAAGTAAAGTAAAATACGTAAGAAAAATGTCCATTTTTTCCTCTCGCTTCCCCTGCTCCATTTTAAAAAGGACAACATTTGGCCTCTGGATGGCACTAGCTGAACAGCTTCCAGGACAAATTCAACCCCTGATTTGTGAACTGGAATCGAGGTCTGGAAAATGTGCCGCTGTCTGGAGGATGACAAGGGGTTTTGTCCTCAGGGTGTGAGACGCAGAGCCCACAGCTCTGGCCAGTGGGGCGGTGCGGCGTCTGCGTGGCAGGGGCTACGTCCAGGCGCTCCCTGCAGTGGCCCCGGCTCCTCCCCGGGGGGGGGGGGCAGCCGGGCCAGGGGCCTTTCCTTCTCCCTTCCTCCCCGCAGCTCCTGTGGGCCAAACATTCTTCCTGTAGCAGGTACGATTAGGTCCACATTTCCTCAGTCACCACCGCCACAGGATTTCCCACCGGGACCTGACTGGAGTAAAAGCTGCAGGGACATTGAGAGAGAGAAGGGGCCTTGCCAGTTACCTTTCCCAGAGCCCCCTTTACGGATGGGCACCCTGCGGCCCTCTGCGGCGGGCTCTTTGCTCAGGGCTCCGGCGGAGCAGAGCCTGGTTAGCAGCCGCGACCCCTGGCCCCCAGCTCAGCATTATTTGGGCCACTCCGAACAGTCTCCTATATTTAAAAAAATTATTTTTTAATTATTTAGAAACTTTGAGCTTTTCAGTTTTCAAGAAAAGGAGACGAGCCCAGGTTGATAGCTCAGTTAGAACATCGTCCAGATAGACCAAGGTTGGGAGTTTGATCCCCAGTCAGGGCACGTACAAGAACCGACCAATAAGTGCAGAGATAAGTGGAAGAACAAACTGATGTTTCTCTCTGTCTTTCCCCTTCTTCTCTCTCTTAAATCAATAAATAAAAATTTTTTAAAAGGGGAAGATTGAAAATATTCAAGATTGTGGAAGATTTTAAAAAATCTTTAAAAAAAAAATTAACTTGAGAGAGTGAGAGAGAGACATTGACTTGTTGTTCTACTTATTGATGCATTGACTGGCTGATTCTTGCGTGTGTCCTGGATGGCAATTGAACCTGCAACCCTGGTGTATCTGGACAACGCCCCAACCAACGGAGCTACCCCGCCAGGGCTAAAAGATCTTTAAAAAAAAAACAGGTTGCTTAAATCATTTTGTGGCTTGGTTTGTGGGTTTCTTCATTGTGGCACATCAGTTTTGAGTATATTTTTGGTTTGGGCTAAGTCGCATCTATGATCCAAGACCAAAACCCCTTCGAAGTAGCCATTCATTCCACCATATGGGGCGGCTGCTGCTCAGACTGTCTTCTCCAGTGAACAGGATCAGGATTGTTTCCTTCCCCATTTAAAACGCAGGCACACCGCCCGAACAAGCCCCACACTGCCATTTCACGGCCGTGGGGTGTAGCAGGACAGATGCACGTCAGTTACTCGCGAGCAGGTCTGCGGGGTGCCACAGTCACCAAGTGCAAAGTGAAAAACTCAGGCATCCACGCCGGCATTTTATCTGCAAGTGCTCAACAAACATCTGCCTCATTTAAAACCAAGCCAACTGGTTATTAGTGCGACTGATTGAATCAAGCAGGTGTTTGTGTGGTCACGAAGAGATGTAAATCTCTTCCGTTGGAAAGCGCTTCTACTCTCTTACATGAAGTGATGCGCGGTTAGCCAGTTTTCTTTCAGATGGGACTCTCTTGGAAGAATAAAATTAAATAGAAAAAGAACCACACTTCTCCCCGCTGGATTCCCGTCTCCCCAGAACGCCGTGACTCAACACAGAACCCTGTGACAACAACCTTGCAGGCGCCCTCCCAGAGCCTGTCAGGGCGCGCCCTCCCTGCCACCGGCGCCCGGCTGATCCCCTGTCAATACAATTACCGGCAGAGGCTGCTCGGCGCTCCCCTGACAGCCGCTCTCGTGTAGCCCCAGAGAGGCAAGCGTGCAGGGCGGGGGAGGGGGCGGATCTGTGGAATCGCGCCCCCTTAGAAAGTGCAAATGATCACGGCTCCCGACTTTTTTATAATTTATTAATGATTTTGTTTTTCTGTGGGGCTTATGTCACAAATAAGAAGCAGCACGTGCGTTTGTACAATAGAGTCATGCAGTCGCACCGTGGAGGGAGGCTTGCAGACAGACCGTCTAATTCCTTTTCTGAGGAGAGGAAGGCCCAGAGCGGGGCAGAGCCTCGTCCAAGGTGCCACTCGGAACCGGACGCAGAAGTGGCATGCGGGGCACGTCTCCCGACTCCCGGCCCTGTGCTTTCTTGGCCACAATTAACTCGTGGCCGCCGAGGGGCAGCGTGTCTGCACGGCAGGGCGTCAAATGTGTGGACTGCTGGATCGGATGCATCCGATTCCTGGCCCACCTCACTCAGCATTCCTTCCAAAGGGGCTCTGCTAATTTCTCAGACGTGCTGACAGCTAAGGGATATTTACTGATTGTTTACTAAGTGCCCCGCACCATCCCAGGAGTTCTTGGGGGCATAGAAACAAATTCGGAGCTCAGCCTTTGCCCGCAGGAGTTAACTGTTTAACTGGGGAGGTGGAGTGTATGTATATGCCATACCCGTTGTGTGCCCATATAGATTGCATATGTATATGTTGTTTACCACAGCACCTTAAAGAAATCTCTCAGAAATGTTCTCATTTTTGTGTGCGCACACACACAAATAATTAATGCGACGTTCACGGGGCGTGCCGAGCAAGT